GTAAGAAAACCATCATTCTTTCAATAAGTTACTGAAACAGCATATTAATCTGTGTGTTTATTCTTTGAACTGATCTTGTCTCCAGATGTCTCCAGTTGTCTCCAGATTTGTCTAGTTGTCTCCAGATGTCTCCAGATATCTCCAGTTGTCTCCAGATGTCTCCAGATGATGTCTCCAGATGTGTCCAGATGATGTCTCCAGATGTGTCCAGATGTGTCCAGATGATGTCTCCAGATGTGTCCAGATGATGTCTCCAGATGTTGTCTCCAGATGTGTCCAGATGATGTCTTCAGATGTGTCCAGATGATGTCTCCAGATGTGTCCAGATGATGTCTCCAGATGTGTCCAGATGTTGTCTCCAGATGTTGTCTCCAGATGTGTCCAGATGTCTCCAGATGATGTCTACAGATGATGTCTCCAGATGTGTCCAGATGTCTCCAGATGATGTCTACAGATGTGTCCAGATGATGTCTCCAGATGTCTCCAGTTGTCTCCAGATGTGTCCAGTTATCTCCAGATGTCTCCAGTTGTCTCCAGATGTCTCCAGTTATCTCCAGATGTCTCCAGATGTCTCCAGTTATCTCCAGATGTCTCCAGTTATCTCCAGATGTCTCCAGTTGTCTCCAGATGTCTCCAGTTATCTCCAGATGTCTCCAGTTATCTCCAGTTGTCTCCAGTTATCTCCAGTTGTCTCCAGATGTCTCCAGATGTCTCCAGTTATCTCCAGATGTCTCCAGTTGTCTCCAGATGTCTCCAGATGTCTCCAGTTATCTCCAGATGTCTCCAGTTATCTCCAGTTGTCTCCAGTTATCTCCAGTTGTCTCCAGATGTCTCCAGTTATCTCCAGATGTCTCCAGTTATCTCCAGATGTCTCCAGTTATCTCCAGTTATCTCCAGATGTCTCCAGTTATCTCCAGATGTCTCCAGTTATCTCCAGATGTCTCCAGTTATCTCCAGTTATCTCCAGATGTCTCCAGTTATCTCCAGATGTCTCCAGTTATCTCCAGATGTCTCCAGTTGTCTCCAGATGTCTCCAGTTATCTCCAGATGTCTCCAGTTATCTCCAGATGTCTCCAGTTATCTCCAGATGTCTCCAGATGTCTCCAGTTATCTCCAGATGTCTCCAGTTATCTCCAGATGTCTCCAGTTATCTCCAGATGTCTCCAGTTATCTCCAGATGTCTCCAGTTATCTCCAGATGTCTCCAGTTATCTCCAGATGTCTCCAGTTATCTCCAGTTGTCTCCAGTTATCTCCAGATGTCTCCAGTTATCTCCAGTTGTCTCCAGTTATCTCCAGTTATCTCCAGATGTCTCCAGTTATCTCCAGATGTCTCCAGATGTCTCCAGTTATCTCCAGTTATCTCCAGATGTCTCCAGTTATCTCCAGATGTCTCCAGTTATCTCCAGATGTCTCCAGTTATCTCCAGATGTCTCCAGTTGTCTCCAGATGTCTCCAGTTGTCTCCAGATGTCTCCAGATGTCTCCAGTTATCTCCAGATGTCTCCAGTTATCTCCAGTTGTCTCCAGTTATCTCCAGATGTCTCCAGATGTCTCCAGTTATCTCCAGATGTCTCCAGTTATCTCCAGTTGTCTCCAGTTATCTCCAGTTGTCTCCAGATGTCTCCAGTTATCTCCAGTTATCTCCAGATGTCTCCAGTTATCTCCAGATGTCTCCAGTTATCTCCAGATGTCTCCAGTTATCTCCAGATGTCTCCAGTTATCTCCAGATGTCTCCAGTTATCTCCAGATGTCTCCAGTTATCTCCAGTTATCTCCAGATGTCTCCAGTTATCTCCAGTTGTCTCCAGTTATCTCCAGATGTCTCCAGTTATCTCCAGATGTCTCCAGTTATCTCCAGATGTCTCCAGTTATCTCCAGTTGTCTCCAGTTATCTCCAGATGTCTCCAGTTATCTCCAGATGTCTCCAGTTATCTCCAGTTATCTCCAGATGTCTCCAGTTATCTCCAGTTGTCTCCAGTTATCTCCAGTTGTCTCCAGATGTCTCCAGTTATCTCCAGATGTCTCCAGTTATCTCCAGATGTCTCCAGTTATCTCCAGATGTCTCCAGTTATCTCCAGTTATCTCCAGATGTCTCCAGTTATCTCCAGATGTCTCCAGTTATCTCCAGATGTCTCCAGTTATCTCCAGATGTCTCCAGTTATCTCCAGTTATCTCCAGATGTCTCCAGTTATCTCCAGATGTCTCCAGTTATCTCCAGATGTCTCCAGTTATCTCCAGATGTCTCCAGTTATCTCCAGTTATCTCCAGATGTCTCCAGTTATCTCCAGATGTCTCCAGTTATCTCCAGTTATCTCCAGATGTCTCCAGTTATCTCCAGATGTCTCCAGTTATCTCCAGATGTCTCCAGTTATCTCCAGATGTCTCCAGTTATCTCCAGTTGTCTCCATTATCTCCAGTTCTCCAGTTATCTCCAGTTATCTCTCAGATGTCTCCAGTTATCTCCCAGTTTCTCCTCTCCAGATGTCTCCAGTTATCTCCAGTGTCTCCAGTTATCTCCAGATGTCTCCAGTTATCTCCAGTGTAGTTATCTCCAGATGTCTCCAGTTATCTCCAGTATCTCCAGATGTCTCCAGTTATCTCCAGATGTCTCCAGTTATCTCCAGTTATCTCCAGATGTCTCCAGTTATCTCCAGATGTCTCCAGTTATCTCCAGATGTCTCCAGTTATCTCCAGATGTCTCCAGTTATCTCCAGATGTCTCCAGATGTCTCCAGTTATCTCCAGATGTCTCCAGATGTCTCCAGTTATCTCCAGATGTCTCCAGTTATCTCCAGTTATCTCCAGATGTCTCCAGTTATCTCCAGATGTCTCCAGTTATCTCCAGATGTCTCCAGTTATCTCCAGATGTCTTCAGTTATCTCCAGTTGTCTCCAGTTATCTCCAGTTTTGTCCAGATGTCTCCAGTTATCTCCAGATGTCTCCAGTTATCTCCAGTTGTCTCCAGTTATCTCCAGATGTCTCCAGTTATCTCCAGTTATCTCCAGATGTCTCCAGTTATCTCCAGTTATCTCCAGATGTCTCCAGATGTCTCCAGTTATCTCCAGTTGTCTCCAGTTATCTCCAGATGTCTCCAGTTATCTCCAGATGTCTCCAGATGTCTCCAGTTATCTCCAGATGTCTCCAGTTATCTCCAGATGTCTCCAGATGTCTCCAGTTATCTCCAGTTGTCTCCAGTTATCTCCAGTTGTCTCCAGTTATCTCCAGATGTCTCCAGTTATCTCCAGATGTCTCCAGTTATCTCCAGTTGTCTCCAGTTATCTCCAGATGTCTCCAGTTCTCTCCAGATGTCTCCAGTTATCTCCAGATGTCTCCAGTTATCCAGATGTCTCCAGTTATCTCCAGATGTCTCCAGTTATCTCCAGTTGTCTCCAGTTATCTCCAGATGTCTCCAGTTATCTCCAGTTGTCTCCAGATGTCTCCAGTTATCTCCAGATGTCTCCAGTTATCTCCAGATGTCTCCAGATATCTCCAGATGTCTCCAGTTATCTCCAGTTGTCTCCAGTTATCTCCAGATGTCTCCAGATGTCTCCAGTTATCTCCAGATGTCTCCAGTTGTCTCCAGATGTCTCCAGTTATCTCCAGTTGTCTCCAGATGTCTCCAGTTATCTCCAGTTGTCTCCAGTTGTCTCCAGATGTCTCCAGTTATCTCCAGTTGTCTCCAGATGTCTCCAGATGTCTCCAGTTATCTCCAGATGTCTCCAGATGTCTCCAGTTATCTCCAGATGTCTCCAGTTATCTCCAGTTGTCTCCAGATGTCTCCAGATGTCTCCAGTTATCTCCAGATGTCTCCAGATGTCTCCAGTTGTCTCCAGATGTCTCCAGTTATCTCCAGTTGTCTCCAGATGTCTCCAGTTGTCTCCAGATGTCTCCAGTTATCTCCAGTTGTCTCCAGATGTCTCCAGATGTCTCCAGTTGTCTCCAGTTATCTCCAGATGTCTCCAGTTGTCTCCAGTTATCTCCAGATGTCTCCAGTTATCTCCAGATGTCTCCAGATGTCTCCAGATGTCTCCAGATGTCTCCAGTTATCTCCAGTTATCTCCAGATGTCTCCAGATGTCTCCAGATGTCTCCAGTTATCTCCAGATGTCTCCAGATGTCTCCAGTTATCTCCAGATCTCCAGTTATCTCCAGATGTTCCAGTTGTCTCCAGATGTCTCCAGTTGTCTCCAGTTGTCTCCAGATGTCTCCAGATGTCTCCAGATGTCTCCAGATGTCTCCAGTTGTCTCCAGATGTCTCCAGTTATCTCCAGATGTCTCCAGTTATCTCCAGATGTCTCCAGATGTCTCCAGTTATCTCCAGATGTCTCCAGTTATCTCCAGATGTCTCCAGATGTCTCCAGATGTCTCCAGTTATCTCCAGATGTCTCCAGTTATCTCCAGATGTCTCCAGTTATCTCCAGATGTCTCCAGATGTCTCCAGTTATCTCCAGATGTCTCCAGATGTCTCCAGTTATCTCCAGTTGTCTCCAGATGTCTCCAGATGTCTCCAGATGTCTCCAGTTATCTCCAGATGTCTCCAGATGTCTCCAGTTATCTCCAGTTGTCTCCAGTTATCTCCAGATGTCTCCAGATGTCTCCAGTTATCTCCAGTTGTCTCCAGTTGTCTCCAGATGTCTCCAGATGTCTCCAGTTGTCTCCAGTTATCTCCAGTTGTCTCCAGATGTCTCCAGTTGTCTCCAGTTATCTCCAGTTGTCTCCAGTTATCTCCAGATGTCTCCAGATGTCTCCAGTTATCTCCAGTTGTCTCCAGTTGTCTCCAGATGTCTCCAGATGTCTCCAGTTATCTCCAGTTGTCTCCAGTTGTCTCCAGATGTCTCCAGTTGTCTCCAGATGTCTCCAGATGTGTCCAGTTGTCTCCAGTTGTCTCCAGATGTCTCCAGTTATCTCCAGATGTCTCCAGTTATCTCCAGTTATCTCCAGTTGTCTCCAGTTGTCTCCAGATGTCTCCAGTTGTCTCCAGATGTCTCCAGATGTTTCTTCGTTTCTGTTGCGCCGCTGCCGCCGGCGGTTGGTGGTTACCATAGCAACCGCTAACCGCCAGCTCCCCCCTCTGCCTGTATCTCCGGTACGTTTCCTGACGGCTCTTTCTCCTCAAGTTTCATATTTTAACACACAGTTTAGACAAACGTGGTTTGTTCAGAGTTTCGTGGATCATTTTTGATATGTTTTCTGAACGTTTCTGCCTGTTAATGTTAATGCCGAGCATTTCAGACATGATTCATGTTGCAACTGTTAACTGTTGCTAACTGCTGCTTTCTGGGGCCAAAACTCTGGGGCCAAAACTCTGTCTGCTTCTAATGCTCTGTGTCTGCTTCTAATGCTCTGTGTCTGCTTCTAATGCTCTGTGTCTGCTTCTAATGCTCTGTGTCTGCTTCTAATGCTCTGTGTCTGCTTCTAATGCTCTGTGTCTGCTTCTAATGCTCTGTGTCTGCTAATGATTGTTTGTTGTGTTTTATTTCATAAAAAAGGCCAGAACAGCGGGACTGATGTGAACCACCAACCTGATGCCCTGGTTTGTTAGGTATGTTGTCATTTTTGATTCAAAGTAAAGTTCAGTTATCAACTGTGATCATCTTTCAATAATCTTTGAGTGTTTTCACTTACTGTACTAAAGATAAATATTCACCGTTACTTATGGAGAAATGTGTGGATGTAAATTTTTCGAAGGTACATCTGATGAACTATGATTGGACAGATATAGTTCATAGTTCTTTATGACCAGAACACGACACGATCTCACACAGCTGCTGGTTTACCTCAAAAGATCCTGCAACAAGTACTGAGGCTCCTTAGCATGGCCACAGGTGATGATGGAAAGACGTTTTTCCTTTAACAGTAAGTTGTTTCTCTTCCATTAGCGCATTTAGCTGCACGGACATAACGGTGATTGACAGCACTAAGCCCCGCCTCCTGGCTCTGATTGGTGGTTTTTGGCGGTGCATTTCTGCAGACGGCAGAAGCAGCTCAGGGTGGAGGTGGACATTTATATTTTCTTAGATTATCTCTCATATTAAACTGTAACAACAGTTTTAACTAATATGTAAAAAAGCTTTTTTTTTGTAAAGCTACATACTGCAGCTTTAAGAGAACTTTATCAATAAGTTTTAGGAAAAGAAAAATCAAAGGAGTTCCTCTAAATGTTTTACTCTGTTACACATTTTCAGCCAGAAATGTGTGCATTTGTACATTTGACCTTTTAAAGTCTAAAATCTCCAATCTGAATACAATGAGATGTTTATCCTGAATCATGGAAAGTAAACCGGATATAATAATTGCATTTACCTAAATGATTTGATTTATAATTTTAAAACAAGATAAAACTCGAGATGTGTCTTTGTTTCAGGTATGGGACGCAATAAATCCAAAACTCTTCCTTCACGTAAGTTTGCTTCAAACTGACATTTTTTTCATTATTAGAAATGTAATTTGATGTAATTATTTTCATTTATTTCTGTATTTGACAGTTCTTGAAAAACCATGGCTGCAGATGAATTGGGAGTGAGTTTCTATTCAATATATTGTATAAAACTTGAAGCCTGCCTCCAGTCATTCAGTCAGTTGCAGCTAGGGGGCGATGTGATGTTTGTTTTCCTGAGCAGAGACAGAGAGACTGACCTGCAGTTCATAAACGACTACAAACCGAGAGGCGGTCACCGGCAGCTCAGGGTTCTTCTGCATGGACCGGTCGGAGCCGGAAAATCCAGTTTCATCAACTCCGTCTTCAGCGCCTTGGAGGGTAGAATCTGTCACAAGGCGACTGCGTGCAACATGATTCGGGCCAGCTTCACCAAAAAGGTAAGAGGAAAATGTCTGACTCATTTAAGAGAAGAAATGATTCTCATTCTTTCATTGTCATTCTCATTAGTTCTGCACTGATCTGAGGAGTGATGACTGATTTACTGCTGAATAAAATAAAACCTTCACATCATGTTCTACAGTTCAGATATAAAATAACTGAAATTCTCCGTCATAACTTTCACTCACAAATGTTACATTTAAACTAAGTAAACTGATTAAGGGAGTAAATTAAAAGTTTATTCCTCATATTAGTTTTTTTCTTGTTAACAGTTTGTAACCTACAAGATTAGAAAAGGAGACCACCAAAACGTGTATCCTTTTGTACTGAACGATATGACCGGTTTGAACAACATCACCTGGAAACACAGAAGAGTCTATGAGAAGGACATGAAAATGGCCATGAAGGGACACATCAAGGATGAGTATAAAGTAAGGTTTCTGCTGCAGCTGTGAAAAATCTGAACCGGGAATAAATTCATATAATTTCTTATTTAACCGTTTCCAGTTCCATCCTCAGAGTGCGTTGTCCGAAAACGATCCGTTCTTCAACAAGAATCCAACCATCAACGACAAAGCTCACATCCTGGTTACTGTCTTTGATGCCAACACAATAAATCTGCTGGACGAAACTATAGCAGAGACAATTCAGGAGATCAGAGACGAAGCCAATGAGCAGGGTGAGACGCACCGCAGAACCACAAACCCCAGCATGAACCCGTCTGACCATCACCCAGAACCAAAAACCCAGAACAAAGAACAGCCGTGTTTCATGTATTTATCAGTCCACAGAGCTTTATGTAGTGTAACAGTGAGATGCAAGTTTCTTTCCTCTGCAGGGATTCCTCATGTTGCCATTATCACCAAAATTGACGAGGCCTGTCCTGAGATCAAAGAAGATCTAAAAAATCTCTGCCAGAGCCGAGTGATACTGGAAAAGGTCAATAATTCCTGCTGATCCTACATACACAACAGGCTTCTGTAAATGCTGAACATAGAATTTTTTCTGAAATAAAAAACTTCATTAAACAGTTAATTTTATTTCCTTCGGTTCATGTTTTTCCTACTGTGACGTTTTGAGATGTTTGTGGTTTCTCCTTGCAGATTCAGGCCCTCAGCAGACGGGTGGGAATCCCAGAGAACTGCATCTTTCCTGTGAAGAACTATCACTCAGAGAAGAAGCTGAACCACGAAACTGACGCTCTGATCCTCAGCACCCTGCGGAGCATCATCGAGATCGGAGAGGAATACCTTAGCAGTTAAAAAAGAACCTAAATATAACCAGTTGTATCAAAGCATTCCAGCCATCATAACTTGTGTGTATTATCGACCTGATGCAAAGCAAACTGCACCCGAATGGTGTTTGGAAAACTTTCCACTACAGGGTTTACCCCGGAGTATTGTAATAGTTACTTTACCCCAGCTAGGCTAAGCATCGCTTGCTGTTATTAAAAATACATTTATTTATTTACTTATATAAGCTGGACTGCAAGCGTTATGCTGAGCAGAATTGTTGGTTGATGCATTGAACAGAGCAGGAAGTCAGTAGCAGTGGACCAATCACATCGCTGGCTCGGTGCAGATCAGGGCAGCTTCTGTCACAAACTGATCACCTGTTTGGATGTTTATCCTGAGAGGACTGATGAGAATCCTTCATCAAGATAAGAGTCGAGTTTAAAAGCTGTCAGACGTGCGCGTTCAGTGAAGATCATGTGTTTTTGTGAACAAAGGATTGCGTGTGCGTTTTCAGCGCTGGCTCCATGTCTGCGCTGATGAAGTTTCTGTCCGTGTTCCCGGTTAGACGGTGCGTTAGAGGCCAGAGGTTCAGCCCAGACTCCCCTCGTCGCCGTGCAGAACGCTGGATTTCTCTATCTTGTGTTTTCTGCAGTGACACGATGCAGCAAATTGCATTATATCAAACGCTGCAGAGCAGTTTGGCCACAAATACTTTCAATTCCACTGGAATCTGAAAATCACATGCAGGGAGAATTTGGGTGAAGTCTGAGGAGTTTCTAATGTTAAAGCCCTTAAACGCTGCGACTCCAATAAGCGTTCAGAGCTCTTTGCTGCTCAGGCCAATGAAGTAGAAATAGTTTGAGGTGTGATACTCCCGACAGAACAAAGCAAGTTTCTAAATACATAAACAGATTAATAAACAGATTAATAAACAGAATGAAAGACAAAAGCAAAAGTTTTTAGGATTCAGAGGCGTCAGTCTGCAAGGATAGCGACGGATGGAGGTTTCAGTTTGAATGTTTATTTCTGGTTAACAGCACAAAACCTACAGCATTAAAAGGAAAACAGGATGACATGTAATAAACAACATGATGAGTCTGAGTAACATCAATCTGAGAGACAGAAAGTTCACGATAAGGACATATAAAAGGTCCTGAAGGGACTTAAAGGATGGACACAGTGAGGTTTCAGCTGCTGAAGAGAATAAAGATCAATATTATTATTGATGCAACTATTTGACTGTAACTGTTCTCAGTTCAATTCAGAGTGCTTTGTCAAAAAAGATCCGCTCAACAACCAGAATCCAACTATAAAAGCTCATATCCTGGTTTCTGTCTTAGATGGTAAAAGATCAAATCTGCTGAGAGGAACCAGAACCGAGTCGATCCAGGACCTGAGAGAGAAAACCACTGGGCTGCGTGAGAGGAAACATCACACTGAACAACTAAACACATTTAAAATAGACTTTCAATAAATTACTATAAACAGTATGTGAAATAAGTGACTTCCTGCGTTTCCTCTGCAGGGATTCCTCATGTGGCCGATCTGAACAAAACTGATGACGTCTGTTTTGAGATCAGCAGTGATGAGATACATGTGTGCAGGAGCCAGGAGCTCCAGGAAAAGGTCACTGAACTTCACATACTCAGGGAGTTTAACTACTTTCTGTAAAATAATTCATGGGCTTCATTCAATCATCAGTTTTAGCATTTTTAGTCCATCTCTGTCTTCCTGGTGGTGATTTATTTGTTCTAATTTGATCTGTTGCTTTTATTTCAGGACTTCAGCAAAACAGTGGAAAACCCAGACTACTGCTTCTACTCTGTGAAGGACTGCCAATGTGAGAAAGTTCAAAATGATTCAATGATAACAGAAACAAATGAAATACATTGAAATATCTCAGACAGTTTCTAGGAAAAACAAGAGAACGTCTGAACTTAAAAAATCTACTGGAAAAAACTTCAAAACTGAGTTTCAGAAGATTATTTTTCAAGTGCAGAAGTTATTCTGCTTTATCTATAAAATGTCTGAGCTTCTGGGCAGAAATGTAATCATATTTTTATTGTTTTTTTCTGTCTGAAAAGGCCATAATACGCCGTTGTACGTGTCAGACGTCAGAAGCCAAGTAGATCCAGATGAAGACTCTGCTGCACGTGAGAAACGCTGCATGATTCTGAGAGAGAGAACCGGATCCACTTTGACCCAGGCACAGCTGCACTGGGACCGGCCCAATAAGGACGGCCAGGGAACCGTGGCCAAACAGCAGCAGCTTTCTGACATCATGAAGAAAACAGACGGAAACCTTCCAGAGCCACAAACTGACTCAGGTGTAAATATGAGAATAAATCTGGTCCTCAGACGTCCAGCAGATCGTTCAGATTAAAGCTGAACTTTAGGATCTTCAGAGGAAACAACTGGAGCCTCATTTCTGTCACCAGTTATTAAATAAAATCACATAATATCAGAGTTTGGACTTTTTCTATCAGGATGAAAAATATTAACTCATTTTTATTATACAAGTTTTTTATTTATGTTTTTATAAGTCAGCCTCATTCCTTGTCAATCAATCAAATTTTATTTGTATAGCACATTTCAGCAGCAAGGCATTTCAAAGTGCTTTACATCATAAACACAAAAACACAAAGTCATGCAACACAGAATAAACAATACATTGTTACATATTACATTTCAAAAACGATTCTAAACAGGTGTGTTTAGTTGAGATTTAAAGGAAGTCAGGGTTTCTGCTATTTTACAGTTTTCTGGAAGTTTGTTCCAAATTTTTGGTGCATAGATGCTGAAAGCTGCTTCTTCTCTCTTGGTTCTGGTTCTGGGGATGCAAAGCAGACCAGAACCAGAGTCTGGAAGATAAACGCATGGATGAGTTTCTCTAGATCTGGCTGAGACATTAGTCCTCTAATCCTGGAGATGTTCTTCAGGTGATAGAATATAAATTAAAGCCGCAAGTGCCGCTCCGGCCTATTGGCCACCGCGGAGTACTAGCAACCACCGCCCGCCAGCCACCACAGCTCTCACGCAGATTCCAGCACCTCCGCCCACGTTCCAAAGCAGAAGTTGTTGCGCAGTTCCGCTCCTCTCCACTAGGCGGTACGCATCGATGCATTTGGCGGCGCTCCTTGACGACGCACAAAAAATATGGTGCAGATTGGTGGATTTAGAGAGGAAATATAAGTGGTACATTAATGTAGGGGGCGCAGTGGAGTCAAAATACATGTCAATGCTGTTGTGCTCTTTAGAGGTCAACAAAGGTCATACATATCTTTGTTGACCTCTGGCACTGGCACCAGTGGGATGACCCATGTGTCATATGGAGCCGAAAAAAATTTACAGTCCACAGCGGAATACAACGAACCTCGACAATGAACGGCCGCCGGCCTACTGACAGAACTATTAGCTTAAAGACACAGCTACAGTACAGTTCAGTCCACACAACCAATCAAGTTACTTAAATTTGATTTTGCCCTTGACTGACCAGTAAGGCAGGGATGAGTGGAATTGATGCATTTACTTGCTGTAGTAAATAACAGTAATTAACAAAACGCTACATTTACTGCGTGTTTAAAGCCAACAAAACTTATCTCAAAGGTTACATATAACCATTGAGGTTATATGTAAGCCGTATCCTTTTGGAAATGTCACGGCAGACGCTCTCGCAAAGTTTTCACGGACCATCCGCCTGTCGGTCAGTGTGGTGGAGTAACACTGACCCCTACTGGCGAAATACTGATATACTTATTCATCATTAACTGTGTTTGTAAGGCACTCTGTTTCATTGGTGGAGTAATACTGACCCCAAGTGGCGAATTACTGAAATGGTTTCTAACCAGTGACTGCTGATGAAGGATGTCCTTTCTATAATTTCTAACCAAAGTGAATGAATGTTTGTACTCTAACCCACAAAACAAAATTATTTAAAAAAATAAAGAAACCCAAAAACTTATAATAATGTATATTTAAATAATTAATATGTTAACCTGCATAACATAACCTATATTTCATGGGCTGCTGTGGCGTTAGCTGGGCTAAGGTGATGTCATCAAGTGACCATGTAAATGTGTTCAGGACTGTTCTGCAGAGAGACATAGGTAGTCTTATGCAGCTGTAATCTTGCATTTGCAAGTTACTGAATCTCTATGTTTCACGGCGAATAGTCAAGGTTCGCCACGCTACCACGCCCAGCTGCTCCATAGAAGCTGGTCGGGGTTGGAATCCTCAACACACCAACATGTCTTCTGTGTCTGGGCACAGTTTCATGTTGATGAGGTCAAAGGGTCAGATAGCGACCTTTCACAGTAAAACATGACACTTCCTGTTCTCAGGGGGCGTGGCCTAAGTGATATCATCATTCGACCATAGGGTATTGTAGTAGACCCGATGATGATCAATCACAGAAACTTTGGCGCCTCTGAGAATTTCTCAGAGGCGACATATGTTTCTATATCTGCTATATCTCTTAGGAGATATAGCAGTTTATTTTTTTTACAAAATTTTATGAAAATTTTAAACAGGCTTAAGGCCTCCGCCAAGTTTGATGAGTTTTTGAATATGATAAAGCCCCCAAAAAGCCAATTCATTTGGAGGGAGAATTGTAATAAATAATAAGAAACAGTACAAAAACAATAGGCCTTCGCAGCGCTTAGCTGCGCGGGCCTAATAATTTATATAATAATTCACAAACTATTTTATTGACAAAAACACAAAATCAATATTCAACTGATATTTGGAAAATTCTCTGATTTATTTAGTTTCAACTAGTTTTATTTTGTCCTTTCTTTCATATTTCTTTGTTTTATTAAACCATGAATGATAGTCAATTTTATTTTATTTTTAGTTTCATCTTCTAAAAAGATAAAGCTTATCTTTTAAGAAGATACGTTTTAATAATACTGTCCCCTGATATTAGGGTACATTTTATTTGACCCTAATATTGGTTATTCCAAGATGTTTTTATGGGTGATCAAATCACTGATATACAGTATGAAAAGTTAAATACCGAAATAACAGAAAGTTGACCCTGACTGTTTTACACTAAACATTAGGTTTTTTTTTTACTGTTCTTAAACTTTCTATTAACTTTAAATAAATATATTATTTGTACTGATTTATTTAGTGTTTTGATTATTTTTTTAAGAACTGTTAAACATGGGTCTTTGCTAAATCATATTTGTGAAAACATATATTTTTAGAAATATTTTTCTAGTCATCCTTTTTTAATCGCAATAATCTCTATTTTTACACTCTTGGTGGAATATGTGCTTCTTAACATCAGCAATTCTAACTGTTTTAATATTTCTGTGCTGATGTAAAAAAATAAAGATTTATGTAAAGATGATTATTCAGTGTACATCAACATTAAAACCTGAATGCAGATAGTGACAGCATATATTTATAGTGCACATCTCAAACAAGATTCTTTTCAACAATACTACAATTTATATTTTGTTCAAATAAGTGCTCATACATCTCCAAATCTTAAAAATGAAAGAAGAGTAATTATTCATTTTTAAAAATCTTAAATAAAAAAAAATGATAAAAGAAAACATGCTGCACTCTCTGATAACACTTAACTAGTTTTCCTTCACAAGGAAACAATTTATATTCCAGAAGTCTGAAAACATGAGTTAAGGAGAAAGTCTCTAACTTTGTTCTTTACATCAGTTTCCTTTTCTGCAATATCAAATATCAATCATATTAGCCTTCACAATATCCAATCCTTATTACAAAAGAAGAAATTGCACCGTTCTCTGTAAGTTTGTTATTCAGACAATGGCAACTTTCTATCATCTTTGTTCACTGCATAAGAGTATGTAAACAACCCTTAAAACATTAATATATGCCTGAGCATTGGACCAATCTCTGGGACTTTGTTTATTAGAGTAACATTTTTTAACTTCTTGAAAATTTCTGATGTCCTGAATTGTCTCCACAACAAAATTTAACAGCAGATTTATTTTGCTGGCATCAATGATAGAAACCAGGATGTGAACTTTGTCATTTGTAGTTGAATTCTGGTTATAGAGTGGATCTTTTTTTGACAGGGCCTTTTCAGAGTTGAACTGAAAACAGGGTAAAAAGTTAAGTAACAAATAAAAAAAAGTTAAAAAACCCCATTAATGTCTGCTTTTTTCTCCATTAGCTTCACAGCTGCAGCAGAAACCTTACTCTGTATCTATCCTTCATGTGTCCTTTTTTATGCCTTTCACATGAACTCTTTTGCATCTCCGACTGACGTTCAGATCCATCATGTTATTCAGCACAAAATGATACATGTCACTCTGGTGTCCTTTTTTAATGCTGTAGCTTTTGTACTGTTAACCCAAACCCCCCCCCCCCCCTCAATATGAAATCAAAATGAAACCTCCGTCCGTCTGGTAAAAAAAAAAACATGAAATAAAAAATTTTTTTATTTTATTTGAAAATTGTGATGTTCTGTAGGGAGCAAAAAACTATTTCTATTTCACTAAAAGTGATTTTAGAAATATTCTTCAAATCAGTCATCTGACTTTAGATCAGTGAAGAATTAGTCATGGGGATTAAAAGATAGAGAGGAAATAAGGATATTTTACTTCATATGTTAATTATATATTTTCTTCTTACCGTGCTGGTGCAGCTGGTTTGACCAGTGTTTGCAACAGCCCTGCGACAGATTTTACGCTCCAAGGCACTGATGACAGAGTTGATGAAACTGGATTTTCCAGCTCCAACTGGTCCATGGAGAAGAATCCTGAACTCATGATGACCTTTACCTTTAGGTGTGTAGTTTTTTATGAACTGCAGGTCATTTTTTCTGTCTCTGCTCAGAAAAACAAACATCACATTGTCTCATGGCTGTAACTGGGTGTATAAACATCATACTACAAAATCAAATGTGTGGATTACTGAATAGCAAAATTTTTGCTGAGGGCAGGTTAAAGGCTTGAAGTGGAAATGCTATCTAAAGTTATAATACAGTTTTTGTTGTTATCCAATTTATTGTTCCATAAGCACTTACCCCCATTTCATTTCAAGCCATGGTTGTTCAGTAGTTGAACAACCATGTTATAATAATAATAACAATTATTATTATTCTAATGAGAATTATAATAATAAACAAATCTATTTCAGTTTTAAGCAGACTAACATGCAAGTGGTGGAGGAGGAGAGATTAAAATAGACCTAATGTACCTTATAAGATTTTCCATAACTTAAATAAAACATTGAGTTAAAACTAATCCAACTGTATGTTATAAATTGCAACAATAATAAACTCCATAAACTCAATATGCTTAAAAAGTGGAAGTTGAAAATGGCTTGAATAATTTTACACTTCAGGAAGCAAACTGATTGAAAAACCTGACAGTTTACCATTAATATGCAAAGTCCTCTAACTGGAACCGATGAAACAGTTCTAGTCTGACGGTGTATGACTGAGAGACTGCTGCAGGGCATAAAACCTCTTAATCAAAGTTACTTTCACTTGTGATTTACAAGAAGACACTTTGCAAGTTTCCATGGAAAGACAAAACATGTATGACGCTGATGATGATATTTTTATTGCTGAACACTTACTATTTGGAAAACAAGAACTCTCTTTTACCAGATTTGTGACCCTCCAATTTTCTTCAAAACATTGCTACACATCTTAGTCTGTTAGTGCCAACCTATTCATTCTGATTTTCCACAGATCAACAAATGCAAATAAATGAAGGATATCATACAAAACTTCTTCGTATGACAGATAATTTTGCCATGGACTCATTCACTAGAATTGGTTATGGAGTTAAGGACAGGATAACCAGGTCAGCTTGTATTGCTGTATCTCACTGTGACCCTGCTGGAGCACAAACAGGCTTACGTGGACACAAACACACTTAGCGTATGATTCTATATGTGCATTATTCAAAAAGTATCTGAAACATTTTAAACTGTTTTTTACTGTTCTGTATATTAATGGTTTCTGAATCTTAACTGATATAAATACAATCAAGCAGTTTTCCAAGCAGCATGTGACATGTCATAGTGGGCAGTAACACCCTTTAAGATGCACAGCAATGTTGTCAGAAAATTTAGAGCATATATGTGCATACGTACGGTAGGTGTATAAACTCTTGTTTAGTTAAAGTCTCAAAGTAACTTTCTGCAATCTTAAGATCTTGTTCAAATAAAATCATAGACACCAGATATTATCTGAACAAGTTTCAGAATATATATAATGTACAGATAAATAATACATATTAAATAATCTGACCTGATATTTTCAGCATATGTCATTCCTTTTTGTGTCCTCCCAGTCAATGTATTAGCAGGTTGCTGACTTCATGTCATGATTTTCTTCTAACAGATTTGTGATGATCCAACTGTCCCAACATCTTAACATGTTTTGCTGCTCACCATATCATTTATGTAATGGCAGTCTTCTTGACTGTCAGTCAGTGTTTACCTTCAGGATGTCCAGAGACCTTCACCTTTCTGGAGCAGGGATTGCATGTGCCCAATGTGCTGTTGAAACATTTCTAATTTTAAAAAATGTGGCTGATATCTTTGCAGAGTTGAATTGCATTAACAATCTGTTGTTTTTAACCTCTCAGTACGTTAAATTATGAATCATCTGATGTTCAAGCTATACTGAGAACAAATAAAGCTGTATTGCTTCTAATCTGAATAGTTACTGTTAATAGGCAATAGTCTATGATGATAAATTATTATGCCTCTATGTAGTCTTTTGCTGAAGTGATTTAGAAACTGAATTATACAATTAGAGATATAAGGTAAGGACTTCAGTGTACCAACATTGTTTTGACACAAGTATATTTTAAATTGAAATAAAATCTAATCAAACTCTGAGTTTTAATGAAAAAAACAAACAAAAGTGATTTAATTCAGTCCTAGCAATAATTCGCACATTCCTACTCCAAACCATTGTGATCCAGAACTATATGTTAAACAAGTTACAAACCTAATAAAAATTCACAATCAAGTCTTTTCAAAAAAGTCATTTCAGCTCCATCATAAATGTATTCTTGTTGATGCCAGTTATTAAAGTGTATCAAGTTCAACTGAGTAAATACTTTTAAAAGGAATCCCAGCAGATTGCATAAGTTTGCACCATTGACTCCTGCTGGATAACCAGTAGACAATCGTACATATTGTGTCATTAGCTTCACAGCACTTCCTCACACTAAACATGCATGACGTGACAGCAGAAAGGAGAATTCCCCTTCAACAGGAATTTCCAGAATAATCAGCTGTTGAAAGAGGAGCAGCTACTCTTAGTCTCTCGTTTTTAGTTTTGCTTTTGACTTTCAAAAGTTATTTAGTAGAACCAGGTTCTATAGCTTCTTTTAGACATTCAACTGGACATCCACAATGTATACATTGGGCAAACCTTTGCTTCAAGACTCCAAAATAAATTAATAACATAAAATCAAGTTTACAAGGAAGACAGTTTAAATATAAATATTTGCAACATAAAGATTAGCGCGATGTTTTTCAGTCTTATGGCATCAGGAATTAAGATGTTATCGAATCTGTTCTCCATTTGAATCTGCTGTACATTTTGCCAAAGGGCAGCAGGGAGAACAAATTGTGGTTAGCGTGGATGGTGATTGTCAGAACCCTGGGCAAGCAGCAATGTCAGTTGGAACCATGAAATGCTTGACGTTGCAAGTATTCTATGCTGGCAAGTCATGGATGATACTTTCTGCTGTTCACACCAGTCTCTCTACACCAGAGGTCTTCATCTCCAGCCCTGAAGGCAGCTGACTTGCAACTTTTAGAAGAGTCTTTGCTCAATCAGATCATTAGCAAGACTCTGGATAACTTAATTGAAAGCTCAGGAGGTAATCCTCCTCAGTATCAAAAAAGCATAACCATCTCTACAAACCAGATGAATTGTATCTTAATAAACCTGGATCCAAATTATTCACATCAAACTTTTACTGTACTGTGAATCAAACACAGCCCACCAAGAAGCAAGCAGAGGAGCCAGACAAGGAACTCTACATCATCACAAGGGTTCCACCAGTCTGAGTGACTGGTGAGCTCCACCTACAAATTTCTTCTATCTATACTCCATCTCCTGCTTCAGTTATTACAGCAGAAAATTAGTGATTAGGCCCAAAATTTGGTTGTACTGATGGGCTCTGACCTGAACCTTCAGAGCCATGTAAAGACAGTCCCAAAGTCAGCCTTCTATCGCCTGAAGAACATCTCCAGGATTAAAGGACTAATGGCTCAGCCAGATCTAGAGGATCTCAGTGCATTTATCTTTTGTTGCATTGATTACTGCAACAGTATCTTCACAGGTCTGCCTAAAAAAATTAATCCTTCAACTGCAGCTGATCCAGAACGCTGTTGCTGGAGTTCTCACTAAAACCAGGAAGATAGAGCACAAAACATCAGTTTTAAAGTCCCTACACTGGCTCCCTGTAGTTCAAAGAATAAACAATAAAATACTGCTGGTAGTTTATAAATCACTGAACGGATTAGCATCACATTAAACATCTGCTGTTGTATCAACCATCCAGAACCTCTCAGGTTTGGTTCTGATCTGCATCCCCAGAACCAATGGAGAAGCAGCTTTCAGCTTCTAAGCACCACAAATGTGGAACAAACTTCTAGAAAACTGCAAAGCCGCTGAAATCCTGAGTTCCTTTAAATCTAGACTAAAAACACAGCTGTTTGGAGTTGCTTTTGAACCATACCTGGAACACTGATTAATTCTAGTCTTAATTCTAATATTTGATCATTATTTTTTGACAAATTGATGATGGTATTTGACTAAATAGGTTTCTTGCTTGTTTACGGTTCTCAACAGATTTCTTTTTACTGTGTTACGTTTTCAACCTTAATGGTGAAATGTGCTATGTAAATAAACTTGACTTGCCATCTGCCATGACTCACTGGGGTGGGGCTCATATTAGGAAAAGTGAAAGTAAGTTGGACCAAGAATATATTTATTGTTGTAGGAGTGTTTCAGTTGTTCACTGAAAAGAAGCTGTGTTTGTCTCTACCTGAAGTTAGAAGAGTCTGCACTGTAAAAGTAAGCTGCTTTTTTTTTTATTTTAGAACTTAGTTTGCTTGATAAAAATGAATTCTGAATATCAAATTTGTGACACTATCACTGGGTTTGAAACTGCCACTTTTCAGTTATACAGACTCTAAAAATGTAGACAAATTAGTATTGATGTTTAGTGCTACACCATTATCATTACTATTGAATTTATTAAAAATGTTAGATTAAAATGTTCAATATATGTTGTCAACATTCAATTTCATTTAACTCGAGATATTTTTGTATTTCAGATATGTTCCTTTCAAGTATCTGGAATTATTTTTTTCCACAAAGTAAGTTTGCTTATGATTTGAATATTTTTGATAAACTATGGTTGCAGATAGAGTGGGAAGGGATGGTGTCTATGCAGCAATATGTTGTGTAATAACAACGGCATTATAACAAGCAGTTCTAGGAGTTTATTTCAGTTTTTATTTGTAAACATTTTTGTGACATTAAACAATAACATGTTTTTCTGAACTGAGACGGAATAAATTTCAACCCATCCACTGATGGAGTTTTACAAACCTCTGACTCAGTGATTGTAGTAGACAACATAGAAGCATAAAATTGTATGTCATCACCAAAGATGTTGTAAAGCTGTACAGCATACTCTGATCCAGAAGAATCATATGGATAGTGATACTCAACCTTGGTCCTCAGGACCCAAAGTTCTTCATGTGTAGATGTGTCTTTGCCCAACTTCAGCAATTATACTCCAAGCATGTGAGAACCAAGGTGAAGCTGATTTCCCACTGTATCCACTTTTTAGTGAGTTTAATCTTCTTTTTTAAGGCTGCCATTTTAACATGCTTAAAACCCTAAAATGGCATCTTGGGATGCCTAATATGGCAGAACCTGCAGTGGTCAGATTTCTTTCCACCCTGCTTCCATTATTGAGCTTAATCTCACTGGCTTAGACTGCAATATCCAGACTTGACCATGTTTTAGGTTTCAGAAACAATGCACATTTAACATTTTTGTTATTTTGGCAAAGCACTTCAATGCAGTGGGGCATCAGTTTTGTAGTTATGTGGTAACAGCATAATGAATGCAATGTCTTTGTGAATAATTTTTCTTTATTTCTTTTTTTTAACTGAACTGAAACAACTTGATTAAAACTAAAAATAATGTTATTTGTAATTATAGAGTAAGTACAGAAACAAAAGTATAAATGCATGGAGCAAGCACCGAAAGAGTTCAGGAATACGGAGCTCCTAGGGGACATGGGGATTTATTTTCTTTTGCGTTCCCTCGCAAAACTTTTACGTTGACGTACGTACTGATCAGTTATGCGGCATAATTGAATAGCCTACTGTAAGCCTTTCTTCCGGTGGCCGCTGTACGTTTTGCTTTAATATAAGGTTATGCGAGGTTTTTTCATGAATGTTCATATCTCCTTCAGAAATATCTTTTGCGGGGTAATCAGTCATCTGACAGTTTTGATTGTATCTGTTGTGTTCGTAGTCTGAATGGTTTAAAGGGCTGTTTTCATGTTCAGCTCCGTCTCAACATAAACATGCAGTGAATAAATTGATTTTCAATCAGTTTCTGCACCAAAGACTTAATAATAAACATAATAATAAACATGTTTTATTATAATAAAACACGGCAAACTAATGGTGTTAAATAGTCGCACTGATAACTCGGGGAATCTCATCTGTCCGTGTATCAATCAATACCCAAACCATTTCTTTGTTCTGTCACAATTATAGATTTATTCCATTTTGATTACCAGGCTCCAAACTTTGCAAAGACTGACCTCCCCGCTCACCGCTTCCTCACACACACAAAGCCAGTAGGATAGCGATCTTCCATTCATACTTGATGACGTCACGCCCACGTCGACACACACACCACCACCCGTGTCACAGCCGTGTGCTGCTGTCTATCGATTAATTACTTATTTCATTCATACGGCTCTTATAGAGCCTCAGTGAAAACGTGTTATTATTATTAACACTTTAGTGCAAAACACTGATTGAAAATCGATTTATTTACTGCATGTTTAAGATGGAAGGGCACTGAAAGCAGAACCTTGAACTATTAAGACTACAAATACAACAGAGACGCAATCGAAACTGTCAGATGACTATTTACCCCACGATAATAACTCAGAAATAATCCAAATTAGAATGTATTTTTATTTTTTTGGTGGCTTTTTATCTTAAAGGAAAAGATATAAAACTTCAGATATTTCACAAAGCGATATTAACATTCATGGAAAAACCTCACATAACCTCATATTAAAGCAGAAAGTACAGCGGTCACCAGGCTTACAGTATTCAAATATGCTGCATACAGTATTGTGAGGGGACGCAAAAGAAAAAAAATTCCCGATGTTCCCTAGGGAGAATTGTACAGGAACACAAATTTCTGGGATATGAAATATTATATCAAATAAAGCCAAGCAGTTGGGTAAACAGAAAGCACTGCTTAACCAACGTGTTTTCTGTTTACATAAAAGTACTGGTTTAACTGTGCTGTTAAGCCAGTACTGTTCCCCAGTTTCACCTACCACAGTTACTGTGCAAAGATATGAAGCAACAATTATGCACTTTACAGCAATTAATTAATTAAACTGCAAAATAGAGCGATAAATATCAAAAAGGTTGGCCACCTGGGTCACACTAACCCATTATTTATACATTTCAAATTATTACATTTCACTGATTTGATAAATTAACAAGCAGTGTTCAAATTCAAAGATCAAAACTACAAAAATAAAATTTGAGTTTCTGAAACTGCGGTGTGAAACTGGAACAATTTTACTGCGAAATTATAGCAATGTCCAAACATTAAACTTGAACAATTAAATTCAAGTTTAATTACTCTATAAGAAAATGATCTACACTACATAAGGAAATTATTTTGATATCTTATGTTATTGTTGTTATAGCATTATTATAAATGCTTTTATTATAAAATATAGTTTTTTAACATTTGTTTTTGTCAGAATATTGTGAAGAATGGAGGAAAATAACATGGGGGTAAGTGCATTTTGACAAGTCACCTTTTCAACATCACAAAGATGATGTATGTCACCTTTACCCAAGTACAAATGGGAAATTTCTACTTTCAATGTGTGCTTTTCTACACATTTTCTGCTGTTTAAAAAGAATCATAAAAATTTAAGGAAGGGGATTAAGGAAAATTTAATACAAATTTATCTGTAGTTAAAGCCAGATATTTATATACACCAAATAAAAAGACACAAAATGAGATGAAAAGAGATGATTTCAGGTCTGCTAAATTATGGTTATTCCATTCCTAGCCTTAATGCATGTGTTCCTGGCACATGCATTAAGGCTACTCCTGATTAAGGATGAAACAGAGTGGACAGTGAGCAGGCAGGAGGTGTGTCGCGGTGAGAGTCGCAGTACCATTTCTTATCGGGATATCTGGTTCTGATCCACAGCGGTTGAACCAACTCTGGCTGCTTGTAGTGAACCAAGTCCACCTCGCTGCAGCAAACAGGAAGGGTTGGGGTCAGACCACTGTCAGTCTCAGACTTTATTTGGAATTGCGACCATTGCACTCCGGAAGTGAAGGGGGCAAGCGGGTGACCGCATTACCAATGCGGTCACCCGTTTTTATTCCTTTTGAAATCTGTGATATATCTTCACCTTTAGGAAGGATTTTCACTCTCAACATGTATTGGAATGTCTCTCTTTTATTTACTTCTGCACAGCTCACAGATTTAAACAAATTCTGTAGCTTTCTGTACTTCTAAATCTTTTTTCATTGCATCTTTTTGGGTCTACTATTGCCTTTTGAATTTTATTAGTCTAAGTAATACCAGATCAGGTAATGAGCTATTTCAAACTCTATTCTCCATGGTTGCTTCTCTACTTCCAGCTCTCTCTTAAAGCTAGGTTTGTAGTTGAATCATTAAGCTTCATGTCAAGGTGTGCTTGCCAGTTCGTCCATGTCTCAACGCATTGGTCATGCACCTCCAACTTCAGTGTAAATTGCACCGCTACCTTTCACTCAAACTGGATGATTTGGAAGGTGTTCTTGAAGATCAGCTTTGCTTGTACTGGCACCTCAATGAACTCATTTATGGAGAATATAAAATCCACCACTGTTGCTCAGTTTGTGTGCGTTCAGTGGACAAACCCAGCATTGAACTTGAGACGTGTATTAACTGTACTAATTAAATATTTAGTTAGGAGTTAAATATTTACTTTACAAATTAAATATATAGTTCCTAATTAAATGTTTCAGTCTGAGCTTGCCAAAAAGCAGAAGTATAATATCAAAATAAAAGCCAGGTTTTGCAGCTGCAATATAAACTTTGCTGATGGCAGGTCTGAATCATTGCTAAGTAATCGTTCTTTCCTCCTGACATTTCAAACGTGTTAGCTGAAAACATAAAATGTGCCCAGCTTTTATTTTGATATTCTACTTCTACGTTTCAGCAAAGTAATTTGCACATTAGCTAAAGTTTTAGCTATAAGCTAAATATTATATTTGACTAGCCACCCAAAATATTTAGTTAGCAATTTAAATATTTAGTTAGCAAAATGACATTTAACTTTGAACCAAAGATTTAGTTGGAAATCTATATATTTAGCTTGACCTTAAAATTTTGTTTACATATATAATATGTAAACTAAATGTTTAGCATGTGAATTAAATATTTAGTTTGGAACTCTGACAGAAATGTCAATTCTGTCAGGACGACAAAAAATCAACAGAGACTGATTTTCAGTACTTTGCGGACATAAATAAGATGTCCTCTTCCAAGACCTTTCGACAATTTTTAAAATACATATTCCAGTCAAAAATATATGGTTTGTTCTTTAATGGTATATTTGCTTTTCTGACCAGGAACAACCAGGCTGATCTCAGATTTGTTAAAAACTACAGACCTCAAGTCAAGAATCGGACCCTCCGGATTCTTCTGCATGGACCACAGGGCGCTGGAAAGTCCAGTTTCATCAACTCAGTCCAGAGTGTCCTAATGGGCCGAATTTACTCTCAGGCTTTGGCAAATAACTACGCAACCGGCGGAAGTTTTACTAATGATGTAAAAAAAAAAATAATTCACTAATTTAAAAAAGAAATTCTTTCAAAATTCTTTGTTCATTTTGTGAATAGTGTGCAAACAATTCAAACTCACTCAATGATGACTATGACAGGTTTTTTTTTGAAAGATAAACTCCTGGACAGCTAATGTGTGAAAGGCATTAAAGTCTTATTCTATTATTAGTTTTAGACTTTTATTTGTATAATTATTTTGTGACTTCTAAAAGCCTAATCAGAAAGTGGTTCTGAAAATTAACTTTTGACTAGAGGGCCAATCAAAAGGACAACTGTTCCTTTTAATTTTAGAGTTTTTTGTCTTTTCCCTTGCTTGAATAAATTTAGATAAATGATGTACAAATGATATACATTAAAGTTTTCAATTTCACTTCTTTAATTGATTACTAATTTGTTGCAGGTCAAATCAGACTTTATTAAATACAATTATTTCCTAGTCCTGAGTAGCAGCAATTTAAAATTACATGTCTTGTACCACGATGGGAAGAACTACAAGTTAAAACTAGAACATTTGTGACTCACTTTGCTAGTTAGACCAGGTATAACAGACACTCAACTCATTAGAAATTCATGGAGCATTCTCAAATGCTTCTGAGAGATGATAGATTCACAGTGATTTCATCTTGCCTAAAGGATCACCTTGAAGCACAATCTTTCAGTTGTGCTTCAAAAACATTATTTCATAAATATGCTTTTCTCCATTTGCATTTTACAGTACTCAACTTATAAAGAGAGAAAAGCAGACGGGTCATTCTACCCGTTTGTTTTCTCTGACATCATGGGTCTGAGCGAAGGAGAAGAAGCCTTGGAGGAAGATGTCAAACTGGTTTTAAGGGGACATGTGAAGGAAGGTTACACGGTAAACTACTGTTTCCGCCATCCATTGTCAACATTTATCTATCCTTGGAGTGCTGCAAGGAGAACTGTTGCTATCTTCAGCAGTCATTCCAGCAAGAGCCCCGGTCCACTGAAGAGGTCACTAGTCTGTCATAAGGCAACAAAGGGACAATTTGTGGTGAAAATTTTAATTCACCACAAATATGTACACCCACTCATAATATAAGGCCAGTTAGAAACCAATTAATCCAACATGCATCAAAAAGATGCATGTTGTGAGAGTTTCCATTTGGAGAAAATCAAAATATCTAGGGCAGGGGAAGTGAACCAGTTCAGTATTTAGAGCCAAATTAAAGTCATCACATTACCACATCAAAGCAACCCTTTCACATGCGTATCAGTGAAAACAAGGCAATGATTAGATTTGTTTAAGTGTAGCAAAAATTCATTCATAGACAAATTCACAGATATTGATTCAAAAAAACTTATTCACAGAAAACTTTTGAGCTCCATCTGGGCAAAGTGCCAGATGTGGAAATGTCTCATACACGACCTCTGGGAAAAGGTTCAGCAGCTTCAAATGCAGAACCACCAGATTCCACAACAGCTTCGTCCCTCATGCCATAAGATTACTAAACTGCCACTAATTTAATCTTTTATTATAAATATTTATATTAATACCTTTATTTATTTGCTCATTTATTATTATTTAAGCCTTGCAACAAAATTTCTTTTAATTTGTACATTTTTAAACAACATGAACGACAATAAACTCTTTGTACATCTTGAACCACTTGAAGTACATGCAAATGGTTGGTGTCTTTGTAAAGGCAACAAATTAAAATTTTTGGCTGTGCAGTCCAATGTATTGTTCTGGTAACTAGGACTAAAATAACAAAGTTTCAGTAACCTTCTCCAAAATGACCAGTCCTTGTTTCTGAAAAAAAAAAAGTGTTAACAACTGCATGCAGCCAGCAAATGTTACTGAATTTTCTGACTGCATGCATACATACACATGCATGTTATTTAAAATATATTTTGTGCTTTTATTGCAACATTTTATATCCTTTTTTTTTTTTTTCAGTTCGACCCAGACAAACAGTTGTGTCAGGGCGACAAATTCTATCAGGAAACTCCAAATGCCAATGACAAAGTTTCACGCTTTATCTGCGTAATTCCTGCAGATAAAATAGAGATGACAAGTGATGAAGTTGTGGATCAGATAAGGCGCATCAGAGAGGATGCCAGCAGCCTGCGTAAGTCCAGAAATATTATTTCTTGTGTATTTGCAATTTTACGCTGTTAAGACTTACAAGAAAAACTTACGTTGAACATAAATATGGATGAGAAAATGCAAACACTCAATAATGTACAAAACACTGTCAAGTGACATTAGATTTAGCTGACAGTCATACTTCACAGATTGTTGCACAAGATTATCCAAATGTATCAACTGGGAAAATTAAAAAGTTATTATGTCATTATTATTATTTCAAGTAATGTCATTCTGCTAATTAAGCCTCTCAGATTTGTCTCTTCTTTGTCTGTTTGTAGACCTTGAATAGATTGCCCCCAATAGTGATGTTCTTATCTAGTCAAATGTCTCAGACCTTATTAACGCACATGAAAAAGGCTTTTTCAGAGTCCTGTGTCAAGATGAGGTGATTACTGTATGTTGGTGAGTGTTCAGTCAGTGTGAAGCAAGAAAAAAGATGGAAGCAATGATGGGTTGGCAGAAAGCAAACAGGCAACATTCTATTACATTTTTCTTGTAATAATGTGCTACTTAAGTATCTAAACATTCTAACGGACAATGTTTCGACCTTATTTTGTATTTATTTTCAAGTATATTACGTGTGTTTATTATCATTAGTGTCAGAGACCAAGTAAAGGGGACATTACGGTTCATAGAACTAGGAAGACCAAGCCCCATAGGGCAGCTCTGGTGTCAGAGGTTGAGTTCAACTGATTGTTCAGGTTCAAAGTTGTTGCTTTTAGAAAAATATGGCCGTTTTCTTAAAGGTTTCATTTTATTACTTTTGCATGCTTCTTGTGAAGAAGCAGTGCAGGCGGATAAGTTTCTCGGCTGTCTGTCTCTGGTCTGCTCACTAGCTTTTTCAGGCTGAATACAGAAGTGATTTCATGGAAATAACACAGGAACGGTTCCCTTATTTACCATCCATCTCCCCCCTGTAATTTTAGGCTGAAAAAGCTGATTTGGAGTGAAATGAAGGCTGCAAACTTTGCTTTGCGGCCTTCGTATTCATAGCTTTAACTGGAAGCGACGAATATTTACAAGCAACTTTCACCTTAATTCAGGACGCTTGGAAATCTGTGAAATCTTAAAATCCTGTTATATTTGGAAGATAACGATGTTCATGATATTGTTTTATTTGCTTCTGAAATATGACTTTGTCTAAGTCCACCTTGCTGCAGCAAACGGAAGGGGCGGGACAGACCACTGTCAGTCTCATACCTTATTTGGAAATGGGACCATTGCACTCCGGAAGTGAAGGGGGCGCTATTTCCTATATTATTTGCAGTGTCCCATTTTATTTTCTTTTGAAATCTGATATATCTTTATCTTTAGGAAGGCGTTTCACTCTCAGCATGTATTTGCACTTCTCTCTTTTATTTTCTTCAGCGTAGCTCCCAGTTTTAAACAAATTGTGTAGCTTTCTGTGGACTTCTAAAACTGCTCCTTAGTCGCATCTTTTCGGGCCTGATACAGCCAAAGACACCAAAACGTCTCTGATGTTCCAAACACAAAACATAAAACCTGATGAACATTTAAACATTTGAGATGATCTGATCACTGAAACCTCTGAGACAGAGGGCGATGGTAACTCAACTATATAATTACATTACTAAATCAGAATACCACAAAGTCTTTATTATTTTTTTTATCAATTCCAGTATTACTGGCATTGTAAGAAATAAATTATAAAACTCCATGTTTTTTTCATTTTCTTAAGGATGTAAAGCCATTTAAATGACATAAACAAGATATTTATATTTTATAACTAATATCTATATAGAGCTATCAATTGTAGGAGGAATAAATTAAATGACACATGAAAAGCAACAAGATCAACTATGATAAAAATACCAAATATAATGTAAACATAAGAAACTTAATTGAGCAAAAGTCAATAAACAAATGAATTAAGTTCACAGAAGAATCACAAACCTGGTTGTTACAAATGGGATTGTTAAAGAGATGCAACAAAATTCACATTTTTACTTATGTGGTGCCATATGTTATTGTGAGAGATTTGTTTGTTGGTGAGTCTTATATACAGTATAGGAAAAAATAAGATGAAACTATTTAGTCTACCGAGGTGGAAATTTTTCTTTGACTCTAAAAACTATAAATAAAACATTCATAGAATCACAATATCAACAATTTGTACATAAAGTAAAACACTTAGCAAGCTACAGGTAAATGTTATCGTTTAGTTTTATTAAAAATTATTCTTGCACTGTCAATAAATGACTCATAATCAATGTTCTTAGGCATCAGAGGGAAATAGTAAACACCTTCATGAGCTCAGAGGGTCAAACTGATGAATAGAGGATGGATGCTCTCTGATAAAATATTCCTTCCATCTTCCATGTTCTTTCAGCGAACAGTTGAGACAGTTGTATTACCCACTATTCAAAGTATTTTTAGTTTGTTATTCTGCAGCTCATGTGACCCAACCAGCTGAGGAGATGAAAAGTTAAAACACTCAACATTGTCTTCTACACAATTTGTAGTTGTCTAACCCTAAGATCTCTGCGTCTTCTTAAAAAAATAGTCTTAAGCTTCTTAAGCTGTTACCCGCGCGACCCGACTCCGGATAAGCGGCAGACAATGTATGGATCGATGAAAAAATAGTCAACCCTTCCTTAAGGTTAAGCTAGATCACAAATATCCAAAGAAAATAAAAATTTGAGATCGCAGACAATATAGGAAATAGTGCCCCTTCAGTTCCAGAGTGCAATGGTCACATTTCCAAATAAACTATGAGCCATATTTTGCTCATGTGGATGTGATGTCAGCACCGTAACGTGCAAAGAGCCCATATTCACATAGTGAATTAAAATATTCCTCCAATGGAGTTTGGCATAGACTGTTGGCTCTATCAATCCATCTCTGTTGTCCCCATCAAGAATTAGAAATCAGTGTGATAACTGGAGTACCAGATAAAAGCTCTTTTACAAAATGTTATTTTTTAATAATTCTTCTGAAATTAATGTTTTACCCTATAATATTATTTTCAAAACATTTTTCTTTATCTAATATAAATGTTTCAGCTGAGGAATATTTGAATTAATAAAAAAAGAAGCTTTTATTGGTTTCTACTGCCAATGTTCTGTAATCTGCCGTCTTGGCCAGAATAATTATCTTGCCAAAGAGACATTTCATCTAAATGCGACTTTCCTGGTAAAATAAAGATTAAATAAATAAATTGGCTATATTCCATTTTGTTTTTAGGGCTAACCATTCCAGGTAAACTGTTAAATTGTTATGAAAGGTTGAAGGCTCAGTCGATAAAGGTGGGATACACAGGGTTGGGTTCAAAACCTGAGAAGAGATAACCTGAAAGTTAACTACTCACTTTTATTCTGTGCTGTTTGAAATGTTAAGACAAACTTTTATTTGACAGTTAATGTGAAATATTCTAGTTACAATTTTTTCTTTCTTGAAAATCAGTTTTAAATTCACATATTTTGCTTTAAACGTTCTGGTACTAAATTATGTGCTTGAAGGGGTCTATTTTCTTTCACCATATTTGTATATTTTTAGTTGCATTTAAAACAACATAAATTAAATTTCTTCAGACCTTTTTCATTTAAATGAAAACATATCAGCCCTTCTGATGGCATACATTTCATATCAAATGTTGCCTAATTTTCTTTTCTGTTTATTATTTTCGGGCAGACATTCCTCAGATTGCTATAATCACCAAAATTGATGAACTCGATCCCGATCTGCAAAAGGATGTAAAGAAGGTCTACAAGCTCAAAAGCATAAAGGAAAAGGTTTGCTTAATTACCTTCTTTATAGGTATTTATAATAATGTGGAAAAACTTAATATATTGTAATGAAAAATGCATGAGTCACTGCCATGTGATTGACTGATTCAACATTACCTTAATGAGCAGTTGGACAGATGTACATAAAGTGGGATGTATTACATCAAGACAGTTTCTAATTTTTAGTGTAAACCATTTCCTTACACAAAATTTCGAATGGTTTAATGTTTGTAAAAAGTTTTAATTCAACAGTGTTTTATAATTTCACACCACAGACTGAAATTAATAAAAGTTTTTGTTGTGGTCTTATAGAGGCAGTGTTGTGTAAAAGGTTTTTTTTAAAACTTTACATCATATTATGTTATTTCCTCATGAAAAGCACACCTGTAATGTCGATTTATTTTTTTATCCATGTTTGAGAAATCTTTTAATCTCCATGGCAACGACTCAGCTGAGCAAAACACCTGGATGGACCTAGCCCCTTCTTCTCAGTGCTGTAGTTTCCAAATTTCTGCTTCTGCCTCAAAGAGCAGTCCTTATATGTGTTTAATATTTATAAAATATTCTACAAAATTTCCTTTTGTAGAATGTTTTCATAATAGTACAATTCTTTTAGTTTTGATCTATGGCCTCCATTTTGCACTTCTATCTCTATCTAGTTATTTTTTCTTTAAAATTGGTTACCCATCCATCCATCCATCCATCATCCATCCATCCATCCATCCATCCATCCATCCATCCATCCATCCATCCATCCATCCATCCATCCATCCATCCATCCATCCATCCATCCATCCATCCATCCATCCATCCATCCATCCATCCATCCATCCATCCATCCATCCATCCATCCATCCATCCATCCATCCATCCATCCATCCATCCATCCATCCATCCATCCATCCATCCATCCATCCATCCATCCATCCATCCATCCATCCATCCATCATCCATCCATCCATCCATCCATCCATCCATCCATCCATCCATCCATCCATCCATCCATCCATCCATCCATCATCCATCCATCCATCCTCCGGTCACCTTTCTCCCTAACGGGGTCGGGAGGTGCTGGTGCCTATCTCCAGCTGCGTTCTGGGCGAGAGGCGGGGTATCGTGGACAGGTCGCCAGTCTGTCGCAGAAAATTGGTTACACATATCCATTTTTAGATGTTTATGTTGAATGTGTGGACCCCAGGGAGAATAGATACAAGGAACTGCTAAGAAAGAGGATACAAATAAAAGAATAAATGTTTTATTTTTCTCCTGTAGATGCAGAAATTCAGCTCTCTTGTTGGTATTCCCATGAACCGCATCTTCCCTGTGAAGAACTACCATGAAGAAATTGACATGAACACAGACGTCGACTCACTGATCCTCAGCGCAATGAGACATATTCTCAACTGTGGAAATGACTGCATCAACTTCCACCACAACCGTGCTTGATCTTCTTGAAATATATTTGTTTTCTTTTCACTGCTTGCCCCCACATAATGTCAAATTTATGTTCATTTTTCAGCCTTTCTATATTTACAAAACTATTAAAATCAAATGGGTATGAAGCTGTCTGCAGCATTTAAATCTCACTTTTATATAAAACATAAGCTTTTTAATGAGCTACTTAGAATTCTTCCATGAATCATGTTTTGTTGTATTTCATATCAGTAGACAAATTATTTTAAAATTAAACCTTTAGCTCTTTTACTATGAAATGTTTCCCAGCATATCCACACTGATATTTAATCACAATAAATATGCTTTAAAACTTCAGTTTAGTGTGATCCTTACTTACATACAGCTATATTTTCTTAGATTTACAGATTTAGATTAAATGTGATACTTAAGCATCAACATTCCTTCATCGGTTTCAACACAATGTGAATTCTCAAAGACCTGAAAATGCAGATTTTTATACTACTTAAATATACATTTGGATTTATAATATAATGCAAAATAGACCATAGTAATGGGCAGGTTGCAGATGCAATAAGATGCAATAAAGTACAGCAGTTCAAGACAAACTCACTTGAATGACTGAATATTTGTAATTTTAAAACAAAATATTTCTGGAGCCAAATGTAGCTTAGTGTTTCCCAACCTTGATCCTTAAGGCACACAGCCCTCATGTTTAAATATTTTCCTGCTTAAACAAAACAAAGTCAGATGACTGGCGTAAAAGTCCATCAATCAGCCATCAATTGAATTCAGGTATGCTAAAAAAAGAAAAACACCTCAAATCTGAAGGGCAATAGGTCTTAAGGATCAAGGCACTGGAGAGACAGACAGAAAGAGAGAGAGTAAAACTGATTGAACATGCTGGAGAAAAATTGGTGGAGAGAGCAAGAAAGATTGATCCATCCATCTGTAATTCAGGGTTCAGCAGCTGCACCTGGTTGCCAAATTGCTTTGGTGACAGCAAATTTCAGCAAGTCATATCACTTCCTGTTTTCTCACTTCCTCTGAGACTGTGAGACCTGTTAGAAAGGCTTTTGAATTTTCAAACCTTTCTGCACACAATCAGTGTTACAGCTAAATCTGTTACCTCAGCATCATACCAACCACACCAGATGCCCATGTGAATTCAAGCTTTGGACCAATTTATATTTTGAAAATCAGGGTGACATTTTTTGGATAATTTCATTTCCCTGTGAAATCTCTGATGGTGAGCTACCCTTGATTAAAATTTTATTTTTTGGGGAGCCTGCCTGAGTTGTTAGGAACTGTGGACTAAGCTATGGACCTAATGCAGAATTATGGATTCTAATTAAAAATTTTTTTTTTTAAATTTGTTTAGCTCCTGACTTGAATCCAATTATTTTTCCACTTTAAACCTTCTCTAGGTTTAACCAAAGCTTCCAAAACTGTCAAAGCAGTCATAGAACAAAAAACAACTCAATTTTATGATCCAACACCAGAGGCATAATCGTCAGGTATTTCATAATGCCATGACATCTGACAATGAATCTTTAGCTTTGTGTGCTGTGATGATCCCTCCTGTCCAGTAGGTGTCTCCAGTCCACTATTTGTTCTTTTCAGGAAGCAGATAGATGGGCTGTTAATTAAACGCTGTTATATACTGACATCCACTCAATCATTGGCTGCTTGATTGGCCTCCGGACCAGACCGGAACAGATAGCATTAGTCCGTGGTTCTCCCGAAGCGTATTCTGGACAGAATAAATTATTGTTTCTATGGTTCTGCTTGTCTGTCTCCCATTTTAGTCATTGCCTATGAGTGGGGCGTGACAGTGCATTAATATTACAAAGGCTGTCATCTTAGTGTAACAACATGTTGCAGACAGTTGCAAAGCATTTAAAGAAATTAAAGCTTTGTTTTACATTCAAGAAAAAGTTTTGCATTAACACTTAATATGCAGCCATTCTTAGAGCAATTTACACAGACTTAAACGTTCAAACATATTTCGGATGGAGGAAATTCATGTCTCCACATCTTCTCTTAGCAGATGTTCCCAGCTGGCATTGATGACACAAACCAGGATGTGAACTGTCATTGGAATCTGGAGAACCACTGTAATGTTCAGCACTTTTGGACAAACTGCATTCAGGATTGAACTAAGAGGTTAAAAAATAAGCCATTAGTCTGAAAGATTTCAGTTTGTATTTCTTTGACTCTGAAAACTGCAACAGAAATGTTACCGTGTAAACATCTCTGATGTTTCGCTTCATTGCCTTTTTCACATCTTTCTCCTGAGCTCTTCTGGTTCTCCTGCTGTCGGTCCTCAGGCTCATCATGCTTTTTAACACAAAAAGGGTAAAAATTTGTTCTCATTTCCTATAGAAATACTGTAGCTTATGTACTGCAAACCATAACATCATGATTTCAAGGTAAAACATTCAGGTTTTAATTAAAAATGATGACACCTCACTTTCTTTTTACCTGTTTAGTGAATCTGTCTTCAGCTGGATTATTAACAAGAGCGATGGTAGTCACGCTCCCCTGCAGGATGCTGCTGACAGAGTTAATGAAGCTGGATTTTCCAGCTCCAGTCAGTCCATGAAGAAGAATCCTGAGCTGCTGATCTTCAGCCTGAAGTCTGTAATTGTTCACAAACTGCAGGTCCGACTGTTTGTTTCTGCTCAGAAAAAACAAAACATTATTTACTGGCCTCAGTGTGGGATTTAGTGACATCTGCAAATGAAAAAGTATAATACAACTGGCTTTACCTCCCAAATGAGCCCTGTCAATCAATTATCAAAATTTAAAACTAAATTAAAATAACATCAAAAACTTTGACAAAGCATTAAGGTTCTCAAGTTTTCCGCCAAGGCTTATGGAGATCAAAGCAGAAAAATGTTCAAAGAATCACAAAGCACTTAATAATTTTCCATATATTGTAAATCTTTGCTTTACTGGAAACATGAGCATTGAGTTAAGCTTGCTGTTTTTGGTCTGGAAGGTGAAAATCCCATAACTTCAACTCAAAGCAGATGTTTCAGTTCATGTGTACAAAAATCTATTTCTAAACATCTTAGAAATGTTTTCAGTCACGAGTCAGAGGTTAAAGCAAGCGAGAACAGAAACAACTAGCAGTGAAACTACAGGTAATTTAATCAACTTTTGTTTGAAAAGTTTGAAACAGATTAATGTATGAAATGTAATAGTTCAGTAGAACCTGTCACTGTGAAACAGTATGATATTAATATGTCACACTTTCATGTTTCACCATCAACTGATGTTGTGAATCTAATTTCACTGTGGAGGAAGTTTGATTCGTCTACTTTGAGAATTGTTTTAGTTCAGCCATATTGAAAGGTTTTCATGAATGTTCAACACTTTTCTTTACTTCAAATTTATAAATTCAGGTTTTTGTTTTCTTCTTTTTACCAAAATGCAATTTAAAGCAACTTAAATGTTTTGCGCCAGAAAGTTTGGCAACATACAAAAGACATGAAATGAATGAAACTCGGACGAAGAATTTAAATTTTAAAAATGTTGGCTTTTAAGTATTTTTTAAAATTGTAACGAACTAAAATAATATTAATGTAATAATATTCCTTTGATAGCAGTAATTTCTCAGGAACAACCTTGTTTTGTTTTGCACAGTTATAATTACACAAATCAGGTTTCACTTCAAAATCTATTTTACATTAAATCATCTGATAATCTGATGTAATGTTCCTTAATTTGGATGATTCCAAATTATGATAATTCCTAAGTGTGCAGATCTGCAGTCCCAAACTAAATGTCTTTCATTTCCATTGCAGACTGCCTACCATACTCTGGCGAACAGCCGGGGAAGAAGTCGACCAGTTCGTCTGACGGATCGGCTCGTCATCAATCACAGATCGATCCAACGAAAAAACCTGACCTGTTATCAAAACAGTCAGAAAACACATCGAGTTTTCTAAGAACAGGTTTAAATCCTTGCAAACACTTTCTGCTCTAGAACAGAAATGTACAAACTTCTGGTACCAGACGGGTTCTGCAGAGATTTACACCTGCTGTGGAACCAAATATTATTGATATTTATTTCAATTTGAGCAAATGAGGCTGTGTGAGTGCATGAAAATGCTGAGTCAGGTGTTTTGATATCATTTCAAACCCAACATTTTGCACCTGATAAGAAACTCGACTTTCAGTTCAATATTGAGCTTCTGCTGCTAGTTTATTTAAGACATCAAAGATTATTTATTTGAGTTAATTTGGCTCTTCAGGGAGTAAAATATAAAATATCTGATCTGTGGAGACAGTTGATCATAGCTCAAACCTGCAGCTAATTAAATATTAGAGGAAGCGCTCAGCTTTTAATTTGGCTTTGGGGGGTTGGGAGAATCAACGCCTCCTGAGCTAATTAAATGTTTTAAACCTCGGCTCATTAAAGTTGTTCGTCCATCAAAGCGAGAAAAGAGGAGAAATGTGAATCCAGCAGCAGCTGCAGAGGCTCAGAAACCATTCTGTTGATGCAGAGTTGGATTTTTTCCAGCTTTTCAGCCCAGTTTTCCCACATCTACTGATGGTGAAACGTGAAATGCTTCTGCAGTGCTGACGACTGTTTTCTGTTCTGCAGCTCTGATGCGTTTCCTGAGAGGCAGAGTGGGCGATCAGCTCAGCAGCCTCGTCTTGGCAGCAGTGATTGACGGTTCAGTCAGGCTGCAGGACGCGGAGCCCACTGAGTGCGTGTGACACTGTGGGGGCTCCAGGTCCATTGTGTCCTCCTGGTTTGGCTGCAGCTGGGAGGCGGAGGGGCGATGTGCAACCAACCGAGGTGAGGAGATAATGGGAAGCAAAGAGCATCATTACCTCTCTCCTCCCCCATTTAACCCAGAAGAAAAGATGAAGTGGATGTCGTTTGACGTTCTGGATGTGGAAAATAATTCACAACAATGCAGCATCTAAGAAGCTCAACATATTTTATTGCTTCTCATACAAGCGAGTACAGCTGAAGCAGAAAGTGAAGGATTTCTAGAAATTATTGATGAGATCAGAGCAAATCCAAAGCAGACATGGTGAAGAAGGCAGCAGCAGCGTTCAATAAAAATTCAACACACATTCAGTTGCTGTGATTTTCTCAGCAGTCATTAAAAAAGAAAAGAGGCCATCAAAGCAATTTCCAGCTAATCTCCTGGAAGAGAGATTGATTGCTCCCCAATCTCCAGAAACAGACCGACTGTCCAAGGCAGGTGTTGGTTTGTGAAATTTACCTTTTCACAAATTAATAAAGAAAAATCTGCATCTAACTGCTTACTGGCTGTTTTTCACAATGACTTTCTCACCCAGTTTCTGCTCAAAGTGAGAAAAAACAAGAATCTAAAGACTTTCCTAAACAGTTATTTGTGGAAAAAATAAAATGGTTCCAGTTAGACTTTACATTGTTTTCAATGAACTTCAAGTGTCGGCTGTAGAATTTAGAAACAGAAGAAAAACAAAGAACAGATGAGCTAGAAACAATCTGGAAAGGTTGCTAGCCTAACACCGCTTAGCCGCATGTATTTTGATGCCCTTATCGCCACCTAGTGGGGTTTTCAAATCATCTGCACTTTAACATAATCAACTGTAACAAATTAATTATTCAGTGATGGTCAAAATCTGGAGAAACAGAGATATTTTCTCTCTGGTAACCTGTGAAGGATGTTACAGTACGAAGATAAAAAAACATAAAATTATGAGAATAAAGTCGTATCAAAGTCAAGATAAAATGATATTCTAACTTTATTCTGGTTTGTTTTGACTTTACTACAGCTTTATTCTCATAATGTTATGAGTTTATTTTTGCTAGACTACAAGTTTATTCTTGTAATATTTTGATAATATTATAACTTTTCTCACATAAAACCATAAGTTTATCCCGCACAAGTTCATTCTTATAAAACAATTACTTTACTCTTGTAATTTTAAGTTTCTTAGCATGATCCTTGGTATGCTGTCAAAAATGTGACAAATGTGGACAAATTTTTAAAAACCTCAATTTTTTTTTTTTTTTTTTGCTAAAAAAATAATTGTGGGAAAATCAGATTGGTATTGGCACATTTTCTTAATTTTCTTGGATTTTTTTCTCTGTTTCTGCAGAATCTGCAAGAATAAAAGTAAATATGATTGAAATGAAACCTCGACAAATTTGACAATAGGGAAACAATATTTTACTTCATTTATCATGATCTACTGGATGGAGTTTTTGTGCAGAGATGAATCATGCATGATGAACCTTTACATCCTTTTCTTTTGATCTGTCTGCATTTTTTCCTCAGCAGAATAAAAAATATTTTAAAAAACTTTAGGTTTGCTTTCTTAACTTTCCAGTTTTCATCTGCAGCCTGTTCAGTCATTTTTTGTTATTCACTCTGCAGGTCATAAAGGAAACAAATTACTTTATTTTTTTTGGATTTAGAATGAAACTTTTTTTTTCATGCATTGCAAGAAAAAACAGCACAAAAATAAAAAAGTGTTGCCTGTAATGTTGCATTGGGGCCCCGTCCCCAGAAATGTTGGTTGCAGCCCTGTTGGAGCGTTAGTTCCATCTGAAGGCAGAACATTGGCTGGAATAAAATGGCTTTTTGGTTTCAGTTTGAGCTGAAACGTTTTTTTGTCTTCAGGTTTTTGGTTTCAGTGAAGCTGCAGCGGTCGGGTTTTAAAGGTTTTCAGACGTTTGTGGCTCTGAGGTTCGTTTTTTAGAGTCCTGCTCTGCTTCTGAGGCATTCAGCTGAATCTACAATCTGTCATTTACAACATTTAGTAATTATCCCCTTCTCACACACACACACACACACACACACACACACACACACACACACACACACACACACACACACACACACACACACACACACACACACACACACACACACACACCTCCCCCAGTTCAGGCGCCTGGACGCCACATTTCCCGTCCGCCGGAGCGTCAGACATACTCCTGCAGGCTGTAGTTGTCCTTCAGGTCTTTCTGTGGGAATTTCTGCCGGTCCAGAACCGTTTTCTCCTGCCTCACCTCATCCGTCTGCAGCCGCACGCTTTTCTTCTTCTTCTGTTTGGGTTCCACTTTCGGCTCCTGCCTCCTTTCCAGTCGGATCGAGTCGGAGTTTGAGACGCTGTCCGGGCCGGCGGACCCGCTTCCCGGACAGGACAGACAGAAGATGACTCCTCCGGCCAGCAGGAACCCGGCGGCGATGAAGGTGACGCAGAGCGCGCCGCCGGGCTGGTACTTGCTGCTGTCCGGCAGGTCGGTGGTCAGGAAGGCGGTGATGACCTCGTTGGTGAAGAGCGCCGCCGGAACCAGGCAGAGCAGGCTGGCCAGGACGAAGCAGCCGCCCGCCGCCATCGCCGTGTGGCCCTTCGCCCGCTGGCTGCCCCCCCACCGAGTGCATTTGAGTCCCAGCGAGGCGAGACAGAGTCCAAACGCCGCCACCATGCAGCACAGAACCATGCCGGCCCGCATCATCTGCAGCGACGGCGGCAGCGACAGCACCGAGTCCTTCATGGTGCAGCTGAAGACGCCGGAGCTGTACCACACGCAGTCCGCCCACAGACCCTGCATCTGAGAGATGGGCGTCATGATGCTGCTCCACGCGTTCACGCTCACCTTCCAGTTGGGCAGCAGCGTTGCCACGGTGGCGCCCAGGACGCCCAGCAGCGCCAGGGCGAACGCCAGGATCTGAACTGCGGCGGACAGCATGTTTTACCCCCCGGCCCCAGAACACGGGGCAGATAATTCCTCCAGCAGGGGGGGAGACGTGAGCGTGGGAGCGTGACGGACGCAGCTGAGGCTGGAAATCTGGAAGCGCCGGCTCAACGGCTCAATTGGTGATCATTGACTCCTGATTAAGTGTTCTTAAAGCGGCAGCGTCCCTCGCCGCTCCGCCGGACTGAAGCGATCCCTTTGCTCCTGATGCAGCCAAACATCTGGAAGAAGTTGAGCAGAGACGAACCTGCTCCGTCCAGCGGCGAGCGAGAGCGCAGCGTGTGGGTTCGCTGCCCCTCCACCTGCCGTCTCCTTGGAAACCGGACAGCTTCAGCCCATCCTGCAGAAGAACCGGCAGAAGAACCCGGTCCTGCTCTCCAGCCTGAAGGTCAGCGCCGCCTCTCGCCGCTTCTGGGTCGCCTCCTGCAAACCTGGGTGAAGATAAGAGCCGCCGCTGATAGCATCAGATCATCTGGGCTTCCAGAAGCGTCTTCGTCTGGTTTTGGTGATAAAGCAGAGAATCAAGGTGAAGAACCGCTGCAACGCGCTGATAAGGGTCCGCGGTCCCGCCCGTCCGCCCGCCCACCGGCGCGGCCCGGCAGCCTGTTATTACCATAATCCTGCACACACAACCTGCAAACTGTAAACACACATTTTCCTGCCGGCTTCTCTGGGAGAGAAGAAGTTTAAAGAGTCCGCAGGCGTCGGTTCTGGCTAATTGATGTTGTTGCGTTCAGGTTGAAAACTCCCAACAAAGAGGAAACAGAACCCAGACGTTTTGGTTCCCACCGCAGAGGCAGAGCTGACGTCTGTGATTGAATGCGGCCGCGTTTCACATTCTGCTGCAGCAGTTTGGGTTCGTTGTCCTTTCACAATAAGACGCTTGGATCTGCAGCAGCAGCGACGACGCAGCGACCGACCGGATCCGTTTGGACAGGAAAACGGTTTCACCTGATCGGGACGGGATCAACGGGGCGGAGAAACTACAAACCTGGACTTCTGGTAAAATAATCCAATGAATTAAAACAGAAAAAAACTAAATACTAATTTAAGTTCTGCTGAATTTAATGAAAATATTTTTTTTTTATTGCAATGTTCACCAAAATTTATTTTTACTGCAGCCATCTAACATTTTTTAGACATTTAAATTTTTTTCATTATTTTTGTGATAGAAAACATTTTTTAAATTTTTCTCTTCCTGTTTTATATAAACAGCCTGAAAGGCAGATTTCAGGACCATTAATCAGAAATACAAACATTTTTATAGGGAGTTGCTTTGTTAACAGAAAACAAACATTTTATTTGTACTCTTTATTACTGATAACATTTTATTTTTGATTAATTTTTTAATGGTTTATTAAATAATCTGATAACAAAAACCTAATGCTTTTATTTTACTTGTACTGATAAATCAGACAGTGAAATTTTTCTTTCTTTCACTGTTTATTCTAAGAGAATATGAGGTAATTCATGCTGTGTATTTCATATGTTTATCTTTTTAAATTAATTAGTTGTTTTAATATTTTATTGCATTTATTCGTCTCTCGTTTTACCGTTATGTTTGTGTTCATTAATTTATTCCTGACCTGTCAGAATGAGTGATTCCGGCGCCGCGGGCCGCACCGCCGTGTGGAAGCAGCAGTTTGATGTTGGTCCCACATCTGAACAGAATGTTTTAACCTCCGCCTGCTTCGTGTCGCGGCGAGGCGCCGCTCCATTACAGCGGCTCTCTGGAGGTTTGAGCGGACGCCTGCAGGCCTTCGCGCTGCAGAAAACACACAGAGGACAAACTCTCATTTCTCCACCGCTCCCTCATTCATCCTCCATTCAGTTTATTTCAGAGCAGCAAAACTCTGCTGCTTGTTTGGCCTTCAGTCTGAAGCTGGTCGACTTTATTGGTTTCATTTTTCTGGTTGTTTGGAAAAAGCATTTAATGGAACTGATTCTTTTACAGGTGATGCTCAGGCCTGATAAGGAGATATTACGCAGGACTTTTAAAGTTTTCATACTTTTTTCCTTTAAATGAGGATTTTCAGTGTTTAATGTGAATTATTGGTTTATTTCTTATTTCCTGTATTTTACCAACCGGTTTAGTTTTTCTAACCTATACTTTGTTGTTCCTGTAGAATTTTTATTTTATTGATCGCTAAGGAAAAATTGGCATTTTGTTGACAAACTATTCCCACATAAAGAATTGCATTTTAGCAGATATAAATATAAATGTAAGTAGTGTAAAAATTATAATAATATACAGATCAGTGTAAAATCAGAAATGACTTAATATGACCTAAATAGAAATAAATACAATTTACATGCATGTAAATTTGTGATTTAGCATCAATTATTTAGCATTTACTTTCAGAAGAATTTTAATTAATCATTATTTTAGTTTTTATTTTATGCATATTTTTTTTCATGCACTGTTTTTTGTAGATCTGATCCATTCATAACTGCTGATTGTTTCACATAAAAATAGATTCTGTATTTTTAAATAACTATTTTCTTGTCTTTTATGCAAAAACATTTTTTGTTGATATTTAAAATTATACTTTTTTTTATCTGATGATATTTAATTCCTTCTGTAATGATTTCTTTATGTGTTTCTCCTGCTTGCATTAATATTTATTACCTTTCCTCATTTTGTTGAAATATTTTAAATATGTTTTAAATATATTTTTGGACAAAAAATTATTTCTTCCTGTGTGTCTTTAGTTTTCTCACATTTTTATTTTATTTTAAATTAGTTTTACTGAATGATTTTACAGTTTTTGTAATATTTTCAAGAAAAATATGCTCACAATAATTAAGATTTCAATGTCTTTTACAGATTATTTGTTTTACTTTGTGTGATTTTAATCAAACTATAAATTTGTTTTAGTGCATTGAATAAATATCTACTTTGTGTTGACATCTAAATATTGTTTTCATTTTTCACATAAGGTAAAATCATCACCGAATCACCAGAAAATGTGTTAATTTGATGAATATCTGGAAAAATAAATTAGTTTTGGAAAAAAAGCTTCAATAAAAAAGTTTAAATAAATGATCAGCTTTGACATTTTTAAAATTAAACCAATCAGAACCTAAAACATGCCAGATTTTTCCTCATACAGGACGGCGGCTGTGATTCCTGGATCTGAAATCCATTATGACTGAAATTAGCTTCGGATTAAAGGCGACAGTTTGACCTCTGACCCATGTAATTATAGTCTGGAGAAGAATCAAACCATCTGGAAGAAAGAAAACCCCCTGGAGGCTTCAATAGACATCAGTTAACAGCCAGACAGGGATGTAAATGAAAAGCCTTATCTGAGCCACACACACACACACACACACACACACACACACACACACGCTGAGTGGTTTGGATATAAATCTGGAAATGCGGCACAACATAAGGTAAAAAGGGTTTAGATCAAAAAATGTGTTTTTAAATGAATATATTAAAGATGTTTGAATTAATTTCTGTGTATTTTCTATTCACTGAATTAGAGAATACATCCGGATGAAGCTTGTTTTTCAGATTAAAAGCTCCTTTAGAAAACAACAACCTCTAAGTAAGTGAATTAAATGACTCAATTAGCTCTTCATTATCCTGTCAAGTTCAGGAAAGTTCTGTTAACGAGACAATTTATTTGATCCATGTGTGTTAGAGGAGGAATGCTTCTAAAAGTGGCAGTACAATTGGCTTGGAGGACACTCCCGTTTTATTACTTAATCTGAGGATAAAGTAATAAGACAACTTAGTTTTGGAGTTTAATAATTTTAATAGTTTAATTTTGATTAATTTATTACATACATTTTAACACATAAAAAAGTTTAACCTCATTAATTTGTTTTAGAAAAAAAAAAAGACAAAAATCTCAAGCTGGAACCTTTGTACTCATATGTTTCCAGTACACGTATAAACTTGACACACAAGCAACATCCGCTAAAATGATATGTGATGCTCGCAAAGACTATTGTTGTATTCAAGTTGTGCTAAAAGTAGTTAGCCTCTCAGTAAAGCTATTAGAACCTAAAATAGCATCTCAATGCGAAAAATGTAGCAGTAGCACAGACAACCTGAATGCTAATGTTAGCATCCCTTTGATAGAAAAACGTTTTAACCAATCTGATGGTTGAAGAACCAGGATAATAACTTAAAAATCAATAAATATATTTGTTGTTGAGCTCACAAATCAGGTTATTCAATAATTTAGCAGTAAAATGGGTTTTTGAGTTGAAATTGTTTATTTTGTTGATACATGGATTTCAATTAAATTAATTCCAATTAATTAATCACAGACTTCACAATTAATGCTATGAAAAAATTTTAATGGAGTTGCACCATTAATAATAGAAAAATATATTACAAACAATAAGGTTTGTAATTCACTCTGAAATTAACTAAATTACTCACCTTAACAGCATGTTGAGTGTAAACATCTCTGGAAGTGGAGAACAATCAGCTGAAGTCCAAATCCAATCCACCAGAACTCTGCAGATCCTATGAAATGCAAGTCAGTGAGGTGGAATTTTCCCAACAACTTCTTATGCTGCATTCAGGTACAGCTGGGACATTAGGCTGAAATGCCAAATTATTTCAACATATTGTATTCTCAAATACGGGCAATTAAAAACTCATTACGTGGAGGCAGCATGACGAAAGCATACCTGTTGGTTGACCACACCCTGGGGAGCCCAAAGTCGGTAAAGTTGACCTTCGAGCAAACGGCCCACAAAGGCATCCCAGTGACCCCTGCCGTTCTCTGAACGCCCCCCAGGGGGCGGTACAGCCCCATTGAGAAACGCTAAAATAGACTAATGGACTTCCGACAGAATACTGCCCTGAAATGTTTAATTTGATCAAATTGCCTAAATTCACGCCACATGAACCACGAGCCGCGATTCTCCTTTACTGGAGGCCATTTAAAGTGCAGCTGCTCCCAGTTAAGCTAGCAGTGACGGGTGGGACATTCTCTCTGTGGTCACTGAGAATTAAACACCTTCACCATCAAATGTTTCATAGCATCTCACTGATCTTACTTAAAGGTGAAAGTCAATTAATCTTACCTTGTGAAAGACTTTTGCTGCAAATCCGCGAATACAACCAACAGCTGCTATCCGTCGCCATCTTCTTTCCTCGGTTTAATGTAAAGTTACGTTTTGTTTGCATCTCTGTTTGTGGCGCCAGCCGCGCAGTACCCGGTGACCATTAAACAGAGAAATAATCGAAATGAAAGCGATAAAAAGCGACCAACTGACTGTTATTTGACAAGGAGCTAATAGCTTACAGGAGCTAACAGCGGCTGGTTGTTCTAAACATGGCGGCTGGGCTGGGATGACGTAACGTGCAAAGCGCCAACATGGCGCCCAGTGCAACATGAAGCAACGAGACCACGAAAAGCTTTAGAAATAAGAGTGTTTTGATCATCTAATGCTAGAATAAAATACAACTAAGAATATTAAACATTTTTTTCAAGAAAAAAAAGAGCCAATATTTTACTTCATCCAAAATCCAAGCATGTCCAACACCTGATGGAGTGTCCAGCAATTATCAATGGAAAATGGAAGGACAAAGTTTCAGTGTTTCAATCGATTGAAAAGAAAATGAAATAAAAGAAAAACAATTTGATTGTTTTTCTTTGGCAAGTTTGTTTTCTCAGCAGCAAGTTACTGTTACCTCCATTCAAAACAATAAATGAAACGTTGAGAAATGTTGGCATCAAGTCAGTTTTATAAAATATTCTGCATTTTATCAGTGTTTAACAGCACCTCATCATTGACAGAAGCAAATATTTAAGAAAATAAATTACCAAAAACTGAGATTCTCAATTTTTCATTTAATAATGAAACAGTTGTCTTTCAATAGAAATAAACATTATAAAAAAACAATATAAATAGAGATGGTGACAGACGTACAAAAGGCTTTAATATGAAGCAGCGGCTCTGGATTTTTATCCAGAAACTGCTTTTGTCAAATAAAAATATTTACAACTGGAGCTGAAGCTGCACATAGACGGATATTTACAACAGAATTTATAAAATATAAAAAAATATTCAGGATCCAAACATCAACATTCGGCTGGTTTCACTTGGTGATTCTTTTCAGACATTTAGGAGATATAAAAATGGAAAATCAAAGTTTTCCAGTGACCAAGCTTCTCTTCAGCTCTTTATAAATGCGACAAACTGAAAAATAAATAAATCTGAGTAAAAGACAGAAATGTTTCCATGGTTTCCAGTTTGTCTCTTCTGGTTTATGTGTTTTCATATGAATAAGAGAGAAAAAATGTCTGAAACAGAATAAAAATATTATTTATTCGGTTTTAGACTTCCTGCTGGTGCCGGTTTGTTGGATCTCAAAGGTTCTGCTCCCAGACAACAGTTCAGGAAATTAATTTAAATAAAGTATAGAAAACTTATTAAAAAATATATTTCCACCCTTTAAATTAATACAAAATTATCAAAGAAAAATACCTAAAATACTTTGAATTTTAAAGTCAGTTTTTGACAAAACTAAACAAATATTTTATGAATAAATTATTTTACATGAAAAACTGACTATAGCTCTAAAACGTAAATAACTTACAAAAACGTCCAAATAATATAGTGATATTTTACAAACTAAAAATGTAATTTTCACAAATATACTTTTGTCATCTGAGAAAAAAATGTCTGAGACAAAAACTGGAGCTAAAACCAGACACATCAGTTTTTAGACAGTTTCTGTTTTTCATGATGAAAACATTAAAAGAAATTCAGCTTAAAATCCGTATTCTCTGTTTTCTCTCCATTTTTCCACATTGAAGGGAAGAAACTCCAGATTCAGATCCGGTTTAAAAGAAATTCCTCGTCTGTTAATTCAGGACTTTGTTGAGCTCCAGCGTCTGGAAACGTCTGCTGGTTTAATCAGCTGGAGGCGTTTCTATAGCAGCCAATCAGGACCTGAGTGAAGTTGGTTTTTGCTGCAAAAACACGACAAGAACATAAAATCTTACAAAGAAATTTTAATCTAATTTACTAAGATACTTGCTCTAGAAGCAAGACCAAAAATATTTGATAGGATTGAGAGTTTTTGCAGCAGAAACATTTAATTTGATGAAGGTGGAGGCTCCAACTTCCCTCAGGTCCAATCAGAAGACAGAGATGAAGGTTCAAGTCAGCAGGTTAATGTTGTCCGTTTGGATCGCCAGCACCGGGTCGTAGAAGCAGTCTTCGTTGATCATGGACGTCATGCTCTGAATGCTGAAGTCTCTCCCCACAAAGCTGCTGAAGTCCAATCCATCCCCGGCTGCACCCCGCTGCAGGCTGGAGGTCCGCCTCCTGTCCTCGTCCAGGCGCTGCGCCGCTCCTTGGTCCTCCTCAGAGAAGTTGAGGCGCTGCAGCTGCGCCTCCAGCTCTCCGGTCAGGGAGCAGAGTCTGGGCCTCATCCCGGAGGAGGCGGCGTGGGTCGGCAGCGGCGGCTCGGAGCAGGTTTCCTCCAGGGCGCCGCAGCGCTCCGTCGGCGGATGAGGAGCGGTTCTCTGGAGGTCGGCGCGGCCGGGTCTGGGCCTCCTCCTCCAGGTGGCGCTCCTCTCGGCGGCGGATGGCCGGGTTCTCCTCAGGGAGCCGCTAGCAGCTTGGTCTTTGAGAAGGGAGCCGAGAGCGCGGAGCAAAGCGGCCTTCGCCTCCAGATCACTGAAACACAAACAGCAGAGTCATTGAACCAGTTCTCCTCTAGAGACCCAGTTCTTCATTGGACTAAAGGTTCTGGACCGGTTCTGTTCAGGGACCCTGCAGCATGGACTGGTCTGGAAGACCTTTCTACTTTCTTGGTTTTCTTTAGTAAGGTAATCAATCCATCCATCCAAGTTTGTGTTCAGTGGAGTTAAAAACTTGAATAAATATTTTCTTTCAAACTCAACAACGTCTAACTAACCTCTGCAGAGAGAAATAAACCCTGGATTCAGTCCTGGTTCTGGATACCCCCTTCACCAGCCCATAGAGTATTTCCTCATAAAGTTGGTACCTGCTGCACAGCTGGAAGACAGTCTCTGGTCGACCCTCGACCTCCGACCTCCTGTGAACCAGCTCCCACACACCCGGGTCCTCTGAACCTGCAGACATCCCACCGAGTCATTCAACCGAACATCCCGGCCAACACCAACCCGCCGCTGACGCCCACTGACCTGGGATGTTGGCCGGCCGGAGCTGAAGCGCTGAAACTGGGATCAGCCAACGGAACCTGAAGGGGTTCAGATCGGCTGAGCGGGAACTGGTCTGCAGCAGGACACAGACCGAAACAAGTTTTAACTCCGGTGGGATTTGAGAACTGAAACACAAGTAGGAGGACTGACCATTCTCTTCTTCATCTTGTTCTCACGATGAACCAGGATGACGGCTCGCTTGAACACTGAGGAGAGCAGCGCGGTGTTAATTACGGCCTTCAGACGGAAGCTAAACTGCAGAAGAGGCGAGTTTGAACCAACCGAACAGCGTGAGCTCAGGCTCCTTCCTCAGTCGCCGCAGACACGGCAGAGGGTTCAACCAGACCACCGGCGAGTGGACCAGGAACTCCCCCATCGAGATCTCTGTGACCTGTGGAGAGACGGCATGAGGTCACAGCGTCCAGCAGGTCCAAACCGTTCACCTGTTGGTTGTTTACCTGTTGGTTGTTTACCTGTTTGTCAGCGCCGGTCTGCTCGGCTGCCAGCTGGTCAAACACGCAGCCGTAATCCTCATAGATCTTCTGCATCTCGTTGATGTGACTCGCTACCTTCTCCATCGCTCTCAGCGCCTCTGAGTGGACAGAAGAGGAAGTACAGGCAGTAAGAAAATGTGACTTCTACCTGCCAGGTGTGAAACGAGTCAAATTTATTAGCATAGCACAATTCAGCAACACCAGCAAACAAAGAAATCCCTGTTTTTATGTCAGACTGGAACCCTGTTAGGTGTGTGTGTTACCTGTCAGGTGTGTGTGTTACCTGTCAGGTGTGTGTGTGTGTTACCTGTTAGGTGTGTGTGTTACCTGTCAGGTGTGTGTGTTACCTGTCAGGTGTGTGTGTTCGGGGCTCTCAGCGTCAGTCAGAGACACCAGCTCCCTCAGCAGCAGTGGATACTTCAGGACCCTCTGAACAGGTTTGATCAGGTACGACTCCAGAGAAGACGAGTGCTGATTGGTCGGATTCCTCGTCTCCAGGAAGTGCTTGAAGGCTGCGTCTGTTTTTGCTGCATCACAGAAGCGTCTGTTAGGTTTGTCATGCTCTAAAGTTTGATCAGATCAGACAGAAACTAGAAAAAGTGAATGTTTAGGGTGTGATGGTCACCTCTCTCCAGAACCTTCTGGACCTTGATGTGGTTTGCACAGAATCCGCTGTAGAGCTTGAAGTGGTCGGCGTAATAAAGAAAGGATCCACCCAACGAGAAGAGGAGCATCTGAAGGAAAGAAGAAAATCAGTATAAAAACTGCTTCCTTGAAAAGATTAAGATACCTGGGCTATAAGAAAACTCTCCGACACAACTAAAAAGAAAGCAGCAGATGCTAAATTGTCTCTTCCAGCAGCTTTTTTATAGTCAGTAGGAACCTAAACTTTTCTTCTGACCTTAAACTGCTCAGGAGTTTCCAAACTGCTGAAGTCCGGACAGGAAGCGATTCTCTCCTCCAGCGTTTGGAGAAAAACTCTCTGAAAGTCCAACATCTCCGGCAGACTGCCGAACAGCGCCTCCATCTGAGGGACAGCGACACCTTCAGAACCAGAACCAGAACCTGAAAACTGACAGCGAAACCTCCATTTCCTCCGGTCTCACCTCGTCTTTACTGAGGAACGTCTCGTTCTGCAGCGGCGTCAGGTAGATTTCAAAAAGACAAACCAGATCCTTAAGGGAACCAAATGAACAAATTAGAATGAAATCAGGAAAAGACATAAGTATAAAAAGTCAAATTAAATCCTTTAATGACTTTTAAAACCTATACATTCCCACCTTGACGTAGGACTTCTCCGTGTTGACCAGCTCCTGGATGACTTTCCGCAGCCGCTGACAGACGCTCAGGTGGGCGGGGCTTGGCGGATGCAGACTTTCCTCTCTGACGTACGGGTTTCTGGGAACGTCAATGTCCGGCGCTTTGCTCTCTGGGAAGGTTTGGTACAGGGAGAAAACCTGGTCCGTGTTCTGGAAGGAGAAAGCAGAGGAACCAAGCGATGATGACCAATTACAGATACATTTCATTCACAAATAATTTACATGTCTTACGATCCTGGATGGAGCCACGATTCCAGGTTACGACATGTTGAATAAAGAGTTCAGAAAAAAGTGGCGTTCCCGCCCACAGAGACCAGTTCAGGTAAGTGAAGCAGCATTGAGTTTCTGAGCACCTCAAATCTGGAACAAACTTCTAGAAAACTGCCAAACAGCTGAAACACCGAGTTCCTTTAAATCTCGTCTCGTCACTTGTTTAAAATTGAATTTTGAACCATCATGAAGATTCACAAATTAAATATTACCGGCACCATTCTTATTATTTTTTCATAATAAACGGCATGTTTTAGTTTTGACCTTCAACTTTCACATAACTGCAATTAGAGGATGTGTTTTCCACAGCCCCACCTGAAGGACAGAGGGAACATTTTACCATAAACCCCAGAAACCAGAAACCTCCATTAAAACCTGGATGAACGTTTCAGTGATTCAGACACTGAGCAGAGAAGAAAGGCAGTAAAATCTTCCAACCAGAGCTGGACTGAAAGCAGGTTCTGCACCTCGTTCATCATCATAATCTGCCCTGTCAGTTTCCATTAAACGGCCGGCGGCCCGGTCGCTCTGCCGAGCTTTTAATAACAACCAAGGACGAGCCGGAGCGCTGTGACTGCCAGGAAGGAGACCTCTCTCCAGGAATCTGTGATCCCGCTCAGGAATCCTCCTCAGAAATGTCCCTGAATCTGGTGTCAAAACAAAACATCTGATCTGCAGAGGAACGTCTGCAGGACAAAAGAACCAATATGAAACCCAACTTTGAACATAAACACTCATTAAAGGCTGAAGAAAAGCTGGAAAAGAAACGATGCTAAACGGCCCAGCAGCTCAGATCATCACAGCAGATCCGGCAAAACCCTCATTGCTCTGTTAGACGAGCAAAATGTGATCAGTTTCAATTCTTATCCACAGACAGTAAGCAAAAAAGAAAAGCCATGAAATCAGAGTATTACATTTTATGGAGCTAAATTAGAGCCATAAAATGAAACTGGAAAAATATTTTGAAAGTGAAAAAAAAAACTCCACAAACCTCCGAAGCAACTTTTCTTGAAGAGTTTTTGGAATTGGATGCGATCTGGGAAATGTCCAAACCGACTGAAAGGGCGGCACAAATTTACTGCCACCATATTTTTTCCATTGAGATTTTTGTCTCAAAAATCTTACAGCTTATATCAGGGATGCATTTTATTTTTCAAAATTTTTTCTAAACAAATCACAATCTGCACCAAATTACATCAAATTTGTCTTCATTTTCCCATAACATTAAGTTTTCCATGGGACTGGGAGTTCTGGGCTGAGTGTCAGTGAACCAGTCAGATCCACAGAAGCTTTTTTGGTTTCTGTAGTTTCCGGAGTTCAGTCCGATCTAATGAGATCAAAGATCGATGGTTTTACCAGCAGAGCGAAACCTTCTGGAGCGCGCCGGCCCAGACAGCAGGTCGCCTCGTCCAGCAGCCCGACGCCCTCGCCGTCCTCCAGGGTGTCTGCGTCCTCCTCCGGCGGCAGCACCCAGCACAGGGCGCCCATGGTGAGGGGTCAGGGGTCGCCTCTGGGATCAACCCAGCTACTCACAAACAGCTCCTGCAGGAGGATTAGTCGGCTGCGACTTTACATACACTCCTGACGGCGTAAACCCAGATTACCGGGCCGACTGCAGGTCATGTGACTCACACTGGCAGGAAGGGGGAATTGTGGGTAAAAGATGATCGCTGCAGGTGAGTTTAAGAGGGAAGAGTCGGTTTCCGCTCATGGAGATGCTGAAGTTTGGGATGGTGAAGTTTATATTTAAATGCTGCATCAGCAAATTGTTCAGTCAGAATCTATAAACTTCAGGAGTTTATTGTGGGAAATTATTGGCTGAATTTGTGTTTCTTCCCAGAAATTTGTGCTTAAATTCAGAAATTATGGACAAGAAAAGCAAAATTTTACCTGAAAACTGAACTCTTTGAATTACTTGGTAATTTTCTGTCTCTTACTCCCATGATAGTCCCAGTCAAACCGGTGGACTCGGTTTGACTGGAGACCAAAGTTGCAACATTTGTTCCATTTCCAGCTGCTTTGTGTCAAACGAACCAAACTCTTTGAAAAACCTGTTTCCCTCCTGGCCTGTGGAGGCGCTGCAACACGAAGAATCTACACAAAAACCTCTGAAGAAGACTGAGCGCAACTTCCTTCTTCAGAAAATGTAAACAAAAATCAGTGGCATCAGATTTGAGTTTATAGTTTCTCTTGTATCTTTGGCTAAAGATCACGAGTCATGATCTGTGGTTCAGTTAAAATCTGTAGAATGAGCCGAGTTTTTATCCAATTAATCACCAGAAAAATCACTAGCAGCTGATTCAAATAGTTTACAGATTGAAGCTCACCTGTTCAGGTGATTCCTGAGGGAGTGGCATTGACAGATCACTACCAGCAGGGGGCGCAGCATCTGTAACAAACAAAGTTTAACGCACTGCATTGAATCTCACTTAACTCATCAAAAATATATCAAAATAAATGCTTCACTTCTGAAATCTGACATTGCAGAACAAAAAACAACTCAGGTTTAAAATGAATTAAAATTAATTTAAATAAAATGAGCATGCAGTGTTTTGTCATCTCTGTTGAGTACTTTGAATGTTCAATTGATATGATGGCGCCTGTCAATCAATTCAGTGGGTTTGTCGCAATTGTCACTGTTAATCTCTGCCAACGTTCTGATGTGGCTGCTGCTTTACCTGAGGTCCAGGTGTGCAGGTCGGACTGTTTGACCCAGAGGTCGGCGGGGTCAGAGGGGTCAGGCCATGTGATGGTGGGCTCCTCCGCGTCCGGCAGCTCGTCTCTCCTCAGCAGCAGGAGGAGATTCTGGTGTCTGAAGAGAGTCTGGAGGTGATCCAGGTCCAGTCTGGACACGGCCGACCCGTTCACTGCCAGCACCTCGTCTCCGGCCAGCAGGCCTGAAGCCAGAAAAACATTTAAAATAATGATTTCATTTGGTTTAATTAATATTCAACAATCAGATGATCCACATCCTGTCGTCACAAGATGAATTCATCAAACTTTTTATTTGCAGCGATGAAGTTTTGAAAAATGTGACCAGTGCCACTACATAGAAAAAAAAGATTTATGATAAAAACTATCATAAATTAATCTCAGAAAATTTCAAGAAAAAACTTGGACATTTTCTGAATTTCAAAAGTCACAACTTTTCAACTTTTGAAACTGAGAACATTTCGTAAGGCAAAACATTTAGACATTTTTTGATTAATCTCAAAAACGTTTTTTTTACTTCTCAAACTCAGAAATGTATTTATTTTTTCTTGAAAATTTTCAAGATTAATCTGAAAAGGTCAGATTTTTTTTTGCCGGGTCAGAGATGATTCTCTGATATAAGTTTTTTCTTGTCCTGATTGGTTGTTCAGTGACGTCTGCGATGTTCTCTGTGCGTAAAGTTGTAACCGTCTGCATCCATTGGTCAGGTGTGAGATTTTTCCGTCATCATTTAAAATGCTATAAAATGAAAATATTTAGATAACGTGATCCCTCGTCAGAGTGTTTGTACACATCTTCAGATGCAAATGTTCTGAGCATAAAGTCTGGAAATAGAAATATTTTGTTTGTCCGTACATATCAAAACCTGAAAAATTATTTCCAAACTGAAAATAAACTGGTGTCACAAGAGGAAGCAAAATATTTCTCTTGTTTCTTTTTATTCTTACAGTTAAAGTGGCGTTTCAACTCTTTCTGGACCCGCTAGAAAAATAAAGATCACAGTTGTGCAGCAGGGCAAAGGGCGCCCTCTGCTGGACAACCTCAGCATTGTTTTACCTCGACTGGCCGACAGGCCCAGCGGGTTGACGTCACTCACGAACACGTGACTTTTACCCGCTCCGTCCACGTGACCCGTCACCGCAAAACCTGCCATTACACCACGAGACAAAATAGATCAAACATATTGATTGCTTTTCAACGTTTTTATCTAAATTCAACATCTTTATTAAAACCTTTGGATTAATTAAAATGTTTTGTACAATTTCAGCGTAAAATAAAATATCTGAAGCTGCGATTTGAACAGCGGTGAGTGAAGGGAACAAATCTCCACCAAAATAAATTTTAGATTCATCTCAGAAAGTTTCTAGAAAAAACAAGAAAATTTTGAACTAGAAAATTAGAACATTTTAAAGAAAATTTTTTGACAAAAAACTTTTCAAAGGTTTGCCAATGTCTGGAAAAAGGAAGGCATGAATCAAAAGTAATATTTTTGAAAGTTAGAAATTTTCACTTTTCCCCAAAAAATATTTTAACTTAATCTGAAATTTTCTGAGTTTTGTAGCAAATTCTCAAATTTTGAATTTGAAAGAATTCTAATATTTTTTTCAGAAAATTTCTGAGAACTTAAAACCTTTATGGTTTTTTATAGCAAATTTTAAACTTGTTAAAGGAGAGAAATTTTCAAGATGAATTTAATTCATTTCTTCATCATAGATTTCAATCATTATCTTTTTCATACAACACAAACACAGTGAGGAAATGCATGGAGTGTTTTTCTCACCAAAGTCCTGGTGTGTGTTTGGGCGACAGACGTTCAGGCTGAAGACTCCAGCAGCTGGAGGAAGACGCTCCTCGCTCAGCTGAAGAGCAAATCAGTCCACGGTTAATCAACTCAGCATTATTATTATTATTATTTTAACTGAAAAATCCATAAAATCATCAAATAAAAAGGTGGTGATTTTATTTCTTTTTTTTTTATTGGTCAAAAGTGATTTTTCAGTCATTTTAGGAAGATGATGAAATAGGAACTAGAAAAACTTAAAGGCAGATTTTCAAACCGGACTCCGAACCCACCTGCAGTTCTTCCACATGTCCTGCAGAGGGCAGCACCTCACTTTGTTTGGACACGCAGGTCACAGTCTGAAGGCCAAAACAGACACATAATTGTTACATGTTTATTACGATCTAGTCAATTAAATGAACAGAAATTAAATTTGAAAAAAATCCACCATTTCTGGTAAAAGTGATCAAATGAGCAAAAGACATGAGGGAGGAAGAGAAGGGAAGCAGCAGAAGGAATATGAAGAGGCCAACATGAGGTTTGGGCTTAAAGAAAGGACGAGGTCATGTGGAGAAACAGGAGGGGGAGGGGGGTCATCTCAAACACTGACAAACACTCAGGGACAAAGGAATTCTGGGAAAATAAAAGACTGCGAGTTTTAATCCTCCAACACCTCCTGTGTGTCCACAGAGCAGCAGGCTGGTCTCAGACAGCTGCACAGACCAGCCCTCCATCTGTCCGTCTTTATTTACTAAACTCTGATCCACAAAGGAGGAACTGGAGACAGATGATCTGGTTCTCCTCAGAAACCTTCACAAGAACCACAATGTGATTAAGAGTTAAAGAAAACTGTTGTACTCTGTGATGTGACGTGTAAGAAAACAAAACAGGCTGAAAAATTGATGCGACAGAGGAAATAACAGCATAGGAGGCGTTAGGGTAACGTTGTGCACATGCTCTGTAGGGGTTAAGAAAAGTTAGTGATTCATGCAGCTGCGTTTTCTGAAATGGAAAATATTTTTAACAATGGGAACAATGAACTGAACATGACTGTCATTTTTATTTTACTTCGTGCGCATATATGTGTTTGAATCGCCCCAGAGTTCTCTTCAACCGAACCAGACCGAGGTTTGGGCCACAGTTTGCTTTTTTGGTCATTACATGTTCACACCTCTGCAAACGGACCAGACTTCCCAGGGAACCGGACTGGACTTCCCAATGAAAACGAACCGGACTTCCCAGGGAACCCAACTGGAGTTTCTTTGAGTTCAAAGCTGTATCACATTCATCACTGACACATTGTGGCTGAATTCAGCTCCGTTTAATATCAATAAAAACAATTAATGATAAAAACTTTTGACCAAAGTGGAGATTTGACAACAGTCCATATTTGTGCTGTTCATGGTAAAGATTTAGAGTCTGTGAAAAACAACAGGCTAATAATATTGATGACTTTGAAATGATTTCCAATCAGCACGTTTTGTGTTTTATTGACTTTATGTTCTAATAAAAAGTAGTTCAACCTGTTTATCTGTCCACAAGTGAACAATGTGGTGCCATGTTTAATTCTTAACAGGAAGTTGGTTGTTTTGAAGCAATCTGATTGGCTGACAGGTTTAGCTGTGCGCTACACTGCCCCCTGTTGGTTTGGCATGTTTAAAACAACAATCAGTGATGTATTTGTGACGGTTTATGTGGATGAAAGCTTGTTTGAAGATGATCTCTTGAGAATGATATTTATTTTTAATACAGTGGCGAAGATATTTGTTTTACACGTCCTATAGCTAGCTAGGATTCTCTAAAACAAAACAAAACAAAATAAAAATGGTTCTGAAATGGTTTTCCCAAGCTCAGCCCAATGAAGAGTTACAGGTTTATAGATTATAATTGTTTGGCTCCTGTTTGTCATTTTGAGGAGTTGATATTATGTTTCATGGTTAAGACGGTGGAAACCTTACGTCTGACCAGCAGACAGCAGGAACGGACTGAGCAGACGGCGCCGAGACGTGACGATGCAAAACCTGGAACAGAGAAACACAGAGAAAGCCCAACTCAGCTCAGATCTCCGGAGTCTGTAATTAAACTGGATTTAAAATGGTTGAATTAAAGCAGTAGGGTGAAACATGAGGGTCTGAGCAGAAATTACAGGTTTCAGAATCAATCAGGCAACAAAGAGAACATACCGTCGTCATAAATATTAGTTTTACTCAAGTAAACCCAAACTGCAGAGCTCTGATCTGCTGGACCACTCTGGGATATTTAGAAAAAAACAAAAACTAAGCTCTCAACCAGCATTTATCCAGAAATCATTTTTTATTCTGAGGACTGATTATGAGTTAAAGGGTCCTGATGTGCAAAATTCACTTTTTGCATGTTTTTGTTCGATTATTTGAACAGCTTCTAAAAACAACCCAAGAGTTTAAAACAAACCATAAAAACCCTCCAGGTGTTTTTTGGCAGAAAGTACATTTTTGGTAACCGAGCCATTTAAAAAACCTCCTCCTTGTTGAGTCACACTTTACCGTTACCTAGCAACCCACGCCGTTACCTAGCGACCCACGCCGTTACCTAGCGACCCACACCGTTACCTAGCGACCCAAGTTGAGCTCCAGCATGTTCAGTCAGCTGGTTTTGCTGCTGTATGTTCTGGACAATGGCTGCTGGAAAAGACAACTTACCATCCAGAAACCACTTACTGCATTTTTGTTGGTTGTGCAGGAGGCACTACTTCTGCTTTTCAAAGATGCGTGATTGCGTAACTGCGGATCTGTTGGCAGCCATTTTCCAGCAGCAGCTTATTTGGATTTACCAGAGGCCCTAAAACAGCTCATTCAGAACTGACCAGACTGAAATGTCCTGATCCAAGAATGATTTTGAGGAAACATGTAACATGTTTGCGTAGACCGATTCGATCCTGACCAGTTCATAACCTAACAGGCTGCTGGTCTCCAGCAGCCTGGTGGGGGCGCTGCGCTCCAGGATGTGAGTCAGACCAGATGTTTATCTCCTGCAGCTGCGATCGGCTCCTCAGATCTGTAACCCGGGAAACTTCAGCCGCTCAGTCTGATCTGAGAAACCGGCTGTTTGTCCTCCTGTTGCAGCAAAACCTTCTACTTGTTCCTACTGCGGAGTAGGATCAAGTGTCAACATCATAGTTTCATTTCTGTCTTATTTAGTTCGTATAATTCAGTTATTTATAGTTAGTTATTAGATTCTGTTGGCTGATTTTTTAAATCAATGTTATTAGTTTAATATTGTTGAGGTTTAGTTTAGTTTTTATTAGTTATCGTAGTTTTTTATAGTTTGATTAATTTTTAGTTGCAATATTAATTTATTTTATTGTATTGTGATTATATATTCATTGATTAGGTAATAAATACTCAACAGAACATTTTCAAAACACCTCTTAATATTTTTCTACTGAGAAAAGGAAATCTGGAAACATAATTTCCAATGTTTTTATTTCCAGCTCTCTGATTGGTCCCATTCCAGCCTGATTATTTAAACAGAGGAGGATCAGTAGCCAAAAATGATACTGAAGTCACAGAAGCACTTCTATCACCGTCCAAAAAAACGTATTTGATAAAAAGTACAGAGTAACTGATCAAATGATCAGTCATTAAATATTTAAAAATTGCATAATCAGATGAACCAACATATAAAGTTAAGTGTAAATTTTGGTATTCAAAATGACAATAATTCATCTCAGTAATAAAAAAAATAACAAAAACAGGGTAAAGAAAATGTTTCCAAATCAATTTCTTTCAATAAAAAACTTCAGAAACTTTAACAGAAACTGCAGATGTGAGTCTTTCTGCTGGATGTTTAGTTAAAACATGTTTGTTTTTCATTCAGTGGGAAGAAAATCCTGAGACTTTCCTCCAGAAGAGCAGAAATCATTCATAATAAAAATACAAAATTAAAAGGAATTTTTTTCTTAAAACTCAAGTTAATGTGACGAGTTCTGGACGTAAACATTAATGTCAGGAATGTCAGATCTCAGCTCCAGTAAACGCCCGGATCAGGAGGAGTATAAACGCGGCGCAGCGCCTGAATGCGGTCCAGAACAAACCCGGAGAAGATTTATCCGCTGGAATCTGAATCCCAGACTCCCAGCCCCAAAAATAGCCGAGTGTTTACGAGGAGCGATGGGAGCCCCGGCCGTACGGAGGAGCGCCGGGATTCCAGGATGTTTTGACCTTTTTAGGGAAGTGAAGCGGCGCAGAGTCTGTGGCGGTTACCTGGTGGTCCGAGAGTTTCCCGTCCTGGATGGGTTTGGGTAGAACCTTCAGGGAGGACGGCAGGCCTCTCCGCCGGCCTCCCGACACAGACCTGCAGCGCCGCCGCAGCGTCCCGTCCTCACGACTGCACACCTGCAGGACCAAACACACAGAGGAAAACACAGGTTCACACACACCTGGAGGAAAACACCTGAACAGGTTCACACACACCTGGAGGAAAACACCTGAACAGGTTCACACACACCTGGAGGATTAAACCCAAACTGTACCAGACTCCTAAATACAGGATTTATTGATCCTTAATGTGATTTTACAAGACATGAATTGAAACATCTGGAAAGAAGGAAAGAAAGAGGAAAATTGAGAAAGGAAAGTGAAGAAGACGAAAGAAAGAAATAACAGGAGGCAAAAGAAGAAAGGTAAGGAAGGAAAGAAGAAATGATGAGAGGAAGAGTTAAAAGGAAGGATAAGAGGAAAGAAAAGAAGAAAAAATGAGGAAGGGAGGAAAGGAATGTAGAGAGGAAGGAAGATGGAAGGAAGGAAGGATGAGGAATGGAGGAAAGAAGGCTGGAGGACAGGAGAAAGAAATGCAGAAAGGACACAAAAAGGGAATGAAGAAAAGAAGGAAAGAATGACGACAGGAGAGGAATGAAGGAATACTTCCTTCCAAGCTTTTCAGAATAAAAGTCGCAGCTTCCTACCAGAGCGTGGAAGGAGGAGACGGAGAAGACTCCCAGTCTTCCCAGTGAGGCTTTGGAGGGGCGGCTGGCCACGGCCAGCAGGCTCTTTGGGTTGGGCAGCTCGGAGCCCTGCAGGCTGGACTGGTAACACCGGAGCCGGAACAGGTCCAGGTTCAGCTTCTCCAGGTTCTGCTCCCACTGCTGGATCTGAGGAGCAGCACAGGTCCAGTTCAAGTTCTGCTCGGTTCAGATCAGCAGCTCAGGGATCCGATTCACCCCACAGTGAAACTTTACACTTTCATTCTTATTAAGGTTTTTTTAATGTCATTTACATCAATAATGTTAAACTTTCTCAAGTAGAAAGGAGGAAATTTGTGACGATGTATTTCAGTTTGTGTTGCTGAAAAGTACAGAAATGAAATTTTCACAAATTATTTTCTTAATAGTTAGTTTCTATTAATTGCATTGATTGTGGCATGTAAAAAAATTCATTTCTTTTCTTCTTTTTTTTTTTTTTACAAAGCAAAAGCCCTGACCCTGTATTTGCATGTTTCTGGTAAATCTGACACACAAGTGACATGATAAGAGTTTATACTTGGAGTAAATATGTGAAGTTTAGCTTATTAATTGTGATTAATTGATTTGTATTAAAAGCTTAACACAAATAATTTTCATTTTTTATGTACATAAGTTCCTGCATTTCTTTGTATTCATGCATTTCTGGTTTTCACATCTTGATCTCTGAACTCTAAAACATTTGAATCGATTTTCCTCCAGTCCTTGGAAAAAGGAGGGAATCACCATGGCGACTTTTTGTGTCTGTTGGACTTTCAAAATAAAGCTTTTGTCACTGAGACATAAAGAGCTGCAGCCGTCCAACACATCTGGACGAGGCGTCGACTCAGACGTTTCCTGCTGTTATATAATCAGTTCTGGAGTTTCATCTCTGACTCAGAGCAGGACGCCTGCTGCTGCATTTCTGCAGCTGTAGGAAGGAAAGCTCTGTCGGATCAGAGCGGCCCGGTTCCTGACCTGGCTCTCCACCGCCCGCCGGTTCTTCTGGTCCTTGATGATGGACAGCTGCAGCTCGGCCATCTTCTTCATCTTCCCGTCCATGTCGATCTTGTGCAGCAGCGAGCGGCTCTGGCAGCGCAGCAGCCGCAGCGTGTCCTCCTTCCCCTGACGCCTGGCCAGCAGGGCGGCGCTGGCAGAGTGGATCGCAGTCACCCAGTTCTCCAGGTCCGTCTGGTTAGTGGCCTGACAGGACACAGAGTTAGCATTAGCATTAGCACAGGTCTAACGTCAAACCTTGCTAATGTGAACCTACTTACAACTTCATTTAGAAATACCTAAAAACAGGGGAGAGATGAACAGCTGCAAGTCAACACAGAAAAAACAAGACAAGAAGGTGGAAGATGAGAAAAAGCAATATGAGATGAGATCCACAGAAAGTGAGATGAGACAGGAAGCAGAGACAGGAAGATGAGACAGGAAGCAGAGACAGGAAGTAGAGACAGAACGAGAAGAGATGAGCCAAAGTCCAATGAAATAAGAAAAGATGAGACAAGATAAGACGGCACAAAAAGTGGCAACAGAAGGTTTGATGATGAAGTTTGAGAGAGGACAAGACAGTAAGACAAGACAGAATGAGACGAGATGAGACTTTTCCTGACGAGTAACTTCAGAGGAGAGTAAAATCATTTCAGGATTTTCTTGCTCCTCACTGAAGTCATAAAGATTCAGGCTGCTGCAGTAATTATTGTGACTCTCATTAGACGCTTTCACTGTCCCCATCCTCCTCCCTGTGATTTGTAAACTCTCTGCTGCTCAGTTACTCTGGGAATAAAGAAGAGCTCCCTGAGCTCGTAAAGCTAAAGGGGGACAATTAGACCCAAGTGGTTCCAAAGAAATCAGAGGTCAACTGTGGTTCTGCGGAGGAAGGTCGCTGCCTCTGACAGAAACACAAATACATTTTCATGGTGTTTTCCTCCAAATTTACAGGCTGGTTTCTGTTCCTGTGTGGCGTTTAAGGACTCAGTCAGAGCGTGGGACGTTTGAGATGCTCTCTCACCTGGAACATGTAGACGTCTCCGTGCGAGTTGCTCAGACAGAAGACGTGCTCCCTGCGCGGATGCTCCGGGACGGCCTGGACGATGCTGTCGTCCGCTAACAGAGCGTAGCGAGGAGAAAGGTCCTGCTCGGCGCCGCTGCTCCGCCCGAACGTCGCATAGAACAGCAGACTGCAGCCTGAAAGCATCAATTAAAGATTTGATTTTAATGCAACTCCTTCTGACTGCAGACGACCTTCAATTCTCCACCAAATCAAAACGGAAACTAAATGTGAAATATTCACCCTTTATGATCCGTTTCTTGTCTCTTTCATCCCTCTATTCTCATCTTGACTTCTCTTCTTCCTTCTAATCCTCTTCATTTCATTTACAGTCTCTTGTTCATCCCACTCATCCTCACAATCCCTGTTTCAAGCAACTTTTCATCCATCTATTCTTTTTCCTCATCATCCCGTCCTCATTCTCCCTCTTTATATCATTTTATCCCACTCATCCTCATTCTGAATGTTTTTCATCCCTCTCATCCCCCTATAATCCTCTTCCTGACCCATTTTCATCCCACTCATCCTCCTCCTGTGTTATTCAAACATGTCAGAGTTGATCTACTTTAGATAAACTTCAGTTAGCGCCTCGGTCTCAGAATGAATCACCTTTCAGTGTGACCCAGTAGCGCCTCCACTTCCGGCGGGCGACGAGTTCCAGCTTCCTGTCTTTGCTGACGGTGATGAGCGCTTTGAAGTAGAGCCATCCCGCGCGCCGCACGGCGCCCTGATCCGCCTCCAGCAACCCGTCCAGATCTCCTCCTCCCACCTCCTCCTCCATCTCCTCCTCTGCGTCGTCGTCGTCCTCCGACGGTTCGGTCCGGTCGGCCGCGCCGCCGCAGCCCGTCTCCAGCTCCTGCATGAAGCTCCTGTAGACGTTCTGCCGCTGAGCGTCGCTGCTCTGGTTCTGATCCAGGCTCCTGCAGAAGTCCCAGTTGGGCGGGAGGAACTGGTTCTGGCTGAACTGGAGGAGAGGGTTGGAAGGCCAAGGAGCGCCGGCATTCAGGCTGTTGATGAAGACGCCGGAGGAGTTGCTGCTGTGCGGCTCCTGCAGGGAAGCCAGACAGAAGTTTGGACTTTTCAGCTGGACTTTAAAAAGGCTTTTGGGGCAGGAGCCCAGGGCATCAGGTTTTGGGGGCGGTCCAAAGATTTTGAATGGTTTTGTAATGAATGCATCTTTATTTTGTACATTATTAGGGGGCATCAAAATAAATTTTGCTGGAGGTGGACTGTAACTAGTTACATTTATTGTTTGTAAAAAACATTTAGTTTTAGGAGTTGTTTTACTAAACTGTACTTTTCACTCTTACTTGACTAATATTTCTGGAAACTGGACCCAGTTAAAGTAACGTCACTGAATAAGAAAACAAAACAAAAAAATCATCAGACGTTTCACTTTAAACAAGTTTTGTATCAGATATTCTGATTTAATCTTTTCAATCAGTACTTGAGAAGCCTTTCAATTAATTACTTTCACTTCAGCAATTTCTAGAATGGATACTCATTGAAAAATATTTTGAACGACCTGAGTTCAATTTCAAGTAGAAAAATTCCTACTTGAATTTTCCTGCTTGAAAATTTGAATAAATTTTCTGGAATACACGTGTTATGTATTTCTTGTATGAATTAACTCCCTTAAATTTCTCTGTTGTCATTATGGTTAGTTACTGGTTAGTTACTGGTTAGTTACTGGTTGTTGTGGTGCCCACGGCGCGCCTGATGAATGGCGGTAGAAAATGACCGTCTGCATCATTCGCGCTGCTTTCTGGGTTCATTTGCAGGAACTGTTTGGGTTTTATGAGCTGCTTTTACAGACCTCACTTTTCCTCTTCATTACAGCTAAATGGGTGTGAAAACAGAGTCGGCGTAAAACAAACAATCTTTGGAAACATTTCGGGCGACTCCACCCATCGTTCGGATTCAGGGTAAAAATTCTAGAAATCTGTTGATTCGTCGGTTTTGATGAATAATGACGTGGTTTGGACTCAAAATTTAAAGTTTAGAATCGGTTTTAATGACAAAGGAATTTGACTTTTAGTTCAAAGAAATTTTAGTTCCTTTGAACTAAAATTCAAAGTCTTTCCTCTTCCTGAAGAGGAAAGACTTTCAGGTTGTTCCCGGAAAAGGCGGCGTTCACAGAATTAAACTTTTAGTTCAATTCCTTTGAATTGAACTAAAAGTCAATTCAAAGAAATTGACCTTTAGTTGGATATAATATGTAGAAAACAAAGTTTTAACCAAATCTAACTCCTAAAATGTTGCATTGCAGGATTAATGTAAAACTAACTTACAGGTTTTAGTCATTAATTTATTAATATCATGAATAAGTGCCATTTCCAGTTAAAATGTAAATTTGTCAGTGGAACTGATTCATTCATCAATATTGGCTAAAATGTTATTTATAACTTTGTCTTAATTGAAATGTTCTAAGATATGTGGACTAGAAACTAGACCAGAAATGCTTGGTAACATTTTGTGTTTTTGCGGTGAAGGTTTTTCAGGTTTTCCAGGTTTTCCAGGTTCTGACCTGGATCCGCCTCTTCTTGCGGCTCAAACTGCCCGTCCAGTCGCTCAGCTGTCGGATCCGACTCTTCAGGAAGTCTTTCCGGTTGTTCCCGGAGACGGCGGCGTTCACAGGCTCGGCTTTACGACTGGGCAGCGTGTGAGAGAAGTAGCGCGGCTGGAAGCCTGCAGCAGACGGCGCCTCCTCCTGGATGACGTTGTCCATGGTTGGTAGCAGCTGCTCCTGCAGGAAAGAGTCCGCTGACGTTGGAAAGGCTGGAAGCGCGTTGTGTCTGCTGTGGAAGCCTGACGGCGCCGCCAGGTTGAGGTCATGGAGGTCAGGCTGAAGGATGACAGAGTCCCCGATGCCGCTGTCCTCAGTGCGGCCAGAGGAGCAGCTGTTGTGGCCTTTGGCGCCCTCTGCTGGAGGGAAGAGGAGGGCGGAGCTAAACCCAGGTGAGACGTCCTCCACCTGAGTGGAAGAGCAGGTGTTGTAGCCGCTGCTGGTGTCGACGCTCTGCCCGCAGACGAACACGCTGTCGGTGAGCTCGCCGGCGGCGCCCCACGGCGAGTCGTACCAGGACCCCTCTGAGCTCAGCGAGCTGCCCTTGCTGGTGCGCTGGGACGACTCTGGGATGAGGCTGGCGGGCGGCGGGCCCTGCGGCTCAACAGGAACCACCCTGGCGTTGGTAAACTCCACCCTCATGCTGCCGTCTTTACTGAGCAGAACCTTGGGACTGCCGCCACACTGCAGGGACGCCTGATCACCGGGAGGCCCCTGGAATCCAAACGGACTCCTACGGCCATCTTGCGTCCGGTCGCCTTGGTTGAACCACTGAGGGGAACCCGCAGTCTGTTTGGCGCCCCCTCTGGGCGTGGACTCGTACTGCCAGGAGGCAAGCTGGCCCCGGTGGCCCTGGCCCCGGCTCTGGCTGCTCCGCCACCAGCTACGGGCCGACGTTACCTCTTCCCTCTTGGTGGAGAACCGGAGGGAGCCGCAGGGTTTGACCGGAGAACTGAAGCTGCTGTGACTGTCTGTGTTTCCCATGGCAACCTGGAAAATGACATCATCAACATGAGACAAGTTAATGAAAGTGGGAACTCTGAGCTGTAACGGACGTCAGACTTTTATTTGAAAAGGTGGAATTTCAACATGGCAGCATGGTTTGGAATAAATCCTACAAACATCATTTCATAAGTCTGATGTTTCCCAGAAGCAACTTTTTACTCTTTCTGTTGCAGGCAGGACGTGCAACAATGACTTTAAATGCACTCTTACATGTGTGTTTTATAAAATAAACGTTTCCACCACATCTTACTGCTGCAGATGTGAGGAGCGGCCATATTGAAACACAAAGTCAGAACTGGTGTTCGTCAGAGTTGCTCCCAGTTTCCCAGTGAGAAATCAGACTTCAGAGGATGTTCCAGTGGAGTTTTTCAACTGGGAAGCTGTGATTTCCCATTTCAGAGTACAACTAAAAAACAACTCAAGGCCCATTCCCTTGTATGGCAAAGAGATTCATAAACACTTTGCTTTCATTTCCAACACTGCAAAAATACAAAATCTCTCTTGTTCAAATATTTCAGCATATTTAAAAAAAGATAAAACGAACCTACAGGTAATTGTAGTGACTGCTTCCACTGGCAGTTTATTTTACTTGTAACATCTTTTTTATCTTATGCAGAATTTCACAGGATGAATTGTAGTTGTGCACTGAACCCTCTGGTTTTAATAGAAGAGCAGCAAAACCAAAGAAACTGCTGAAAAAAGCTAAAAGGCATTTAGGAGAAATGGCCTCCATGCAAAATGTTAAGATTGGCAGAAAAAGCAAAAACAAACAAAAAACAAACAGAAGCAAAAAACCCCAAAAACAAAACGGTTAAAAATCTAATTGACATTAAAAAGATACTTTATTTATCCCAAAGGGAAACTAGATCATAATCTGCCCCCATTGTTAAGCATGATGGTGGCGGTATAATCATATGGAGAAGATGCTGCAGATTTCTCCCCCCAAAAACTGCAGCTGTATAGAAAAGTGATTCTACAAAGTTTTACCTCAAATGCACGCCACACTTTTCAGATGTTTGTTAAGGGAAACACATTTTATTAAATGTTAAATTGTAGGAACCCACGGTGATCAAATCAGACTGATGAGACTTATAAAGCACCTGAACGCATCACGAACAACTAAAAAGCTGAAACAACTCTAAACTTTAAGGTTTGACTCATTTTAACTAAATTAGTCAAGATCAAATCAGAAATGCTGACATTAGATTCCTGATCACCTTCAGATTTTTCTGTCATCCTTTTGAACATTTACTGATTGTTTCACCAGCCAATGAAACGTCTTTAACTCTGCTGCAGTGATTCCACCTGCTCCGTTTAACATTCAGCAGAAATGACCTAAATGACCTAAAATCTATTTTATGCAGAATCAGGATCTCATCAGTTGATAAAATGAAACCAAAACTTTCTGCTTCTCAGTGCGAAATGATGAAGAAGATTCAGGATTTTTACCGGTTTTCAGATCTGCAGCTGCCTCTTCATGCTCCGTCCTCCTCTGCGTCCTTCCAGCTCCTCTCTCTCTCCCTCTCTCCCTCTTTCTCTCTTTCTGCTCATCTGTTGGGAGAACAGAGGGAGGGAGGGGCTTTGTGAGCTCCAACACACAGACTTTCCTTTTGTACGAACCCCTTCCCTCCTCTTTCCCTCCTCTTTCCCTCCTCCTTCTCTCCTCCTTCTCTCCTCCTTCCCTCCTCCCCTCCTCCTTCCCTCGCTCCTTCTCTTCCATGACGTTTCTGTTTCTGAAACCAGACCTTGTCCTCCTCCTGTTTATTTTGGTTTTCTGGAATGCTGAGCAATTTTCGCCTGGTTTTCTTTCCTTCTACTTCTTTTTTCCTGTCAAACATGAAATCTGCAGGCTGAGCTCATCTGGCTGCAGCTGCTCAACCGTTCAGAACAACGCGGTCCAGTTAATCATCAGTTACAAGGCGTCGCTGAGATGTTACAGCTCCCTCTGAATGTTTACTGAAAAATATTAAGATGCATTAAGCAGAAGGGATTCTGGCAGCCTGAGGAGGATAAAAACCCAACTGGACAGAACCAAGTCCATTTAAGACTCCAGCAAATACTCTTTCACACTTAAATGAAACAAAGACTTTATGACATCTTGCATCATCTGTTAATGTAAAAAAAAACTATAAAAACTAATTTATCTCTGGTTGGATTTGGTTTTTAACACAAAACAAATCATTAAATGATACTTTTCAGCTTGAAAAGTGAAACGTTTCCCTTTTTTCAAGACAAAAATGGAAAATAGAGAGAAGAGAAAAAAAGAAAAGAGAAATAGAGGAAGAAAAATGAGTAAAAATAAAAACTGCAAACAAAACAAAAGTCTAAAAGTGTCTTACTGACAACTATATGAGGAAGCAAGGCATCACCCAGCTGGATTTGAACTTGCATCCCTCAAAATATCACTCCAAACTCTCAATCATTTTTAAATGAACGGTTTTGCAGAAATATAAACGTTCATTGGATCTCTGCCTATTCTGAGTTCTGTATTCACAGAGTTTTCTGTGAAAAGTGACACAAAATTATTCGTGAAAAATTTGCAGACTTTTTTGTAGACAATTTCTAAATAGTTCCATAAAGAAAATGCAACTCTGGAGTCTGAAAAATAAAGTTGCAACGCTAACTGACAAACTATTGGCTGACTCTAGATGAAATATAACTGAACAGATCTTTTTAATAAAGTGCTTAGAGATGAATTAACAATATATGAACTTTTTATTAGTGAACAATAAGGGGAGCCTTGTTGTAAAGTGGTATCCATTTTTCTACTAGGAGCAAACAGAACAGGATTTCCTGCTGCGCTTAAACCAACAATCTTTGACATGATCAGAATAAAACTGCACATCTTCTGCAAAGCAGTAAAAACTCTCAACATTCATTTCCGCTAACGGGTCAGAGGTTCCGACAAACTCAAGCTTCAGTGCGTAAGAGCCGGGCAGCGCCGGGCAGCGCCCATCCTGTCCCACAGCAGGAAGAGGGAGGACGAGCCACTGACCCCCGAACATATCGCCGACCTCTGACCTCTCCTGAAAGAAGCGGGCTGAACCCTGGACAGCTGTGAGCCAAGGAGGAGGTTTAATTGTAGGAGTTTGTTTCACAGTTTCAGTTTCTAATGTCAGTAATCTGACAGGTTTCCTGAGTTTTTCCCTCCTCTCAACAGCATGAAGCTACATGGAAAATTATCTGTTTATTATCCGTTTATTATCTGTTTATTATCTGTTTATTGTGCTGAATTCTCTCTACAAACACGTATCAAAGTTTTCAACAGTTTAAGAAATTTGTCCCATTATCGTTTTCTCTATGGGGGACAGAGCAGGACTCCGGAAATTGAGTTGACCTGATATAAATAAATGTCCAATTAATGATGATTAGATCTATTTCCACAAAAAGCAAACATGACTGAGAGTCTCAACTTTTACATCAATATTGATCTTTGAGGAACCAGAATCTCTGAACACAGCAGGCCTGATGAAACAAAAATAATGAATCTTGGTGCAGATGGACCATCTCTGTCTCAGCACCAGTTCCTTTCAGACTGCACTGCAAAAACACTGAATCTCATCAAGTGAGTTTTGTCTAGTTTCTAGTGCAAATATCTGAGTATTTCTGAAATAAGAAAACAAACAACAACTTACTAGTGACTTTCAGGAGCTTCAGAAAAACTTTCCAAAAAAACTAAAATATCCTGCAAGGAAATCTGTTGACAAAACTGTTTCTGAAAACAAGAAACCCAGTTGAGAGTGAAATTTATGACATTTACACAACACTTTGCTGCAGCTGAAACTGGAGTCCTGTAAAATAACCCTTGCTCTATGAACACTGAATTTAAAAATAATCTTCAGATAATTTCAGTTTGGAGAAATCAGCTTTTTGAAACAATTTGACATAAGAGAAGCAGTGAATCACATTTTCTTTTGCCTGATTTGTTATTTTTTTGTATATGAATTATTGTCATTTTGGTGCTTAATTTTCTCTTAACTTTATATTTTGGTCTGTCTAATGATGCCATTATTAATCACTAAATGATTGACAATTTGATAAGTTGATTGAGTAATTTCTTGGACGGCTAAAAATATGATGAAGTATTGCTATTCAATTTTTGGCCACTCTTCCCTCCTCTGCTTATGATAGTTAAAAATGGAGTTTATTATTTTTAATGTTTAGAAATAGAGTTATAGATATTTATTGATCATTTCTTGGATGCTGATGCCTCAGACTGACCCCCACTCAGTCTGACGCTTTGTGTTTGTCTCTTCAGCTTGAAAAGGAAAAACTCTGCGGCTCACTTTTGTCTCAACCCATTGGCCATCTGCCGGCTCGCAGGACGCCCCGCCACGGCCGCCCTCCTCTCCATTCTTCACAGACAAAGACCTTCCTCCTTCTCATCACCTCCCCCGGTTCGGCCCAGCAGCAGAATGAAAGAATTCATCAGATCTGAATCAAAAATATTAATGCGGCTGAGGAGATTGCCACCTGTTCTCCAAAGGAGCGGCTGATCCTCTCATGCTCTGACTTCACTGAACCTTCAACACGACCCAGTTAAAGTCACTAACATCTGTGACTTGGCTTCAGTTTATGGCGACTCAGAGAGTCTGATGATGATTAATTATGTGCAGAAATGCTCCAAAAACTATCAAAACTTGAGGAACAGAAAGAAAAAGATTGAAATATGAATGAAATATCAACACTTCGGCTTTCCTTCAACATTCATTGCAATAATAATTTCTTCCTCTTGTTTTTATCTCTGGATTCAGACGATTTAGTGACAAAAACCTGAATAAACACTGAATAAAACTGGAACTTATCATTGTATTCTCAAATATAATGAATCAATAACTAATCTTTAGAAATATCAAACATTTATAATTCAACGTAAGACTAAAAAATAAACCCACAAAAAAAGCCAGGAAGGAAGGAAAGGAAGAACAAAAGAGAGAAACTTCATACTTCCCAGGTTTTTTCAGCTTTTCCTATCAACATATTATTGTTTTCCAGCTTTATCTTCAGCTCTCCAACAAAAGTGGCTGTGAGGAAATTATGCTATGTTGATGAAATGTTTCCATAAATGATGGCAGGATGGAAATAATCTGAGCAGAGGAAGATAATCTGAACTCTGGAACTGAGAAACAGAAGAAAACCAAAAACTGAAATTACCTCCATTATTAATTAAATCACAAAATCAGAACAGCTCTGAATGTCTGAACATCAGCAGCTGAGTTAGAGCCGAGAGAAACAGGAAACAGAAAGTCCAGACCATCTGCTAACAGCAGGAAGAATATGAACCACATGAGCATTGATGTGCTGTTCAGTTTTCTTTATCTGGGACTGAATCTTCTATCCTGAGCTGGAGCTGTGCTCTTCCTCCTCCGCCTCCTCTTCATGGGAGAGTACAGAGAGTCTTGGACAAGGTGGAGGAGGAGAAGGAGGAGCAGCGATCCTCTCAGCAGAGGAAGTGAGCCTGGATGGAGGAGGGAAGAGGAAGTCAGCTTCCTGTTAGGATGACTGGACTCCTTGTGCCACCGCTGGGCAGACGGGTGGAGCGCTGCTCTCCAGGTGGGGCTCGGGGTCGGGGGCTATGAGTGGGGTCGCAGGCGCTGCTTCCTGTTTAGTGTAAAGTTCTGCAGAACAACGAGGAAACTTTCAGAGAGGCGGAGCTGCTGATGGAGGAGGAACAGGCGGAGCAGATAGAGTCTGGATAATAATGGACGATAAAGAAAGTCATGGCTTGGATGAGGTTGGAAATACATATGGACTCCGTCCGTCCGTCCGTCCATTTGTAGCTTAAATATTTAAATCCTAACATCGTCTACTTTTCCATCCAAGATTTCTGAAAAATGTACTCTTGAAATTGAATTTTGGTGTCAAAATGAAAAAATGACTCACATAAGCTCTTTAATAACTGAGTAAATAAAACAACACAACAAAACCTCCCAAGATCTTCGACACAAGATGGACTGCACAAAGCTTCAGGATCAAAACCTGTCAACAAACTGCCAAATGTTTCTGTGAATCAGACATTTGGTCAGATTTGTTTGAGGAAAAACTCCTACACAGCAGCAAGACACCAAAAATGATCAAATGATCAAGAATAAAATAAAATAAAAAGCTTGGCTGCTCCATTGAATCGATTGTCTGTAATCGTATCAAACAGCCTGCTGGCCGGGGGAATAATCAGATTAAACACGGTTTACCTTAACCAGCTGAGGTTATCTACAGGTCACTGATAAATCTGAGTTACTGTCAGATCATCTTCATCTGTTCACACATCTGCAGGAAACTTAACGCCCTCTGATCCCTGATGCTTGGCTTTAATCCGCTTATAAACAGAATGATTGAATAATGAGAGAAAACCTGAAGATATTATCTTGTTAATGAAACAAGGACTGGAGCAGTCTGACAAAAACCAGTAAAAACACCATGTCAGTTTCACTGAATGAACTAAAAACAAACAGGATCTAATGTATTTTATATAAAACTGCTTCCCAACACCAATATTAACTTGTCTATTCTGCAAGTTTTAGAAAAACGTAAAAGAAAAATGATGGAAAAAACCAACAAAGAAGTCAAACAGCATCTCAAAAACAAGGCAAAAATCTATTAAATATTTTAGACAAAGCCAAGATTTCAGAATTAAACTTTTAGGTTAATTAAAAGTATTTTAAATCTGAATTTCTCCATTTTTTTCTCCATTTCCCAAACCATAACTTTATAAAACCTCATATCTAACCCAAACTAGATGGAGCAGATCACTGAACATTTGCTCCACATGAAACAATTAACAGGAAAAGTAAATCACAAGGAAGACAAACCCACATGAAGCTCTTCTGATCAGAGAGTCTGAACCTCTTCCAGGATTTCTGTTTCTTCTTCAAATCCTTCCCTGTTAGAAACAGAGAAAGTCATTTTCATTAAGTTACCATGTTATTAATCTGTCTCGTCCATCTACAGGCTGCATGAAGCAACATCTCCCTCTGTTTGTATGTTTATAGATCATAATGCATGAAATATCAGCTGCAAAGACCACAATTAGACAGCTGCAGAAAACATGAGACAGATTTAGCTTTACTCCCACAAAAAAGGCTAAATAAATGAACCCCTGCTGATGCACAAACCCACGGCTCTCAGATTGAATAATAAGGGCCCCTGGAGGTCCCTGGAGGCCCCTGGAGGCCCCTGGAGGCCCCTGCAGGCCCCTGGAGGCCCCCCAGGGCCCGCTGGAGGCCTCAGCTCAGGGTAAGTGACCAGAAAAAGCATCAATGGGCGTCTGACAGCAGAGCTGATGCAAGATTCCCTGAGTGACGGAGCTGAAGGAACGTTAATGAACAGGAGGCGAATGTCATTCAGTTCATCAGGCTCCCGATGGCAACAGAGCCAAAGCAACACAGCGACCACAATCTATTGCAGAGAGCAAATAATTAAAAACCCTCAACAGTGCCGACTCTGTGCTGTGACTGGAAAACTTCAACACACAATTTTCTGCAAGATTTTAGAGAGAATAAGGAGCTAATAATGAATGTATCTGTTTTTATAAAAGAAGACGACCTGGGAAATATTCATCACATCCATCACATCTGGACTTCTCAGTGTCCATCAGAGAACTCTATGTAGCACCAACCTGAAAGTAAAAGTCTAAACAGTTTGTGTCAGGGATGTGTGGGATCTGCAGAGACACTAACTGGAAGCAAAGCTTTAGGTCCAATAAAAACTGTTTCAAACATAATTTCAACAGATGTCTGAATCATTTTGGACTTAATTCTACTTTTATGTACAATTGTTCATTTCTCACAAGTTTAGTAAAAATCTCTAATCTGTGTGGAAATGTATTCTTTCTGGTTAAATGTCATCAACATTGTGTTTTGCATCACTAACGAACCTCACAGCGTCGTTTTCAGGACTGAGCTGCATGTTTTCATGCTGAACCTTTGATTTCTACATTCAGTGAGATAAATGAGTCATCGCAGCTCAAATTGCAGAGTTTGATGCTGCTTGTGGTGTTCTGCTGCTAAATGAGTCCAAACTTAAACACACAGTTTGATTTACTTAAAAATGTGCAGATTATCTGCAACCTTAACGAGCCAAAGGTGCTCAGTTCATTTTATTATGTCAGACTCGGCTGCAGAGCAGCAGGAACCCAAACACATCCATAAAAACACATGTAAACAGTGAGAACTTAGCAGGATTCTGTGGTCAGCTCCAAGTTTGTGTAAATAAAGTCCGACCGCAGGATCAACAGAGCCTGGAGGAGGTCAAACCAACTGAAAACACTCGTATTTAACCAGCAGGCCATGAATGTGGGTTTCATTACAGGTGGACATCGTCCGGCTGAAACCTGAAGAGACATTTCTGGAGCTTTTTTTACAGTAAACAAACATGATGTTACATGTCTGACAGTGGAAGGACAAGGATTTGGACGAGGTCAACAGCCAGAGAGAGGAAGAGGAAGAGGAAGAGGAAGAGGAGTGTGGCAGAATTAGGAAGAAATATAGTTTCTATATAACTGCATGTTCAGTTTTCCTTTAGGAGATTCTTTTATGTTCCTATCGATACTTTAGTCTTTTTCTTTCATTCTGCATCACATCAACAAGTTACAGTAAAGGTGTAAATCATTTATGCCTTTACTGATCGATCATAATTACAATATTTAAAATGAAAACTTTAACCATAGTTTACAACAGAACATCCAGAGTTTTACTGACAACATGACTAAAATCTGACTGTCTTATCAGAACTTGTCCTTCTGCAGCACTGACATGTTTGTTGATATAGATATTACTTGTTGTATGAATTGTTTTGCAAAAGCCAAAAATGGTTTGAGAAATGCACACAGTTTGATTTACTTAAAATTGTGCAGATTATCTGCAACCTTAAAGAGCCAAAAGGTGCTGCACTTTACAGATCTGCCATTGTGTGACTGTCTTTGCGTTGACCTCTAACCTGATTACATGTGAGTCGTAGTGAGGGAGTTGCCTCCTCAAGCTGCTTAGTGCTCCAAAAATCCAAACAAAGGCCTGCTGGAGTGGTCTCCACCCAACTGCTCTAAGGTATTGTTTCATTTAAATCGTTACGTCAAACTTTATCATAACAGACAGGAAGTGCTGCCAAAACACAATTAGGACCATGAGCTGCAATAACCGCTGACCTTTTCCTTCAGGAGTTTCTCCTCCAAAATGTCTCAGGGTGTTTGGTTTCCCTCGCTGCTCTGTTTTAGTCTGCAGATTGAGTGATTTTGTGGTTTCAGAGAGCGCTGGTCAACAAAGTTTCCCTTGTAACCAAAAAACGTGATTAGAGAGCTTTGCTTTGGTTGTAAATAAGCTGAGAGGCTGCAGAGCTGCAGGATGTGTGGAAAGCAGAGAAAGGTCCGCTTGTTTCAGGGCAGGTAATGATCCCAGAGGTGTTTAGTGGTTTGTACCAGCCGGGTTTGGTCTGAGCCTCAGAGGAATGTCGAAGCTTTCACTGAAAACCCGCTGAGTGGACAAAGTATTACAGAGACAAAAGACAAAGTGTTTTCTGGCCTCGGCTGTAGAAGTGATGCTGATCTGACCGAGCAGACGGATCAAGACTGAGAAAACATCTCAGACATCAGAGCCGCTGATATGAACACAAAGAGCTGGTCCTCTGCTCACTCCACTCATCATCATAACTCCACTTACTGAAGGTTCACTGCTTTATCGAGCCTAGAAGAACGTGGAGGTCGTTCCAGAGAGTCCTGGGTCCTTTCAGAGGATTCTGGGTCTGATCCTGGTTGAACAAGACCAGAAAGGACCCAGAAGGCTTCCTGATAAGATGCCTGAATAAGCTCATCTCAATCTTCTGTAGGCCTAATTTCTGGGGTGTCAAAAGTGTGGTCCAGGGGCCATTTGCGGCCCTCGACTTAAGTTCAAGAACGATTCAGTACAGATGTTTTCAATGGTGTATCAGGGACATTGTAGACAGAAAAAACGAGGAAACTTTCACCAGAAAACTCAGAAAAATAGTAAACCCTTTTGAAAACCGAGAAAAACCCCAAAAGTTTATTATTTTCTAGTTTTTTTCAGAAGAGTTGAGAGAGTAATGTCAAAATTTGAGTTTTTTCTCCAGTCAGGCTAAATTTAATTCAGTATTGAGTTAGCCTGCCAGCTGAATGTTCAGCTTGGATCTAGAAATGTAGTTGAGCTGCATATGTAGCCTGCTAAATGCTTAACTAGCACTTAGCTAACCCTAACTGAGAGTAAAAATATGAGTTTGAAAAATGAGCTACCAGAGTTTTTTCTGATGACAGGCTAAATAACCCATAATATTGTTGTTAATTGTGCATGTTTAAACATGAGATGAGTGAAGCTGGTGCAGCTCAAGCGCCTGCATTGAAAGCTGGGGAATCCATCTCCTGCTTCCTGTGTTTCTTTGATGCAGGTTAAAAACAGAGCAGCAGATTTTATATTTAACCGTCGGCTTCCTGCCAAACCAACCAGCAGATAAACTGGAGACACATCTGGCTGCTGGAGCGGGAATTTCCCATCCTGCTGATAAACAGCCTGACGTCAGCGCCACACGCTGATTTCCTCTGAAACGTTTTGGAATCAAACACCTTATTCCAGTCGCACACTTCCTGTCCCGCTGTCACGGTTTGGACACAACGAGCAGGAAAACTGGAACGTTTCCAAACGATTTCAGATCTATTCATCCCAAACCAGTAGGGCATAATGCTCATTTTACAATCTGCATCTTTCCGGTCCATTTTGGGTTCCGACTCAGAATCAGTTCCACTATCGGTTTTTAGATCTGAAAAACATCGATTCTGCGGCTAAAACTGACATTCTTGTGCATCTAAACACACGATGATGTGCGATTCCAAACAATGCCTGGACGGCCGTCAGCCTCTCTGCAGCTGCTGTGTGAAAACAAACCAGTCAGTTTGTAACTTTACACAAGAGCTGCAGCCAGAGTCCCAGAAACCGCAGGAAGCTCAGGAACGCTCGGCTCGTCACACGACCGGCTGGAAAACGATGCAATCAGAGAAATTCAATCACCAGGCCTTGGGAAACAAGAGGATGAAAGACGATAAAAGCCACAGGATTATCTGAGAGGAATCCTGCAGTGACCAGATGAGCTGCACCACTGATGTGGTTTTGATTGGTTTGTAATTTTGTGAAATATTTGCGTTAAACATCAGAGTGATGTCAGATTGTAGCAACAAGACGGATTGTGTCCTGATCCGACTTCTACAAAACCAGAAGAAAACAAACATCTGAGGCAGAGGAAGAGCAAACCAACAAGGCGAGTTCAAAGCTCCAAGCCAGAACCAAAACACAGATGGATCATAAACCCGGGCTCCGCTCCGGGGTTTAACCGGGACGGTTCTGAACCGAGTTGATTCTGCGTCCAGTGAGCCGTTTCTGGGTTGATGTTCAGGATGATTATCCTGCTGAAAGAGCTGCAGGCGGCTCGCTTTCAGCTTCACACCAGAGGGAATCCAGGCGTAATGCCAGGCACTCTGATAAGGCTCCAAAGGACAAACAGGCCCACAGCATCACAGGTCCTTCACCATGCTTCACAGCAAGTGAAAGCTGCTTTTCTCATACTGTTTCTATATTTAAACATAAAACGAATGTCATAAAACACTTATTTGCAAATAGTTTTGTCACTTGTGGTGAATTTTATTCAGTAGAGCAGAGGAAAGAAAGAACTGTTTGGTTTTTTTATGGTTTATGTCTCTGAGTTTCAAACAGGAAATGTTTTCTCGAAGCTTCATCCTGATTCGTTTAAATGAAACGGATTTCTGTGTTTATCTATTCTGCAGAAAAACAGAAAGTTGTGGATTAATTAATACAGTTTTAGCATTATTTGTTTTCCAGGCACAAAGTGTCATTTACAGCAAAGTCAAGTAACTATGTTAACTTCAGTTGTTATAAAAATGCTGTACATATTCTGTATGACTTAAAAGAAATTTTATTAATCCTTTAGTTAATTTTTACCAGCGTTCCTCTGAGAAGCAGCTCCTATAATGAGCTAAAGTTTCTCAAGGTGTTTGCTAATTGCTGCTGGCTAGTCTGAAGGAGCTGAGGGGGAGGAGCTGTGTCCCGAAGGCGGGGCTAAGTCAATCCATTCATTTTGCTCATCTGATTGGTTACCATGTAGATTAAATGACGTCTCAAACATGAAAGGATTAAAGCGACACTGGAGGAAAGTTTTATATCATGACGTAAAGCTCAAACATGTCGATTTTACATGATATTACCCCTTTTTACCCAGAGCAGTAAAACAGGAATACACATGTCCTTGTCTTTGATTAGTGTTGATCTACATTTTGCATAAATATTAAAATTGGAATCAGATTTTTTTTCTGATTTCTCAGACAGAATCAAAAAGCTACTTAAATATTTTGGCTTCAGGGAAACCAGAAAGTGGAAGATTTTTTTGTCCTTCTCTTTTGGTTTCTGCTGCAGAACTGGTTCCTGATCCAGAACCGGATGAGACCGAGTTTGATTCTTCCAAAGTTACAAAATGCTGAGCAGGAATGGAAAACCGGAGTAACAGCCGCACAGAAGCAGAAATGTGACCCTGATATGAGGAAGCATTTTTCTGAGGGATGGAAAGATCCGTCCAGGATAACGAGATACTTCTCCTACCTTGTACCAATCCTTTTAATAGTTTGGGAAAAGACGGAGAGGGAAACAAGGATCGTTTTTATGGGGAATTAAAGCTGAAATTGTCCTGCAGCCACAAAGAAACGAGAGACGACCTTCCCAACGCGGAGCTTCCTGAAAATCCCACATATTAACCGTCAAACATTTAATTTAGTCTGGAACTAAAAGCAGATGTAATGTTTGAAAATCTGAACACTATTAGTCTGTTCTGAGTGTTTTCACATTAATAACACATTCATGACAACATGCTGACTGTGGAGCGGGCGGGCGAGTGAGGCAGTGGTAACATGGGGAGAGAGAGAGAGGCTGTTCTTGTTGGGATTAATTGGAAGCAGCTGCTGAGGAAACGCTGATCCTGTTGGCTGCTGAGAGTTTCTGTTTGGAAGAACGGCGACTCTGTGACGCAACGCTGCAGAACAGTTCAGATCCTGGGTCCCAACAGAACCAAACACAACTTAATGAGAAATGTATTATTTTCTGAAAGAATCATCTAATCGCCAGAGAACTGGGCGGAGCAATAACTTCCATATTTAGTTTTCTGTTTTTTTAACTGTCATGAACTCAACACTTCTTAAATGGGAAGTAGTATTTATTTTTAGCCACATAATTCCATTTTAAGGGACACCTAAGAACTATATTACTTTCAGTTGTTATATTTATCGAGCAAATATGACTTAAAAGAAATTTTACGTCAACATTTAATTTCTTGAAGTCTCTATAAGAAGCTTCTGCCTTCAGGAAGTCGTCACATTTCTCTGTTAAAATGTCTCAGTTGTATGTTTTCCATCATAAATATTGTTATCTACAATAAACAAAGCATTAACTATTTTAATTAAATATTTATTCATAGAAACAGGATTGTAAATTCAAAACTCTGAATGGTTTTCTGTTATCATTTTGGGTTTAGAAAATATTTTGTATTTCTCAGCAGTAACAAAAGGTTCTGGATCAGTTTTCATTTGAAAACATTTCCTGTGTTTAACCGACTTTAAATTCAGCAATTAATTTAAAGTCGGTTAATTTAATTGCTGGGTTAGGTTTGCATTTTGTAAGTAGATTTTGATTCAAAACATAAAGTTTTCTCCCAATTTATTCTTGAATTGTGGAAGGGGGGGGTGGGTGGGGTGGGGGCGTGAGGGGTGGGGGTGGGGGGGGGGGGGCAGAGGGCACACAAAAGAAAACAAAATCCATCCGGGTGCCACTAAGGGCCCCGGGCCACAGGTTGAACACCAGAGGGTCAGATGCACTGGTTTCCTGTAGAGTTTCTTAGGATGGAAGTTAAAAGTCAAACCATCTCATCCTGGCATCATTGTGGATGTAAAGTCTGTTCAGATTGTTGCAGCTCAGCGTTGGGCCCCCAGGAAACCGAAGCCGCTCTGCGCAGACAGAAGACTCCTGAAATTACAGCTGCAGGCTGTAAATAAACCTCATTATGATGAGCTGCAGCGTTTCCTCTCAGTAATCATGCAGCGTCTGAGGGGGAGGTCGCTCTTTAATTCAGCTGCTTGTGGAGAAAAAACCCTGAATTACAGATTCCAAATGAATCTCTGCCTGTTGCAACAAACCAGCTTCATTATTTTGTTTTCCACGTGCAGATTTAGATCCGTCTGCACGTTTGTTCATTTCCTACAACTTTAAACAGAAAATCTAAAGTTATAATGAAGAAAAATCTGATTAAAATACACGTTTTAAAACTTTAACAGAGCTGAACTGAAACTGCTGATAAAGACAATAAAAGTTTTTTTTACAGAAAATCCCAGATTTGTCTCCATAAAATTGGAATAAAAGTAGATAAATAAAGAACTGCACCTTTAAAGTGCAAATGAATCTTTAAAAACAAAATAACAAATTCAGATTTAGCTCTTGTGTGTTGATGACCCGAAACCTTCTGACTCAGTTATTGCAGTCGGTCCATGAAGCGCTTTAAAGAATTTCAAACATGCAGCAGAGAAACAAAACAAACTCTGTTCTGATCCAATTAGTCCAATAAGCCAGAAGCTGCTGGATTTAGAGTTCTAATTGAGTTCTGATCCAGAGTCCGATCTTATCAGCTCGGTCTCGTGCGGAAAGCCGCTCCGAGTCGGTTTGTCGCAGGAACATCGACCCGGCTGGAACTGCTGCAGAACAACGTGGAGGCAAATCCTGCGATCCGATCAAATGAATCTCCACTGCAGAGTTTGAGTTTTCTACTGGAGAACCGACAGTGAAGGCAAGTGGTTCTTCCTCATCGAAACATTCGGACTGAACCGAAACCATTTCGGATCAGAACTCTAACTGTCACACAAATTCATCTTTACAGAAACGATCTGAGATTTTGGGTTTATGTCTGATCATAACAATAAGTGTATAAAAAAATAAAAAGAAAAAGAAAATAAATAAAAAATTTCAAAACAAAAAAAACCCATACATGCATCTAAAGCAAGATATAAACAAAGCAAAATGAAATAAATAGAAAGTGAAAGAAAAATAAAAATTTTAATTATTTATTTAATGAAAAAAAAAACAATAAAAAGTAAAATGAATAATTAGAAACAAATTTAAAAAATCTATAATCAGGAATAAAACAATAAGAACATAAACATTAAATGTAATTATAATAAAAAATAACTAAATTAATAAAAAAGTTCAGATAACTAAATAAAACAGAAACAAATAAAAACTAAAATAATAATATAAATCAAAAATATAAATTATAAATTATAAATTAATTTGTATTTATTTTGTTTCCCACTGTGAACCACCAGCAGGAAGCAGCGGGTCGGAACCGACCCGATCGCTGATCAGCGTCTGATTATCGGCCTCCATCAGGCTGCTGATGGCTTCAAGATTCTCACTCCAAAAACAAGCTGCCATTGTTCAGAGGGAGCCGACCTTTGACCTCCCTGATCACTGAGGCGGTACCATTATTGACTTTGCACTGGTTCTACTGGGACCCAAAGAGAGGCTGACGTTCTGTCAGATCTGCGTGGAGATCAGTACAACTTCCAAGCCTTGCCACTCAATTTGGACTTTAACTAGGCCATTCCACCACCTGGACCTGTTCGTCTTAAAATTATGCGAATAAAGTGACCTCTAACGGGCTTTGAATGTCGACCCGGTTCCCCAACCCGAACATGAGAGGGTCTGTTGGGGCTTGAGGTCCTGAACGGTCCTGAACCGTCTCCCTGCGGGACGCCGTTCAGCTTTAATGAGTTCGCTCATTACTCACAACAGAGACCACAGCAACCTGCTGGGAGTCACTCTGCAGGGTTTCCCCCCGACGGGGCGCAGCTGCAGGGGAAACGAGGAGCAACACGGGGAAACGTCAGCAATTCACCTAAAATACTGCAACTAAGGCTTGATAAAATGAAAACATTGTTAGATTTTTACTGGAAAAAATATTCCCAAGGATCTGGGAATTTATCTTGGTGTCAGTTTATCCTGGAGGGGATGAAAGTCCCTCCATGGTGATGCTAGAGACTCAGACTCAGCTGCTCCAGCCCAGCTATGAAGGTATTAGGGTGTAATTAGTTTTTCCACACAAGGCCAAGTTGCTTTGATAGCTTTTAATAAGTTACTTGAAGCTCTGAAACATTTCAATTTGACAAAAAAAAAAGCAAAAACAGAAGAAACCTGAGGGTGTAAAAACTTTCTCACAGCTCTGTTGCTCTTAAAACTCAGAATCTCACCAATAGAAATAAAACAATTTAATCAGCTGCATGTTTCAGTAGACGAAACGATCTTTGGTGAACAGGGTGTAACTTTGAAACTGGAGAGAAATGAACAGTTTTTTCTCTCTAAATAAACTCAACTGTTTGGTCTCTTCTTAATCATAAAATTCTCATCTGGAAAACGTTTCTAACTCCCTTTAAGGTCAAATCGTCCGTCTGTAGTTATCAGCTGTTTCTGATAACCAGTGATGCTGGTTGGTTTCAGAGACATTGAAATAATGTTCAGCAGTTTCAGGGATCAGCAGGAAGCGTTTTGTCCAGTCTGAGTCGGAAGCATCAGAGCTGAAGGGGAACCAGAGGAAGACAATCCTCCAGGATCCACAGAAACCTCTGAGCGGCAGCAGAAAGTCCAGAAGGAAAGACGACGGAGAGGAGAGCAGAAAGACTCACCGGCAGTAGAAGCAGTCTCCTTGGTCTCTGTTGGCTCCAGTCTGAGTTGGACCGACCCGGTTCCTCGGTTCTGACAGCAGGACATGAGGGCGGGGTTCTGCAGCCCAACAGGAGGAGGAGGATTTGTTTCGGCAGACCACACCTCTGTGACAAACACAGTGATTCGATCATGTTCAGGATTTTTAAAGTTCTTCAGTTCTGGACCGGCTCCTGGTTCAGGAGAAGTTCTCTCAATTCATCACAGAAAGCTAAAGCTTCACACGTTTTCCTCCGGTGGAGAAAATCCAGATTCACCAGGGAAAAATGCACCAATTCAGCACAGATTTAGTAAAAATGTCTAATGGAAATATTTAAATATGACTGACACATTGTGACAAACAGTTCAATAATTTAGCCTTGAAGACTTAAAATGAAATGATGTTTAAATGTACAAAACAATCTGTATATTACATTTTATCAATGTGACAAAAGTCACTAAATATGTTAGAAAAATCAGAGAATTGAACAAAGTCACTTGCATGAAGATCAAAAGCATTTGCAAACTTTCTCAAAGGAAAAGGAAACTGATTTTCTGATGCAACAAATTCATTGGAAGATTGAACAAGCAGAAATGAGAATTTCATTCTGTTCTGAAAATAAAAACTGGTGAACGGGTTTGGATGAAATCTGTCATACAGGCTCATATATATATGAGCCCTATATATATATGTATGTGTGTATATATATATACACACATACACCGGCACTAACCTTTGGTGAAGTGTCTCTTAGCCTGTTGCACTAAACATTTTTCTTCTAGAAACTGTCTCTGAACTTCCAACATCTTGCCAGAAGAAATTTAGGACGTTTTCATACCTGATAGTTTGGCAGACTTCGTCCAATCGGTGACAAAATTGCAACATTTGTTACGATTTCACCTGCTGTGGTTTGTTTCACACTCCATTGTTTCAAACAAGCCAAACCTTTAAAAATCTGTTACCCTCCTCGCCTGTGGGGGCGCTGCACCAAAACCTCAGAAGAAGAAAGTGAGAACAGCTTCCTTTTTTGCAAAATGTGAAATAAAATGAAGCAGCATGCCCTGTGCTGTAGGCTGCTTCCTGCTTTTGGCAGAATTTCAAAATGCTGCTGCTTGTTTTTTTTACAGTTTTGGTGGTTTTGGTCCATGTGACGAATCAGACTCAAACAAAGACAAAAAAGTGTTCAAAATAAAAAAAAGTTCAATTTAATTCTTCCAAGAATAGTGAACAAAGCATAAAGATTTAATGCAAGAATCAGTCAAAAAGGATAAATAAGAAATTTGGGCCCAATTTAACTGACGTCAACTGAACTCTGAACAGAAACAAAACTGACCTGAAAACAAAGAAAAGATCTAAAATAGAGGCGCAGTAACCTACAACTACCAGAAGAGGGAGACACAACATAACAAAAGAACAAAAAAAAAAAATAAAAATTAGCTAAAGCATTCTATGAAACAAATAAAGCAAAACTACTGTAACTTTAAATTAGCACAAACAATAAGTGCCAAAATTAATTAAGATCAACTTGAAACAACAAAGTCTCCCCTTCGGTCTTTCAGAAAAACAAATGATTTGTTCCAGTTTTCCTTCTCCAGCTGCTTTGTATCAGCAGCACCTCAAACAAAAAACAAGTGTAAGTAAAGCATTCAGACAGACATTAACTAAAGTACCCATTAGAATATATATGTCTAAATGAAATAAATAACTTAAACAGACTATAACCCGTAACTAGCATAAAGATAAAAACTAGCATGATGTAGTGGTGGTACAAGCATCAGAGTTTCATCACACATTCAAACCTCCCCAACCTGCTGTAAGAAAAACTTAAAACCAGAACTGCAAAATGAAATATTTGGTAAAAGCTAAGAGTGACGGATAGCTGCATCCAATGTGGTCAAAGAAGCATCAGAGGAGATCCTTCCTCTCAAAAGATACTGGACTCTGTAACCAATTCTGCTCCCAAAAAGCACTAAGTATTTACAATCCCAATGTTATTTTGACCATTTTAGGCATTTTAAATATTATTTTTGCTGTTAATAAACATGCTTTTTATGTAAGCACTTTCTCTGAGAAAGTTATCCTGCTCATCCACTGGATTGGAGAACACTATTTCAGATAACTGCTCTGTACAATCAGCATCTGGAAAGAGACTCTGTTCCCCAGAACCTGCTTCAGAAAACACCACCGTCCAGAACAGGACAGAAATAAACATTAATCAGCTGCTGACATGGACACAGATCAGATGAACTTCTGAGGGACGGCTCAGATCAAACATGAACAAGGAGAAAATCAAACTGAGGAAGAACCAGGAACCTTCCTGCTGAGGTCTGTAAGGGATGGAGAAGTTCCAGGTCCCAGAGGTCGGATCCTACAAGGTCTGATTTAAATCAGCTGAGATCAAGCATTAAAAGGTCAGAACCACTGGATCTTTTCATGATTGAAGTCCAAGTCCGTTTTCTACCAGTTGACTGCTGCCCCCTGCTGGCTCCCGGGAGAAGAGGGAGATTTTAAATCTCTTAATTAAGCTGAAGATGCAGATGCCATCTGAAAACTTCATGCTTCATTTGGACTAAATGAATGTTCACGTTTTGATTAATTTAACTGAATATTAAATCCAGTTTAAGCAGCAAAAGAAATGTGCAATGGCTGGTGATCCAGAACAAGCAGTGAAATAAATATTGATATGAATCATAACAGAAACAAACAGCATGTTACTATTTTATTTGATTTTATGCAGAAATATCTGACTCAACCCTCAGACTAACATAGAGAATTTACATTTTCCAGATAAAAATGAACTGATCAGAGTTTTTGGTTTGTCAGTTTTTTTCAGTTTGTCGGTTTGTTTACTCCCTGTTTCTATGACGACATGACGTGGCCAGCTTTGTGTTTTTGTGCAACACTAGAGTTGCTGCTTGGGATTAAAATACTCAAAGATCCAAGAGGGGAATGTCGGGACCCGACGCCCCAGCTTACACAGGAAGTAGCAGGAAACATTGACGAGGACAGACACAAAATTTAGAAACCTCATTAGTAGATATGACATCTTCAACTAAATGAATTTACATCTTCAATATAGTATATTTTACTGCAAAGTAAAGCCAGGCGTGTGGGCTGATGGGTAATGTTGGCCTGAAGCTAAATAAATGATTGTTTCTCTCTGACTGAACAACATGAGACCTTCTGACCTCATCAGGTCACTGAGAGGTTCCCTCAGGCTAAAGTCCAAAGAAGTTCAAGGTTTCAGAGAAAAAGGAATCAGAACTGATGATGTCAGAAACATCTGTCCAACATTTCACCATGTCGATCAGAAGGAAAGAGTCTGAGTGTTAAATCATTCAGTTCTACATACTCACTGGTTAAAACACTCAGGTCTATAGGTGTAGATGATCAAAACTGTAATTTTTAAATCTGGACATTTGTTCATGACAAAGTAATTATTAAAGAATGTTTGTTTTGTTTTTGCTTGTTAAGGAAAAACAAAATTTCACTTTTTAAAAACTTCAATGAATTCCCATATTTTACTTCCTGTCCGTTCTTTTCTCTCCTCCCACTTTCTGGACATGAACCAATAAATGATCAGCAAATTCCTCATGCTCTGCACCTCTTCCTTTTATAAAACACGAGTTCTTCAAAATAAAACAAAATATGCAATAAAGCTTTTATTTGCACTAACTAGGAAGCAAACAACAAATTTGCACATTTTATGCTTCTTATCTCAAAATGTTTTAATTTAAATGATCAGCTTTTATACTTCTCTGTGATGATTTTAATATATTAAAATGAATTTAACACAAATAAAATGTACTACTGAAAGCAAAATATTCTTTTGGGCTGGTTTACAGTTAAAATGAAGCTTTTTTAATGAATCATCCTGGATGTGATGGAGCTCAGTGGAGAGCGGCGGCAGCAGAACGTTCTCCATCATTTTCATAATTCACTGCGTCGTCATCAGCAGCAAAACGGACCTGAGAAACAAGCAGAGATTAACTGGATAAAACAGGTACAGACACAAAACGAACATTTAAATAAAAATATCAAAGCATCACAAATGATACTACTGAGAAAATCCTTTATAACAGCTTATAACTTTATTACTCATAAAATATAACAGTTTTCAAACATTATAGTTCAATGAATGTCGATTTTCTTCTAAGATGTTTCAAGGTAAAAACTAAAAAGGGAAAAAGATAAAAATCAATACACTTTACATCATGTTTGTAATTTATAATCTACATATTAAAGGTCTATGAATGTATTTTTCATGATTGTTTCTTACATTAATGTCTTTCTGAGGCTTTTTTCTTCCTGCAGTGGAAAACAGAATAAAGTGATTAAAGTAAGAAGTGTGTAAATCGTCTCCACTGCAGCTGAGTTTCCTCACCTCTGGTTCTGATGATACCAACAGTGACTCCAACCATCAGGATCAGTCCTGTGATCTTCAGAGTCGACATGATGAAGCTCAGAGGAGACGAGGCGGGGGGGCCTGAGGAGGAGACGGAGCAACAACCTCATGTTTGGATCATTTTCATCTGATTCAGGAAGAAAATAGTTTGAACTTGATGGTGGACTGAACATCAATCTGAGTGTCTGTGATTCTGGATCCACATTTAGAACCAAGGAGAACCTGAACCTCCATCATGGAGGAGAAAACTGGAGATCTACATAAAAACTGTGGAGTGAAAAGTCAAAGTATCCAAAATAAAGATATTAACATAGAAATGCATTGGTTTATAATAAGACAATAAATCTATAAGATGTTTGAACAGAAGCTGATGTTTTCATTGAATCTTTTTAACTTCTTTCTAAAAATGAGACATCATACCTTCAGATCCATAGTGAGTTTCTATCTTCACTGTTTTTTCTTCAACAAACTGGCAGGTGAATCTTCTGCTGCTCTGAAGATTCACAGTCAGAAAGGAAACACAACCAGTCTGTCCTCCTGATTTATATCCATCACCTTCACCAGTCAGTTCAGATTCTGTCTCGTTCAACCAGAGGAAACTTTTATCTGGACAAGAACCCGACCAGAATCTCTCCAGAGAACAGCTTAATGTCAATTCATCGTTTTTTGGATCAGCATCTGTTGAAGATGCAGAAACTGAAAGAAAACAAAAACATTTCAGTATTAAAGATGTTTTCTAAAGTCATAACACTAACAAAGTTTTATTTTATTCCTATTGTTCTGTTCACATGATGCTCTTGTCTTGTTTAGAGCCGATCCATGTCATGTTCCTCATTTCTGTTATTCCTTGCTCCTGTGTGGCTTCCTGATTGTTTTCCTTCTTAAGCCTCTCAGTCAGACCGACAGTCACTGCCAGATTATCAAACGCCTTTAGCTCGTAGTTTTCCATCACTCTCACCTCGCCCTGTTCGTTGCATCCACACTCTTGCTCCCTGGTTTTTCCCTTTGTCAGATTGTCTCCGTTTGCCCATCTGGATCTCGACCCATGCCTGTTTTTCGGATGCCCCGCTCACGCCCACTCCCACAGATACATGTTCTGCTCTCTGACTCTTGGTGTTATGACCTCTGCCTGTCTGACCAAGGATTTGAATTTTGCCCTTTAGCTGAAGGTGAAGGAGGATGGTGTTGATCTTCCTGGACTGCAGCAGAGTCGGTGCTGCCCTGCATCATCGCCTCTCCTTCTCCAGACAATCCTTCCAGAACCCTCCATCAGAGCAACATCTGCTCCTTCCTCGTCTCTCGGCTGATCGGTTCAGTACCTGATCAGCAGGCCAAGTCCCTGTACTCTCCACACACACTAACAGATTCCTTCTGAAATATTTCTCAAGTCACCGATCTCTCCTCTCTGTTCCCCTCGCAGAGCTGCAGCTAACATCCAGTGGGCCCAGTTTGTTTAGCCTCTAAAATCAGACAGATCCAGTTCCAGTCCTGACAGTTTAGAGCATCATGATCTAAACAGTCAGATCCACACATTTAGGGTTAAAGGTTGATATCATCATTATTCAGATTACTTACTGGTCATCACATTTAGATAAACATGTGTATCATATCTGCAGGTGTAACGTCCAGCATCATCAGCTGTGATGTTGTTGATGATCAGAGAACAGTTTCTGTCCAAACTCAGCCTGGCAGAACGAGATGAACTCTGAACCATTCCTTTATGAACTTCCTGTTTCCTGTCGTTGTTTCTCTCATAACTCCAGTCAACAGAGGAACACGAGTCGGATGATGAAGGTCTGTTACAGGATAGAACAGCTTCATCTCCAGCTCTGTGGTAGAGATGGACTGGAACAAACATTCAGAGAAATGATTTACTCTACATGAAGTTATTAATACAGTATCAGTCTCTGTGTTCTGCCTGAAGTCTCTTGAAATATAGAAAATGTAAAAACATTAAATGCATCATTAACAACATTATTAATCATTTGAACCATAAACATTTTTCTGAAGCCAGAAACAATAATTTAAACTTTTCATGTCCTTTTATCAGCCTTTGAAGCTTTTCTACAGATCAGAAGAAATTATTTAAGCTCATTGTTGAAATATTGATCACACATTTACAAAACCCTTCGATTTTCTCCGTTTAAATATTCAAACTGAAACTGATTGAAGAAAACTTCAATCAGTTTCAGCAAAAGCAGAAATTACACAGCAAAATGCACTTTGCTATGAAACATTATCAATGGGGTTTTAAGATAAACAAAGTGTAAATTTGATCTAAAAGCTAATATGTACATATAGAATATTGTTTCTATATGCAATAGAAACATTTCATGAACATGTGACTCTCAGTCTAAAGTCTCTGTGAGCGTTTCTCTCTTTAACACATTATCTGCTCTTCCTGTTTGTTTCACTTCTTCTTTTTATCTATTTATATTTTCCATACGTCTCTAACAGCCTCTAAAAGTTTGCTGCTTTGTTTTGGTGTCACTTTTTAAAGTTTCCCTGCAAAACGCTGCACTGGTCACTTTGTTCCACAGAAACATTCAGACTGATCAGTTCAGTGGATCTGATTCACTTTAAAACATAATAATATTATATTTTCATTTTATTATTGAATCAGAATTCATGTTATCATAAATTACACTCAGTATCTGTAAATTCAGTGAATATTTGTAACCAAGTTTTCTACAAAGACAAATGATAATATATATCAAATATAAATAATCATATTCTATAAATTCCTGCTGTTTATCTCATTTATCTGTAAATAAATGACATGGTACCTCGTGTGTGTTGAACTTCAACCTTCACTTTGGTTCCTTCAATAAACTGGCAGGTGAATCTTCTGTTGGTGTCGCTCTGATGCTTCACAGTTAGAGAGGAAACACATCTTCGTCTTAAACGGCTTTCAGCACTTTCAGTCAGTTCAGTTCTTTTCTCGTCCAGCCAGTGGAAACTTTTCCCTGGACAGGAACCCAGATCACTGTATCTCCACAGAGAGCAGTATAATGTGAAATCCTCCTTTGTTGGATCAGCAACTGAAACTGAAGGAAAAAATACAAATACATTTTTCTCAGTCTAAAATGTTAAAGTAACTTCCTCAAAGGTGAAAAGCTTAATAAATTCTTAGGCTCTGCAGAATGTAGAATATAAATGAATAAATATTGCAATATTTTCTCCATTTTCCTTGATTATTGATCCATGTCAGGATGCTGAATCCAGACCTCAATCCGTCCTGCAACTGTTAGATGCTGCATTACTCCAACAGAACAAGCCATTCATTGGATTCAGGCGTGTTGGAGCAGGGATGCATCTGCAGGACGGAGGCTCTGCAGGACTGGACTTGAGCTCCACTGATCTACATTATTATTACAGAACTGAGCAGGTTTTCATCAGCTTGATGGAAGAAAACAACTTATATAGAGAGTTTGATTATTTCATGCTTTGATGAAGCAATAAAAGATGAACTGATTAAATCTAAACTTCCTCAGCACTGAGCACAACGTTCACTCTGATGAGCCCACTTCCTGATGACCTCAGAGCTTGGCCCCGCCCCCAGCTCAGACAGGAAGTAGAAGAAATGCAACAGATGTTGGCTGGAAACATAAAATATAAAACCTCATTGTGAGTTTCAGTTCATGTTTGTGTGTGGACTGATGGGTAATGTTGGCCTGAAGCTAAATAAATGATTGTTTCTCTCTGACTGAACAACATGAGACCTTCTGACCTCATCAGGTCACTGAGAGGTTCCCTCAGGCTAAAGTCCAAAGAAGTTCAAGGTTTCAGAGAAAAAGGAATCAGAACTGATGATGTCAGAAACATCTGTCCAACATTTCACCAGAAGCAAAGAGTCTGAGTGTTAAATCATTCAGTTCTACATACTCACTGGTTAAAACATTCAGAAGCACTAAACCATCTGAGGAGGCATCAGAACCGGGTCTACAGCTGTATCTTCCAGCATCATCAGCAGTGATGTTGTTGATGATCAGAGAGCAGCTGCTGTCCAAACTTAACCTGGAAGCTCGAGGTGAACTCTGATCAACTTTTCCATTTATAACTTCATAATCAGTTTGGCTTATATCTCTGTTGTAAAGCCAGTTAATAGTGGAGCAAGAGGAAAATGATGACAGACTGTTACAAGGTAGAACAACATTTTCTCCTTCTCTGTGATAGAGATGAATTTCTCCTCCTCTGGTTCCTGCAGCAGAAATAAAACACATTAAAGTTTACAGACGTCATTCTTAACAAAACAATCATGAAGGTGAAATTATAAATGTGTTAGTCATCTCTATTCCCTGGTGTTGAATTATTTTTACATTGTTAAAGTCATGAAGTGCAGAACTGAAGGCGTTGAGGCCGACGCAGCGACTCCAGGCTGAAGTGAATAATGATGAAAAAGTCCAAATGCAAACAGTCCAACAAGCAGGACAGACTGACCGGCACACAAAGGACGAGGAGACGCAGAGACACAGGAGACGCAGAGACACAGGAGACACAGAGACACAGGAGACGCAGACACAGGAGACGCAGAGACACAGAGACACAGGAGACACAGAGACACAGGAGACAGAGACACAGGAGACACACACAGGAGACGCAGAGACACAGGAGACACAGGAGACGCAGAGACACAGGAGACGCAGAGACACAGGAGACGCAGAGACACAGGAGGAAATCAGGGGGACGACAGGAAGGACAACATGGAGACTCAGAAAACACAGAAACCTGAAATAAACACAGAAAAACTCAAACCATGACAGTCGACTCTAGAGGACAATCATAAAATAAAAGAAATTCACTCAGAAATATTTATTTTGCAGATGCTATAAGTTAATGTCTCCATAAAAAATGTCAGTTTTCTTTAATTTTTTTCATCTTCATGTGAAAGAAATCAGATCTTTACCTTCAAACTGAAGCACAACGACCAGAACCAGAACCAGAACCAACATCTCCTCCATCAGCTGCTGAACTGAGAGACTTTTCTCTGCTGCTGATCTGAAAATACTGATCATATTTCCTCTTTGTGGCTGAAATAAAGGATATAAATAATTTCACACCAACACCCACCATGTGTCACTTTGAGTCTTTATAAACTGACAGAAACTCACAGATAGAAGGAAGTAGTTATACAAACTAGTTAGAAATAAACATTTTAACAGTTTTTAAGTGATTCACTTTGTAACACTGAGAACTAAAATGAGACATGATTTCTCTGTGATCTGGTTGAACAAATGTTTAGTTTATTTTTTATTTCTGTTATTTTCAACACAGCTTGTTGTCGTTTCCTTCATAAAGAGGAACTACGATGCATACTACTGAGCTGCAGTCAGTCCACCAACAGCAGCAGCTCTGAGACTGCAGACAGAGAATCAAACCGAGTCAGAACAGAATCCAATCAGGTCCAACTGGAAAAACTGAAATAATTAAATTAAAACTGTTGTCTCAGTCTGGAAGATGTTAAAGTCATTTTCTCAAAGATGAAAACCTTAAAAGGTTATGAGTCTCAGATCTGAGCAGGTTTTCATCAGCATGACGGAACAAAATAATCAATACTAAATGTAAATGATTCAGTGACTTGAACAGACACTGAACCAGACACATAGATCCATTGTTAGCACAATCAAGTGACTTCATAACTGAATGCCTCTGTCTCTTTAAAAGCTCCTGCTCATTGGGTTAGCGTTAGCGTTAGGGTTGACCCTTCAGCACAGTTTCAGACGTCATCTCAACATGGCGCCTCACATTCTCCTCTGGTTCCTGCAGCAGACACAAATAAGACACATTCAACTTGATTCTGGTAAATTTTTTTATTTGTTTAAATACATTTGCTATCCTTTGTCTCCAGCTGCCCAGAAGGCTGCAGTGAGACTTTTAAACAGGAACTAACAGAAAATCACACATAATACAGGTTTAATCTTCTCTGCCTTGGCTACTGGTTAAATTTAGGATTCATTTCACAATGTTTGTCTCAACTTTAGAGCTTTAACTGGACAGGCCAGCCATAAGCAAAATGTTGACCTCTTATTCTTCAGCCCAAAACCTTTTGATTAAAAGACCAGATTTAAAACTTGTGTTATTGGCTCAGACTGCAGCCCTGTTTCTCTGTGTAACAGGAATCAATCTGTTGATTCCTTTAAAAATGAGATTAACTGAAAGCTATTCAGACAAACGTTTAGATAAATCTTGAACTTTTGTCTTTATTAGTTGCCCTTACCATCTTTGATTTAATTCATGCCAACGATAAATGGTGCAACATAAGTAAAGTTCAGTTATTATATTTACACACTTTGTTATTCACAGAAATAATGGGCTCGGTGTTTTGGGCTGTCCAACCATGTCGATCAGAAGCAAAGAGTCTGAGTGTTAAATCATTCAGTTCTACATACTCACTGGTTAAAACACTCAGAATCACTAAACCATCTGAGGGATCAGAACCGGGTCTGCAGGTGTAGAGTCCAGCATCATCAGCAGTGATGCTGTTGATGATCAGAGAGCAGCTGCTGTCCAAACCTAACCTGGAAGCTGGAGGTGAACTCTGATCAACTTCTCCATTTTCAACCTCCTTCTCAGGAGGAATTTCTCCATATTTACTGAAGAGCCAGTAAATATTGGAGCAGGAATAAAACGATGAAAGACCATCACAAGGCAACACAACATTTTCTCCAGCTCTGTCATAGAGACGAGTTTCTCCTCTGGTTCCTGCAGCAGAAACAAAAATACATTAAAGTTTTACACATTTAAGTTAAGTTACAACCTTTTAAAAAGTTATTTAATGTAGTAATTAACATTTATCAGGTTTGAGAAAAAGAGCAAAAGATGAATGATGTCTCTTTATATTTGGATAAAACCTGACTTAGAAATACATTCTCATTCTGTTTCTGCAAATTTTACAAATATTAAATCTCATAGCTCCATTAAATATAAACCAAAGCATTTTGAATTTTTCTCATCTTTATGTGAAAGAAAACAGATTTTTACCTTCAAACTGAAGCACAACGACCAGAACCAGAACCAGAACCAGAACCAGAACCAGAACCAGAACCAACATCTCCTGTCTGTCTATCAGCTGCTGAACTGAAAATACTGATGATGTTTCCTGTTTGTGGCTGAATTAATGATTGAAATCAAATTCATATCCATGCACATTCTGTCACGTTGCTCTTATCAACTTGATCATTTCCAGAAACTGACAGAAAACCACCAAAAACAGCAACCAGTAAAACTTTAGTTAGAAATTAACATTTAAACTACATTTAACTCTTTCACTCTGTAAGACTCAAATGAACCAAAGTGATGAATGTTTTAGCCGAAGAATGAAGAACATAAAAACAAAGTTTTATTTCCTGCTCTGTGACTGTATATTTTTGTACAACTTGTTCTATTTTCCGCTGCCTGAGCAGTCAGAGATTAACTGTGATGCATATTGATGAGCTGCAGTCAGTCCACTATCAGCAGCAGCTATGAGACACAGAATCAAAACAGGAGAAAATAAAAATACTTTAGGATAAAAATGTTTACTTTAGCATTCACCACTTATACTACAAATCCCAGAATGCTCTGCTGCTGAGTTGGCCATCGATAAGCCTCCTTTTCTGCTGGTATTAAATGTGACCTGATGCAACAACCAGTCAGACCAGTAGAGGAAATGCCAGCTGTCTGGACCAGAGCCCATCAGAATAGATCAGAGAATCAAACTGAGCTTCAGTTATTGTTTCCTTTATGAACGTTTTTGACACTTTAAGATCTGGACATTGACTACATTATTATCATTAGAGGCAAAACAGTTTTGATTTAGTTTAAGAAATTAATGCCACAGACAGTTTTAGTCATTTGACGTGTCCTTAAAATGTGATTTTGAAGTTTTATTTGGAACAGATCTGCATTGGTGTGATAATTGAGTCGTCTGCCTCTGATTGGCTGATCAGTGGCGTTATGGCGTGTGAGGCACAGATACAGCAACTTAGTGCTGCGTCACGAGTCTCTGTTATCTGATTAAGTGAAAAAAGATCAGAAGCCTATCGATGCAACACCATGCAGGCCTCCTACTCCTATTTGCAGTAGTTCAGGCGACTAGAGTTCATAAAAACCTCTAAACTCAACAATTAATGAATTACTAATAAATGTGTCGTAAAATTACTTTATATACTTTTACATCATATAATACATGGATACACTCACACAGTTTTCCAACCTGTTCTCTGGATAAGTGTCACTCATATACATGAAAAAACCTTGAAACTGATTTTCACTGCCACATGTTACAGCTGTGGATTCCAGGAATGTTAATAGCAGGAGAGGGAGAATAATGAGTTGATGGCAGCATCATCCCAGTGGATTCCCTCCTGCAGGAAGGAATCGCAGCTAAACACAAAGCCAGACCAGTTATTGTTCTTTCCACAGAAAGAACACAAAAAGTTAACAGTTGAAATGAGAGAACTATTGCAGACAAAAGTAGAAAAAGCAAGTGAGAAAGAAACAAACAGTTTGTCCTCCAGTCTCTTGAGACAAGATGGATTCTGTCTTTGCTCCTCTGTCCAAATTAAGACGCAGAACAAGGTGAACAATGAGAGCAAAGGCAGCAGGATTACCTCAAACCAGCACAGCGCCAGGTAAGGATGAAACCGACCGAACATCAGGAGCTCACTGGTCCAAAACATGTTTGATAAAAAAAAGAAAATGCCACTTTTTTAAAGCTTCAACTAATTCCCATATTTTACTTCCTGTCCGTTTTCTTCTCTCCTCCAACTTCCTGGACATTAACCAATGAGTGACCAGCAAATCCCTCATGCTCGACACCACTTCCTTTTATAAAGAACAAGTTCTTCGAAATACGACAAAATATGTGACAAATCCTTTATTTACACCAAACAAACAACACATTTAAAGCATCGTATGCCAAACTATTCTAGACTAAACAATCAGCTTTTATCTTATCTATGATGCTTTTAATGAACACTAAATTTAACACAAAATTGCTACCCACATGCAGAAAACTCAGAGCAAAATATTCTTTTGGGCTGGTTTACAGTTAAAATGAAGCTTTTTAATGAATCATCTTGGATGTGTTGGAGCTCAGTGGAGAGCAGAACGTTCTCCAACATTTTCAAAGCTCACTGCGTCGTCATCAGCAGCAAAACGGACCTGAGATACAAGCAGAGATTAACTGGATTAAACAGGTACAGATACATAAAATATAACAGTTTTCAAACATTATAGTTCAATGAATGTCGATTTTCTTCTAAGATGTTTCAAGGTAAAAACTAAAAAGGGAAAAAGAAAAAAATCAATACAGTTTACATCATGTTTGTCATGTATAATCTACATATTAAAGGTCTATGAATGTATTGTTCATGATTGTTTCTTACATTAATGTCTTTCTGAGGCTTTTTTCTTCCTGCAGTGGAAAACAGAATAAAGTGATTAAAGTAAGAAGTGTGTAAATCGTCTCCACTGCAGCTGAGTTTCCTCACCTCTGGTTCTGATGATACCAACAGTGACTCCAACCATCAGGATCAGTCCTGTGATCTTCAGAGTCGACATGATGAAGCTCAGAGGAGACGAGGCGGGGGGGCCTGAGGAGGAGACGGAGCAACAACCTCATGTTTGGATCATTTTCATCTGATTTAGGAAGAAAATAGTTTGAACTTGATGGTGGACTGAACATCAATCTGAGTGTCTGTGATTCTGGATCCACATTTAGAACCAAGAAGAACCTGAACCTCCATCATGGAGGAGAAAACTGGAGATCTACATAAAAACTGTGGAGTGAAAAGTCAAAGTGTCCAAAATAAAGATATTAACATAGAAATGCATTGTTTAATAATAAGACAATAAATCAACAAATTTATTGTTGATTTATTGACATTTAACTTCTTCATGAGGCAATGTTATCACTATAGAGACAGATGTGATGATGTCATACCTTCATATTGGTAGTGAGTTTCTATCTTCACTGTTTTTTCTTCAACAAACTGGCAGGTGAATCTTCTGCTGCTCTGAAGATTCACAGTCAGATAAGAAACACAACCAGTCTGACCCCAAAACTTGAACCCATCACCTTCATCAAGCAGCACAGATCCTGACTCGTTCAACCAGAGGAGACTTTTATCTGGACATGAATCCAAAGACTTGGATGTCAACAGAGAACAAGATAATGTGACGTCTTCATTCTTTGTTGGATCAACATCAGGTGGAGATGAAGAGACTGAGAGAAAACAAGACAACATTTCAGTTGAGAAACCAACATAAAGTTTTATTTTTATCGCCATGAATAGCTGCTGTTCTGTTGAAACATTGCAGACTAACATCTTGCAGTAACTGTGAAGCTCAGCCAATGGAAATCTATTCACCACTGCAACATAAATACCATAATAATGAGAGAACTGAACAGATTAGTTATGTCTCTAAAATAAAGACAGATCCAGTTCCAGTTCCGACTGAACTCAGAAAAAAACACATCAGGATCTAAACAGTGTTATGTCAAAACTTTGTTTTAATTCAAGTAATCAGTTTTAGCTATAAAGCATCCTTCATGTTGGAGGCAGCTTGTTGGAAACACATAACAAAGGGTATTTCTGACCTGGGTTTGAACCATCCAGGGTCGCAGTCTGCAGGTGCAAATACCAGAGTTTTGAAGTAACTTAAACTGAAACTGGTGGGATATTCCCTTTTCCTCCCATCTTTGTAAGAGGGATGGTGGATATTAAAAACAATGTACTTTTATCTTTTCTTCACTTCCCTGGTCTAGCCAGAGGAGTCATTGCTATATTCTTTGCTTAATTTCTTAATAAAATAATAATCAAAATCCATTTTGCTTCATTCTTGATTGACTAAGTGTTCCACCTAAGGTAAGACTTATTTATTTCCTTACAACAGTCAGATCCAAACAGAGATTTCAGGGTTAAGAAAGACTGAAATCAGTAGGTAGAGAGTTATTAGTTGAGATTACTCACTGATCAGCAAGTTTAGAGACGTTTCTATTTCAAAGTTTCCTCCATCTTCAGGCTGACATCTGTAACGTCCAGCATCTTCAGCTGCAATGTTGTTGATGATCAGAGAACAGTTTCTGTCCAAACTCAGCCTGGCAGAACGAGATGAACTCTGAACTATTCCTTCATGAACTTCCTGTTTCCTGTCGTTGTTTCTCTCATAACTCCAGTCAACAGAGGAACACGAGTCGGATGATAAACAGGATAGAACAGCTTCATCTCCAGGTTTGTGGTAGAGAGAGATTTGTTGTACGATAGGTCCTGAGAAAGAGAGAAATGTTTTGCTCTACATTTAGCTATTAATTATATAATAATAATAATAATAATAATAATGTCTGTGTGTTGTTCTACCTATTAACCTGATCACTATAGGCCCTGTTTAAAAAAAAGCAAAAAAGTTAACATTTTACAATCTTTAATGAAGGAATTTATCAACATTTAACAACTGAAACCACAGATTTTTCTCTTCAAACTGCACAAAAAAAAATAAAAAAAATAAATTTAGAGTTTGACTATTTTGTGTCCTATTACACCCCTTCCCATAATATTGTTTGTCAAGTTTGACAAAGGAATAAAAAAAAATTATAATAAATAGAAAAATAATTACAACGCAAAACAAAATTGTATAAATTCTCACTGATATTTTTGCTGATTGAATCAAAAGTAAGTAAAGGAAAAGACCCAAATCTGAAAATATCTTCAACATGTTTTCACACATGTTCATATTAATATGAACATAAATCTCACTTAGTACTTTATGTAAAACATTGGCTTTAATTCTGCAGTGATAAATTTGTCCTCTTTCTTTCATAAAGTTGTTTTAGTGATTTAAACTACAGCAGATAATAAAAAAGTTTTCAATCTGATTTATCAAAAATAAAAAAATGATAAATTAAACAGTTTTGTGTCAGGTGGAAAACTGGTTCAGACTTTTACACAGATCATTTTTAAAAAATTACAAGAACTGTAGTGATTCCTAATACCTACTGTTTATATAATTTCCTCAGTAAATAAAAAGTGTCACACCTTTCATTGTGAAGCGATCTTCAACTCTCACTCTGTTTCCTTCAACAAACTGGCAGGTGTAGTTTCTGTGGGAGTCGCTCTGATCCTTCACAGTTAGAGAGGAAACACACATTCTTGGTCCTCTTAACTCGAACCAAACGTCTTCAGTCGGTTCAGTTCCTGTTTCATCCAACCAGCGGAAACTGTTCTCTGGACAAAGATCCAACCCACTGTATCTGTGTAGGGAACACTCTAATGTGACCTCATCCCGTGAAGCTGAAAGAAAAGTAAAAACAGTTGTCTCAGTCTGAAAGATGTTAAAGTAACTTTTTCTAAAGTAAAAACTTTAAAGGGTTAAGTGTCTCAGGCTTCAGACAGAAGAATATGAAATAAATAACAATGTAACTCTTTTAAATTTGGTCTTCATGTTACATGATGGTTGATCTGCATTTTAACGGAGACCTGAGCAGGTTTTCATCAGCATGATGGAAAAAAACAAGACGTCTAGAAAGTAAAGGATTCAGTAGTTTGAGCAAATGTTGATTCACCAAAAGAGATAAACTGATTAAATCTAAACATCCGAGCACAACGATCAGTCTGATGAGCGGACTTCCTGATGAAAGCTGGAGCTCAAACAGGAAGTAGCAGAGACCCAACAGAGGGACGCGGCAGACACTTTTTAAAACTGCATTTATAGGTAAACAAACGTTTAATAAATAAATAACCGTCTTCTATATATTTTACTGCAAAGTAAAGCCAGGCGTGTGGGCTGATGGGTAATGTTGGCCTGAAGCTAAATAAATGATTGTTTCTCTCTGACTGAACAACATGAGACCTTCTGACCTCATCAGGTCACTGAGAGGTTCCCTCAGGCTAAAGTCCAAAGAAGTTCAAGGTTTCAGAGAAAAAGGAATCAGAACTGATGATGTCAGAAACATCTGTCCAACATTTCACCAGAAGGAAAGAGTCTGAGTGTTAAATCATTCAGTTCTACATACTCACTGGTTAAAACACTGAGATGCACTAAACCATCTGAGGAGGGATCAGAACCGGGTCTGCAGGTGTAGAGTCCAGCATGCAAAGGAAAGACGTTGTCGATGGTCAGAGAGCAGCTGCTGCTCACATTAAACTCATCATAAAATGAACTCTGAATAACTCTTCCTTTGAAAACCTTCTGCTGAGTTTTTGTATTTTTACCCCTGTTGTAAAACCAGGTAACATCAGAGCAAGAGGAAAATGATGAAGGACTGTTACAGGGTAGAACAACATTTTCTCCTTCTCTGTGATAGAGATGAAGTTCCTCTCCTCTGGTTCCTTCAGCAGAAATAAAGACACATTCAAGTTTTATACACTTCATCTGTCACAAAATCTGTGAAGGCTTTTTAAATCTATGTTGCACAATGTCAGATTTATTGCTATAACATCATCCGTTTCCTGACACCCTGGTCCCTACTGGGTCGGGAGGAGCTGGTTTATCTCCAGCAAACGTTTCGGGCCAGAGGCCGGGTCACCCTGGCCTCTGGCCCGGGTCACCCTGGAAGGTCGCCAGTCTGTCACAGGGCAATTCCTAAAACAATCTTTTTTATTTTCAATCTTTTAAAAATCTAAAATATTTTTATAGCAAAAGCAATTAACATCAGATTACAAGTTTGAGTTGACAAAAGAAAAATGTTAAATCCAATTTTTTTTTTAACATATTTTAATATACTTGGTAAAAACTTGCTTAACTAATAGACAATCATAACTAACTTCTAAATATTTATTCTCATATTTCCATAAAATACGACAGTAAGCCAAAGGAAACGGATCCTTACCTTCAAACTGAAGCACAACGATCAGAACCAGAACCAACATCTTGTCTGTCAATCAGCTGCTGAAAACTGAGACTTTTCTCTGATGCTGATCTGAAAATACTGATCATATTTCCTCTTTGCAATGCATTTTGCTCCTATCACTTTCTAGTGACAGAAAACCACAGAAAGAAGCAGTTACATAACTTCTGTTAGAAATGAACAGATAAGTACATTTAGCTCACTTTGTAACACTGAGATGTTTTAGATGAAGAATCTAAATGACAATAAGATTTAATTTCTTCTTTTATAAATGCATATATTCTGTACAGTTTGTTCTAATTTCCATTTCCTGAGCAGTCAGATAACCTGCCATGCACACAAACGGCCTGCAGTTCGTCCACTGACACCCAGCAGCTCTGAGACTCTGCAGACAGCAGATAAACCGAGTCAGAACAGAATCCAAACAGGTCCAACTGGGTCCTTACAGCAGAAAATAAAAAAACTTTAGAATAAAAAGGTTTACTACAGCTTTAACCACTTCTACTACAAATCCCAGAATGCTCTGGTGCCAAGTTAGTCGTCTGTCAGAACCTAGCAGCCCCGTCTACTGCTGGCAGTTACTATTGACCTGATGCAACAACCAGTCAGACCAGTAGAAATGCCAGCTGTTTGGACCAGAGTGCATCAGAATAGATCAGAGAATCGGATCAGAGATCAGAGCTTCAATTATTGCCTCCTTTATGAACGTTCTTTAAGTCCAGCAGGAAATGGACTTGACTTGGTTATGATCATTGTTAGAAGCAAAATAGTTTTGATTTAGTTTAAAAAATTAATTCCAGACAGTTTTGGTCATGTGATGGTGTTCTTAAAAGAATTATTTTGTAGTTTATGTGAGAACAAATATGCATTAAACTGTGATATTAGATTTCTCTGCCTCTGATTGGCTGTTCAGCATCGTTATGGTGCGATTGAGACAATGATACAAGAATTTGTGCAAGTAAAAAATAAAACATGCAAACAGTATTTTAAAAAATCCCTTTATGTCTGCTTCAGCACATCTCAAACGAAATAATTAGATTATTAATCGGAATGTTTAGCTTCTCTTTGCTCTGGAGGTAATTCACTCAATTATTATTGTTTTTCCCAAAGTATTTAGGGTTTTGTTCAAGTAACTTGTACAAACCAGTTTGGTTAAAGACAGAAAATGAAGGATTTTCTTCTTGATTCAGAAGTCGAATCTTTTATTGCAAATCTCAGAATATCTACAGAAACAAAGAAGTAAAAAATAATTTAACTTTAACCTTCTTGCAAATGACTGGAGCATTTTCGGTTCTGCTGATCCGATCAGGATATCTGGTTTCTTCTCTTTCATCTCAAGCAGTTGAAAGGGAAACAGCAGCAACACAATCAAAGGAACATTTTAACAAACATTTCTATCAAAACTTATCCTTCATGTTTTTCCATTATGAAAAATAAAACCCGACACAGATGTCTCCATGTTAATAGGAGAAAATATTTATTCCAGCCTTCATTATCATTAAGTTGCATTCAAAGTAGGTGAGACGTCACACTGTGTGAGAGAAAACAGTTAATGTAAAACAGGATTTTTGACTGAATGATTAAGGATTTTAACATTTTAAACAGATTTTATCATCCTAATCCTAAAACTAACCACTCAGACTAAATGTGTGTGATCACTAAGACCTCTAATATTTGTAAATCAAGCATGTACCACAACAGAAAGTTCAAAATAATAAAAAAGATCAAGTTTTTTGCAACATGTTCATCCTTCCAGTTATCTGATGAAAGTCTTGCTCTCTCTCGCCATCTCGCAGCCTGAATGATGTCTTAGTTTCAATTTAAACGGCTCGAAGACACAAAAGAGCGCTTCCCGTTAATGCTTCAAGTGCTGCATTCACAGTACAGAAAAGTACAGGATTTTTGGGTTTCTGACCAGCTGTTCATCTCTCCTGCGTCTCATTGTGGATAAAAACAACAGAAACGTTAATTTCCAAGAAAAAAAAAAGGCAGTTTGAGATCTTCAGTCCATCCACCAGTTAACGTTTACGTTTAACGTTTACGTCCCAGTTTAACAAAAACAGTTTTTACCAAAGTCTAAATTGTTGAACTGACACGTTGATGTGGCTGAGACGATCCAAAAAGAAAGCCAGCAGCTTTTGGTTTGGCCAGTAGGGGGCGCTGTGGTCCCCGCTGTGGTTTTTATTCTACAAAAAACAGAATAAACCGATGAAATAAACCAATATTTCTGCTTGTAAATACAAATCTCTCCATAAAGAGATAATTTCTCCCTTTACCTGCTGACAAAATCTTCATCCTCTTCCTAGATCTTCATCTTCTTGTTCACCACTAGTGGCAGGTGAATAAAAGGCAAACATTTCATCAGTTTTCCTTTTGAGCTTCAGGATTTAAAGAACGTCAGACAGAAGAATAACAGAGAAATCAAACAATTTAAAGCAAATGGCTTCAGTCAGTAGCTGAGTATGTATCAGTGTAATAAAAACATCTCATTAAATCAATGTAACATTGAAAAATTCATTTATTTCACTCATTTTATTATAAAACACACTTGAAGTATTTCTTTGTTCGTTTGGTGGAGTTTTTTTTTGCTTACAAAATTATTGAATGATTTCAATGAGAAAAGAGCTTTGAAAACCAGAAATGTTAAGTTTTGGCAAAATTAAGGGCTACTTCATGAGGAACACTGGTTACCTGCATGCTGATCCAGAAATACGCATGGAAAGTTAAGTGGAAGGAAAAACTGCTTAGCAATAGAAAAAAAAATGCAACAGCAGGAATAACCAGACTAGAGAATTGCGAGGTAAAGCCATTCGAGTCTTTTGGCCAGATTCAAAAAGCGGAAACTAAAGATGGAATCTGAGCATCAAAAATGAAAACATGCCGATGTCTCTGAGCACAAATGTCCCAAACCACTGCTGAACCAGAGACAACATCACAATCACCTTACCTGAATACCAAGAAAAAATCATCTGGGTTGTTTTGACAGCCTGCAGCTCAATCCAAAAATACTGATGGAAAATTTCATGGAAAGGAAAAATGTGCAGGAAAACGCAGCATTTTTAAGGTAATTTTCCAGCAAAAAGTACCAATAAGTGACTCGATCACTGTTTTAGTGCCTATAGTCAATAAACTTAGAATGCTTAATTAAATTACTGAAATAAATGTACTTTTCAATGGTATTCCACTTTATTTAGATGTGTTTGTATGTGGAGGAATAAAAGTACTTTGGAAAATAATTTAGCAGAAATGACGAGTTTATTTCTGCTTCATTTATGAATGAATAAACTTCATTCATAAATGAAACTTCATTAATGAATGAATTTTACTTTTCATTTATCAATGAAGAGACACAGATGAGATGATCGTGAAGGAATATTTAAAATCCACCAAAATATTAGAAATATTCCAGATTATTCTGTTCCAGGTACCTTCATCAATCGTACACGCCCTGACGCGACTCTCCAGCGCCGAGAAGGTCACACTGCTGTTTGTGAGTTCAGAGGTCACAGTTCCCATGTCACAGGTCAGTGCCACGATGGGACCGTTTTCCGACTTCAGCTGCATCCGAATCCCATCCTGAAGCGGAAAACAATCAGCTTTAATCGAGTTTCATCATTTCTTATCGGATAAAGAATGAATCCACCTCTCTGGCATCGGCTGCTCTCCCCTGGGATCTGCTCACCTCGTCAGGAGGAGGAATGATCAGCTTCGTTTCTGGAGGAGATCTGATGACCATCACCGTCTGATGCTGCAGGTCTCCAAGGCGACAGATGTCATCGCAGCGGACGTAGGCCAGCGTGAAGAAACGTTAAAGATCAAACTGCTGCTTCCTTATCGCGACATAATCACCAAACCAGCTTCGTATCTGTAAGATATTTAGACGCAGAAGCTCCTCAGAAGGATATGAAGAGTTCTCCTCATCCTCAGTGAGGTCGAAGAGCTGCTGAGCGCAGGATTTAAAGAGACGGTCCACTTCCTCCTCCATGACCTTCAGCCCCTGCAGCATCGTCAGGAAGGTCAAAGTGTCTCTCCACAGGAAGCTGAAGATGGGGCTACTTCCTCTGGACAGAGAAAGAGAGAGAGGGAAAGAGAGGGAGAGATCCTGGTTCAAGGATTTCAGATTGGACATGGAAACAACAAGGAGCTTGGAGAAAACAGGTTTAAAAAATAGTTTGATTCAATATTTAAATGAAAATTTGGTGTGAATTTACTGCAGATGTTTCTACTGACATCAGGAAGGATGGAAGGAAGGGTTAAAGGAGGCAAGGATGGATGTACCGAAGGAAGGATGAAAGGATGGATGGGAGATAAAGAAGGAAGCAAAGATGGAGGGGCAAAGGAAAGAAGGAAGAATGAAAAAATGATGGAAGGAAGCAAAACTGGATGGAAACGAGCAAGGAGGGAAGGATAGAAGGAAACAAAGAAGGAAAAGTTAAAGAATTAAATCAAAGATGAAAAGACAAAGAAGGATGGATAGAAGGACAGACAGACAGAGACATAGAAGGATGGACAGACAGAATCAGAACCAGATGGGCCATTTCCAGTCTGTTGATCTCATTCCTGAATCTTTTATAAAGAGACTCTGAACTGAACCGATTCCAGCCACTTACATCCACCGGACCCGCTCATCCGAGTCGCTCTGGACGAGTCCGACACCCTGCAGGACGTCCACGACGCTCCGGACTCGGTGCGTGTGGGTCTGGAGCTTCTCCGCCGCCTCCCTGATGCCCAGCGAGGCGTCTGGGTCGACCATGAGCAGCTGGAGGAAACCCCGCGTGAGCCGGGTCAGAGGAGTACCTGGAGACAGAACCGCTGTGACGTTACCGAGCCAACTGAGCCAGGCTGGTTTAACACTTTATCAATAGGATGATTCACACAAAATAATTGACTTGAGTCAGGTTATCTTGGTCTGATATTAAAATATTAGCCATGCATCGACATGAAACCTTGGGGCAACTTTCAATATTTATATTAAAATGTTGATTTCCAATATTCATCAGTATTTCCAAAACTTTGCACAGTTTAAAATGTCGACCCGGTTTCATTTATCGGACCGGTACCGATGTTAATGCTGATGAATCAGGCATCACCTGAAAACAGGTTGATGAGCTGAAACAAGGAGAAATGAAGGATGGATGGAAGAGAGCAGGGAAGGAAGCATGGATTAACAGATGAAAAAATGAAAAAGAAGCAGAGAAACGTGAAAGGATGGAAAGTAATGAAAGATGAAAGGAAGAATGGAAGGATGATTACAGGAAGGAATGAAGGATGGATGAAGGAAAATGTGAAAGGATGAAAGGAAGGACAAAAGAAAGGAAGCAGATGTTAACACTGATATATTGTGACTTTCTATAAACATTAAATAGTTTGAAAAACAGCAAAAAAAGGAAGAAGAAATCAATAATGGAGGAAAAGAATCCAGGATTTGCTTTGCAAATTTTCCAGCCATCAAAATAAATAAATATATTTATCCCATAGTTATTAGTTAGAAAAACATTTAGCTCATAATTATTAGGAAATAAACATTTATTTCATAATTAATAGAAAGTAATTTGTTGTGACTCACCTTCTCTGATGAACCAGTCTGTTGTTTCATCCCGAGGACAGAATTCACTGAAGAAGTGGAAACAAATATTATTTAGATTTCCCTGTAATTTGGTAAACTGGACACGGTTTCTCAGACGTGTGGTACCTCTTCACATCAGGTTCTGACGGATTCTGAGCAGGTCTGTTTGGGTTCTGGAGATCAGAAACCCGATTTTATTAGTTTTATCTCACATTAAAGATTCGATGAAAGAGCTAGAAACTGACTCCAGACCTGATCTGCTGCTTCATCTTCGTCCTCCTCCTCTTCATCACCCCAGCCGCCGGTCGCCCACTGGTCCTCTTCCAGTAACGGATCGGCGCCGGTCGGGAACTGCGGCCCGTCCAGATAAGGAGGCATGATGGGAATGGCGTCGCTCCGAACGTCGTTTCCTGAAATATCCTCCGGCAGGAAGTGATCCTCACAGATGAAATGCTGCTCAGACGGATCCTTATCGGTTTCCCTCAACGCCGCCAGCCATACCTAGGAGACAAGGAGGCAAGGAGGGAGGTGAGGAGACAAAACATATTAGAAGAATGAATGACGGACAAATGAAAAGACAAGGAAATATGATAAAATACAAAGAAAGATGAGGAAAGAGGGAAGGAAAGAATAAAGATGAAAGGAGAAAAAGGAAGGGAACAAAGTAGGACAGAAAGAAGAATCCAAGGTAACAAATGGAAAAAAAGAAAAAAAATGGGAGAAATAAATGAAATACGGAAGAAGATATAAGGAAATAGGAAATGACAAGGAGGAGGAAAGGATGCAACAATAATTAGATGAAGGAGAGATTGAGGGGCTCAATGTAGGACAGGACGAAAAACAGGAAAAGAAAGGAATAAAAGGACAGATAAGAAGACAAAACACAAAAAGAAAGAATGGGAACGAAAAGAAGGACAGATGGAAGGACACAACAATAAAGACACTAACACAATAAGGCCAAAATGGAGGAAGGACAGAAGGAAACATGTTAGGACGAAGAAATGAAGAAGTTGAAGAAAGAAGGAAACATTTCAGACATTGGGATAGGGAATAAATACACACTTTCCTCACTTCCTATCGTGTCATTAAACTTGTGAAATGCCAGGAAATATACTGAGCCAAACAGGGAGAACAACAGCTGCTTCAGGGCTCGGGCTACTTCCCGGAGCCTCCGCAGTACCTTGACTCGGTCCGGAGATGTGGGGAACCTGAAGAACCGTTTCGGTCCTCGCTTCAACGCGCCCCGGTTCACGGTCCCCATGCGGCTCGCACAGCCGGACACGACGCACTTCCACATGACGTTGAACACCGGCTGGTTCTCCTTCCGAATCCAGCGAGAAGCGGCGGCAGGGATCATGTTTCGGCAGGAAAACCGGGGAACTTCAGGGAAAACGCGTCCACATTCCCGCCGCATGAAGTTTGTTTACGTCGCGCGCCTCAGGAAATTATCAGGGCTTTGATCCGGAAGTACAAGTTCTTTTTTTTGTTTTTTTTAATGGCGGTTGGCTGGACAACTGTGATGGTGCATTACCGCCACCTACTGGGCTGGAGTATGAACATTATATAAACAACAAAAAACACCTCATGCTGAGAACTTAGATTAATATACTAAATTCTCACTATTAAGTTTGTATTTTCCTAAAATCACTTACTTTCACTTTCTTATTATTGGGATGGAGAAAGGGAAATAAATAAAATAAATAAATGAATGAATGAAATACTTGCGTGCATGAATATGAGTTTCTAGATATTATACCCATTTGATTGCACTGAGAAAGTAGTCAATCAGGGGATACCAAAGGTTTTTCAGTTTTGACACTTAATTGCACCGAGACTCTGCTTTGGAATAATTCAAAAATATTTTCCAGTACCATTGAGTTACATTAGCTCAAACATAATTTCAACTTTACAGAATACATCTGTGACTTTAAAATAATAGTTCAAAAGTCAGCTTTTATTCTTTTATCTGAGGAAGGCAACCCCAATAGACACTTCTCTTAATTTGACCTACTACTTCTCTGGCATCAATATCAAATAATGTTATCACTTGTAAATGTAATGTTAATTGTTTTCCCTTCTTTTGGGAACTGCCTTCTTTCTGATTCATAAGAAGTACAACTTCAAAAAGTTTTTACATCCACAGTTTCTTGTCATACAGTTTCTAAACTTTATAATTATTTTTAGTTTTTTTTTTGCTACACTTATGTGTTTCAGAACAAATACATTTTGATATCAAATAAAAATAAAATTAGCAAATACAAAAAGATGTTTTGAAACAATTATTACAATTAAGGGGGAAAAAATAACCAAACAGACCTGCTGCTATCACTAGGTGGTGCTAATTGAAATGCCAGGCAGCAAATGCCCTCCAACATATCATTTCCTGTTCTTCTGTTAGTGAAGTATCGGTGTTCGTTTTGTATTTCTTATCTATCTTTTTTTTTGAGGACCAAACTCCAAATCCAATGTACTTTCCTGTGTGTAGTGCATCATTGTGGCACATCGTGTTAAAATTTCCGATCTATGCATCTATGCATTCTACATGGAAAACCCATGTAGAGTCAAGGCTTCATCAGTGACTCCAGTTCTTCCTAAAGATAAATCAGATCTGTCGTATTGTTCAATGTTATAATTACTGTCTGGCTCAAGAGACGGTGTTCTGTTTTAAAATCTCTTCAGAATAAATCAAAATATATTAAAGGCTTGATCAGCTAAAATCATTCAAAAACTAATTCAGTTCCTCCTGTTGTGATCCAGACTGTCCGCCAGGTGGCAGCATTATGCCTAAACCAAACTCCGTCAGTTTTCAGCAGTAAACATCTCCATCATCACTTGTTCTGTTTTCCCAACTGATCCGGCTCCTTTGTTTCCGAGGTGTTGGCATGTTGATGGAGGGGATTTGCAATTTTCACTGATGATGACAGAAGTTTCCCTGTGAATGAATCAGATCCTTCATTAAACCGTCTTCCTTAGCGTGGATCCAAACATCCACCTCATTGCTGGAAATCACACATCTGAAAGCTCATTCACCATCTATCAACACAATTATACAAGATGAATCCAGCAGCCATTTTGTTCAAAGGGATTATTACAACTGAGCACATTCTACTTTAAGACTTGATGACAGTTATTTTCTTACATCTTAACTACTTCAGGAACATCATGCCAGAAAGAAAAGCCTGAATGTAGATGGCACGCATCAAATTTCTGTAACTATTCACATTTTAAGTCAGGATGCAGATATGTCTGCTTTGAGCCAGTTAAAATGGGAGGAAACTTGTTGTAGACGTGTCTAAGAATTTGACAAATTTAAAAGAATCGCTGAAATGTTTTTAGTTGCTCTGGCAGAGATTGTTTTTTACTTCATAATGCTGGCAACCTGGCATGTAAAATTGGACCTGGATCCAACTACTGGTTGTGTGAAACCAATGCCCCTCTTTGACTAGCGCCTGCTTGACTACATGTGGTTCAGAGGCTTTTCCTCTGGTAACAGTTATGTGGCACCAGGCTCGTTTTAGGACTTACTGCTCTGGATTTCCAAGCATGCTGAGTCAGGCAGAAAACTCCAGGTCAAAAGGTTGCCAGATGATGTTTGGACAGGGAGTGAGGTGATTGATTGCATGAAAAGAGAAACTCTTTTCATCAGTCATTTATAATAATCCACTACAGCAACTGAGCGTATTTGGAGTTCTCAGGAAAACGGTAGACTGAACAGAAAGCTTAACAAAACTTCCAGGTGTTTGTGTTTCATATAAATCATGCTGCACTTTTTGTACCACTATAACTGGGACTCAGTTATCATGGAAAACCCATGTAGAGTCAAGCTGCATTGCAAAGGGCAAGTAGATAACGACCATTCTGAGTTTCTGAGGTTTCTCAGCCTGTACCATCAGTTTCAGTTTCTTTTGTATGTGTTGTTGTGTATCATGTCTTTATTCTTTTCTTTATGTCCATTTGGACCGTGAGTGTTGAAATCAAGCAGTCCTGGTGAGCACCAACATGCTCACCAGGTTGAAACGCTCCCAGTTGCTCCAGGACCAGCAGCGAGGATCCACAAACGTACATATTCTTTCTTCTTTTTTTCCTGAACACACTGAGCCTGGAGGTTCCCGGTGTCTCTGGGAACCTCCAGAATTAATGCTAGCTAACTTTGTAGCACACCAGCTGTTCAGGACTGAATTAGGACAAAACATGTTTTAACATGTTTTCTGAAGTTCTTCTGCCCCCTTCTGGTCAAACATCCTGAACTACGTCCCAAAAATGGCTTTGAATTTCTCCCATGTATCATTTTCAGAGAAAACAAAAGGATTTGAACATATTTCTACAGACTGTTTTGGTTCTTTAAGTGACAACGTTTCACCACGATGAAGAGATGGAGAGGATTTTATGGTTAGACATGAAATAAATACTTTATTTTACACTCTACCATCTGTGTGCATTATTCTTCACGGATGCTTTAACATGTCAGAGGAAGAAGCAAAGGTGCAGATATAAACACAGAGAAGCAGCAAAGAGCTTTTGCTGCTGCTTTGATGCATGCATTCATGGAAAAAATACACAAAACGTTATGCAAAGCAGCAAAAACATTTCTTTACAGACAGATATATTATTATCACTATTATTATTCATATTCACACAGTGAGTCTGCAACTCTGACAGCAGGTGAAATCCTCACAGTCCCAATTATCGTACAATTAGTCTTTGAGCAAATGGAGTTTTTCTCTAATTTATAATCCCTTGTCAGGATGAAGCTGAAATATGAGCAGCTTTTCTAAATGTTATCATGGAGATTCAGAGCATGAAGGACCTTCATTCACATCTTACAGAGTCAAACACTGAAAACCACGTCTGAGAGCAAAATTGTTTTCAGAAGAGTTGCTGGTAACAAAAACTCGTCTGAAATTGAGAAGAAGCCAAAATACAAAGAAAAGCTTCAAAAACTGCAAAACGTAAAAAGAAAAACTGAATTCCACTTGTTTCCACACTGTATTTTTCACTTTTGACCCTAAAAGATGTTTTTTATCCTGTTGCTGATAGTGGTATGTTGGAGTAAGAGAAACAAAAGTCAGACAAACAAATAAAAATCTGTATTCAGAGCCATTTTTCGGTAAAAAATTGAACTGCACACAATGTCCTGGATCATAAGCCAAATAACCTCTTAGAGATTTATTTTCAACATCTGCAACACCAACCGAGAAGCTGGTTGTTCACAGAGCGTTGTATCCGAGCACATTCACAGAAAGTTTAGTGGAAGGAAAAATTCAGATGGAAAAAGGTGCAAACACTACAGGGATAATTATATATAAGGTGAAATTTTACTTGTTCACACTTATCTTGTGTCACTGAGGACAAATTTTTCATTTGTCTGATTCTGTCCCTTTTACTGCACCAAACACACTGCATGCAGTAAGACTGAAAAGTGTCTCTGCCCTTCAAACATTCTTACATTTTGTGACATAACAACCGCAAACCAAAATGAATTTTATCAACATCGTGCATAACTGTGAAGTGGAAGAAAAATTATTTAAGAATAAAAATCTAGAAAGTGTGGCATGGATGAAATCATTCTCCTAAAACTGAACAAATCATCCCAGAAAAAAAGCTTGAGTTAAACAAGATTGAATAGATGTTAAAGTTTTGTCACAAATTTTCAATTGTACTTTGACTAGACCATTCTAACTCAGCAGGTATAGTGGCTAACTGGAGCTCTACTTGGACTTGTACGTTTGCTGGTTTTTCATAAACTCCAGAAGAGATTTTTACAGTTTTATTTCAACATTTTCCTTCTCTTTTCCAGATCTGTTGTGTGCAGCTAACCTTTGCACTGAAACTTCAGAACCTGAGCGGTGGTTCTCTACAGCTCCTCCAGAGACACCGGGAACCTCCAGGCTCAGTGTGTTCAGGTGAACGGCCCCGTCACACAAAATAACCAAAACATATCATGAAGTTTATGGTTGTAATGTGACAAAACATAAAGAGTTGTGGACTTTTTCCGGTGGAAACTCCCCGGACGCTCAGGTTTGAGGTTTCCACGGTTCGGCTATTTCTAACAGTTAAAAACCGGATCGGCGTCAACACAAAGGTCACATATCCATACATTTTGTGAGCCAAAGCCTGTCAGTGTTCAAAGCTCCAGTTCAAACATCATCATCATCATCACATTAACAAAAATCGTCTCTGTACACGACCGGACCGCTGTCACGTACTAAAGGGTCCAATATGAGTTGCTTTGGATACTTGAAGGACTTCGGTTCTGAAGAGCTGGTGTTAGCGGTGAAGCGCCTCCGTCTCAGGTCTGGTGCTTGAGAGCGTGCCGGTTTCTTTTTTCCCACAATGCAGTTCTGTAGCTCTTCATCTTCTCAGGCTTCCTCTTCACAACAGCGTTTTCCTCCCTGCAGGCAAAAACAAGAACTTCATGTTCATGAAACATGTTTTCATGTCCATTTAAATGTAAGTTTGTTGTGAAGCCAATGCATTTGAACAATTCTCTTCTTGGTGTTTTCACAGATTAAATAAAACATTTTTTTATGAAGAAACTATTCATGACTTTGATGACTGAACTCGACAAAATGTAACATTTGCTGCCAGTTTCTCAACTGGTGACTGAATGTTGTTTCGTGACTTTATTTTTGTTTTTTGATGTAAAGCAGTTTGAACTGCCTTGTTGCTGAAATATGGTGCACAAATAAACTGGACTGATTGATCCAGTGCATTGAACATTTTAGGAATGAAGACGTTTTAAAATTACTTGGAAAAAAATGAAACGAGTTTTAATGTGACTGTTTTTTAGTGAAAGGCAGATATAAATGGGAGTGAACCATATTGGCAATAATATTTACAACAAAGCAAGGAACCAAATTTGAAAATATATAATATAATATTGATTGCATCTGTGTCCATTTGTGCTTGTTTGGTTGTTTGTTTGCAGAGTTGCAGGAGGGAGAGGTTGAGATGGAGCTTATGGTCTCTGTTTCCATGTGCAGTCCATGTGTGTGTGTGTTATGTGTGTGTCCATGTGTGTGTGTGTGTGTGTGTGTGTGTGTGTGTGTGTGGGTGTGTGTGTCTCTTTGTCTGTGTGTGTGTGTGTGTGTGTGTTATGTGTGTGTCCATGTGTGTGTGTGTGTGTGTGGGGTGGGTGTGTGTGTCTCTGTGTCTCTGTGTGTGTGTGTCTGTGTCTCTGTGTGTGTGTGTGTGTGTGTTGTGTGTGTGTGTCTCTGTGTGTGTGTGTCTCTGTGTGTGTGTGTGTGTGTGTGTGTCTCTGTGTGTGTGTGTGTGTTGTGTGTGTGTCTCTCTGTGTGTGTGTGTGTCTCTGTGTGTGTGTGTGTCTCTCTGTGTGTGTGTGTGTCTCTGTGTGTCTGTGTGTGTGTGTGTCTCTGTGTGTGTGTGTGTGTCTCTGTGTGTCTGTGTGTGTGTGTTATGTGTGTGTCTCTGTGTGTGTGTGTGTCTCTGTGTGTGTGTGTGTCTCTGTGTGTGTGTGTGTGTGTCTGTGTGTGTGTGTGTGTGTGTCTCTGTGTGTGTGTGTGTGTGTGTGTGTGTCTCTGTGTGTCTGTGTGTGTGTGTCTGTGTGTGTGTGTGTGTGTGTGTGTGTCTGTGTGTGTGTCTCTGTGTGTGTGTGTGTCTCTGTGTGTGTGTGTGTGTGTGTGTGTTGTCTGTGTGTGTGTGTCTCTGTGTGTGTGTGTGTCTCTGTTGTGTGTGTGTCTGTGTGTGTGTGTGTTATGTGTGTGTGTTGTGTGTGTGTCTCTGTGTGTGTGTGTGTGTGTCTCTGTGTGTGTGTGTGTCTCTGTGTGTGTGTGTGTGTGTGTCTCTGTGTGTGTGTGTGTCTCTGTGTGTGTGTGTGTGTGTGTCTCTGTGTGTGTGTGTGTCTCTGTGTGTGTGTGTGTCTCTCTGTGTGTGTGTGTGTGTGTGTGTGTGTGTGTGTGTGTGTTCACTCACAGTGTTTGCTTGTGCTCAGAGCAGAAGCTGAAACACTCGGTGTCCTGGGAGTCGGTGCAGAAGCAGCGCTGCAGCTCCCTCCGGAGACGCACCGACCCGAATCCGTACGGCACCACTTGGCTGGAAGACAAAAGATTCAGCCGTTTATTTGAAAATACCGAAATAGTTCTGATAAAATGGCTTCAGTTAAATATTTAGTTTGCTAAGTAAATATTTATTTTACAGTTAAGTATTTAGTTTGAAACCAAATATTTAAGATGTATTTTCTTTGGAATATATTCGATGTGCATCTCATCAAAGGTTAATTTTAGAAAATGTTTATATTTTGATGGATGTTTGGATTCAAATTTTAAAAATATGCATGAATTTACATTTGTACTTCACAGCAGTGTTGGGAATCATTCAGTCTCTTCCTAAAGCCTCCATTTTTGAATTTCAGAGCCTGATAAAGTTTCACATTCAACCTCTGAGTTGGTTTTTGTTCCAACTTCACAGGAAGTTTCTACAGTCAGATTTATGAAAGGAGATATTCAACGAGTCTTTAATAGTCTGACTTTTATGCACCATAAGGCTTTATTTCTGTAATTTGCATATTTGTGTCATTGTTTCTGCAGAGCAAAGGGCTTCAGTTAATTCATGACAACCTGAACTCAAAATAAACTCCAGCTCACGATTACAAACTGGAAGGTTTGGAAAGGATTTCCCAGAAATCCATCAAAAAGCTGCAATTATCCTTCTGTGAGCCAAAGTTTAATACAAACCACAAACATGGCTCCTGTGATCTGTTCTGAGCGGGTTTCTGGAGCCGGTAGCTGGATGTGGATGGTGCCGCAGTGGCTGCAGGTTGAAGCCGGACCATCAGCTGCATTAATGCGGCCGCAGCAGGAACCGACTGCAGCTCAACGCTTCAGGTTTAAATAAAGGTGTAACAGCAAATTAAAGCAGAATTGCTTCCAAATGGAGCATTTTTGAACCAAATTTAGACGTGTAAGAGCTGAACGTCTCTGTTATCGGCATCACATCTGGATCTCATTTCCCCCCCACAGCTGGAGATAACACACAGCCCTTTAGCTCCTTCTCCTCGGTCCCCTCATTTCTACAATATCATTTATTTTCCTCTCAGCAGCTTGTTGACCTCCCTGCTGTTGCCTCCACCTTCCATCCTCTCCTGAGAGTCAGCGGACTCCTTTCTTGGGTTGCAGGGAGGAATAAATCTGGGTGACCTGAACTGCTGAACTGCAGCTCGGTGAGTAACGGCTGCAGAGGGGCAGACGCTCCCTGATTCTTCCCAGTTATTGTTGCCAGAAAACATCAAACAGCCCAGGAGTCGGTGCCAACATTTCCTCCGCCTTCACATGGATGAGTGGCAGCAGCTGGACGGCTGCCTGATGTGACCTTCGCAGCCTTCAGGCTTTAAGAGAACCGGACCTGTAGCTGCTGTTGCTGGAGCCTTAGTTATTTTATGACCACAGATGCAGCCATGCGTTTACATTCATTCATAACGGGCCGTCATTTTCTGCAGACGTTTGATAGAAAGCTGGCTGCTCACGTTTGAATCTGTTATGGATTTACATCTTTTTATTCAGGCTTGAATCAATTATTTGCCCCCTTCCAGATGTCTTTCTGTTTTCCTTTGTTTGCCCCACTTCACTGTTTCAGATCAACAAGTGATAATGAGGTAACAAATTATGAAATTATGGATTAAGATTAGGATTAGCAACAATTTATTCGCCCCTAACTTAAAGTTTTCCAGCATAATAAAAACTATTTCAGGTTATATTAAAGCATCTCATTCAGATTGAAGTACATACTTTGACTAGGCCACTCCAGAACTTTATTTAGTTGTTTTCCTGGATCATTAAGATGTGGATCTGATTCTCCTTCAAGCAGAACATCATTCCCAAATCATGATACCTCCTCTACCGTGTGTGACAGCAGTTCTGATGTTCTTTTTGGGGACGATCATCACGATTTTCTGAGTGATGCAGATATTTGGGCTCTTTTGGGTTAACAATGGTTGGTTTTGAAAACTTTTTCTTAAAAAAAAATAGAATAATTTGGAAGATGCATGTTTTGTTCACTCTACTTTTCTGCTGGTGGCACAAAAACTTGAAATATTTAACTGCCTGCATGAAGATGTTCCCCTCTTTCTAAATCAGAAGAAATCTTCACTGGGTTCCAACATTTGTCTGTATTTCAACAGGCAAATGTTCAGGGTTGTAAACTTTTTCCCTCCTGGAAAAGAAATAAGTCTTTGAAAGAAGAAGGTTCATGTTGAGTACATGGATTTACTAACACCAAACGCACCAGATCCCAGCTTTAATGGAGAATGTCTCTGTTTTTTTTTACCTGAAATTATGACCTGCTTCTGACACAAGAACAAAAATCTGCCCAAACATCGGCGTTACCGTGAAACCGAGGCTCGGGGTATTTAAACCGATTAGACAGTCGGCGTTTGGCTGATGTTTACGGCGGCGGCTGCCAGATAAACTGTTTCATGGCGTCTCCTTGTAAATCAAACGTGTCCAGATGTTGAGAAAACTTTGATTGAGTTTCGTTCTGCGGCTCCGTTGCTCATGTCTCTCATGTCTCTCATGTCTCTTATGTCTCTTATGTCTCTCATCCCGTCTTTCGCCTGGACTGCAGCCGTGTTGGACGGCTGGAGGCAGCTGTCGAAAACACAAACTGCTCGTTTATTTCTCTACTTATTTGGACATTTCTTAGGGTGAATGTCTGACTTTAACGCAACATTTACTTTGACAGGACCGTAGTTTCACTCAGGTTTTCCTCCCAAATGATTCACTTGATGTTCGTGTTTTTAACAATGTAATAAAAAACTGAAGCCAGCGCTGATTTATTTTTATTTTTTTGTGAAAAAAATAAAAATTATCACCACAAATAATTTAAATTGCATAATGGAAAAGTCCTGAACATTTAAACAGAAAATTCCTCTCCAATCCCAACAGCAGACAAACTTGACTTTAAATTAGTTTTACTCCATAAAATCAAATTATCCTGCATTTTCTCATATAAAGTCATTAGTGAATTTGTTCTTGTCACTTTTTCAGAGATGATTGATTTTTTTGTTAACTGAATATTTGCCTGAATATCCACTTGTACAAAAAGTATTGCTGAAGTTTTAGCTGCCAATCACATATTAAGTCAGTCGGAGACACAGATTTGAACATCTCACCAACCATCAGTGTAACTCCAGGAATGCTGAGGATTACATGTTTTCATTTCTAAACCTGAAAGGTTGAGCTGCTGAAGAGACGAATGTTTTTAAGAGAGTGATTTAAGACGAAAGCGACCGCAGCGTTTAGTGGCAGTTAGTGACGGTGGGCACTGCTTCTGCTGCTTAGGAGCTTTTTATGGAGAAGGCAGGAAGATCTCCTGCAACCACACGGCTATGTTTAGACCAAAACCAACAATCTGACACAGTTTGGGATCCTCTCTGGAAGCTATTTTGGTGAGACCCGTTTTTTACTTGACCTCAACTTAATTAATTTTGAGTGTGACTGTAAAGACCTTTAATTCAGCCTCAAAACATCTGCAAATTTATGGGGAAATGAGAAAAAAATGAGCTTTAGCTGTTACATGAAACACAAGGAGAGTTTCAGAAATCAGTCTATGAAGGAAACTTTTCTTACTGGTTTTACTGGTCAGACATTGTTTAACTAAAGTTTTCAAGTGATTTCTGAGGAACATTTCCAACTGCATTGGTAAGCGATCTCTAAGTGGGAGCAGTCGAGGAGGGGTTAACTGGTTGTGGGTAAAGGAGCATCTGACTATAATAGCTTTAAACTCTTGAGGTTTCTTCGTTCTGCTGTTAAAAGTTTCAAGCCGGCGATTTAGCAAACCAGAGGAAACACTCCAGAAATTACCCTTCTTTAGGAAAGATGTGCTTTCTTATTACCTCCACCACAGCTAACTGCTCAGTCATTGCTTGTGCATACTCAACTAAAATCCAGTTAATTGGAGGTGATTGTGAGTGGAGATGTGTTTCCTCTTATTTAAACCAGGCAAATTAAAAGACATGCATGTGGTCCTGACAATGTTTCAGTGAAATTTTGGCAGTTTTTTTTTTCTTTTAAACTGGATTCAGGTCTCTAGTCTAACTTAAACATGTATTTCTCTCGTGTCATTAAAACTTTCACAGGCAAAGTTTGAACTTTATGGGGAAGGAGCTGCGTTGTAAATAGCTGCATTCATTTTTAGGGCTGAAGTTACCTAAAACAGTCCAGGACTGTAGGCACCACTGCTTCTGGGACCAGAACTTATTATCAGGCACTCGGCATGACGCCTAAACTACCTGGTTGAGGATCCACTATGTTGCTATTTTTAATACTCCACACTGGAAACCTGCAGATGATGGAGCAGATAGAAAATACTGCATTAAAATAAACATGATCATTATATCTCAACATGATGGTTTCTGTATACCAAAGATTGAAAGCCAAGAAAACAGCAGAAATAAAAAAGTGTTTAGACAGAAATCAAGTTATTATCAGCAGGAATTAACACCAGTTAGTTTAAACCAAACTGGTGGCCGATAAACTTAATTTATTACCAAGGAATCACTGAAGGAGCCTGATGGAGAAGATCTCTGCAACCTTACTGTTGCAGGACAAACTGTTGGTCTTAGTTTTCTTAATGTCTGAATGCATCTGTTGCTGAACTCGATGACAGATTTCTGCATCCGATGTGCAAAACTGAGCGTAATCACAGGTTCTTCCTCCCAGCAGCTGTTAGACTCTGGAATCATCACCGCCGGTTTATGCAGCTATTTTCACAGTTTTACTCATTTTAAATTATGATACTTTTACATCTTTGTTGTTTGAACAATTTTTATTTTTGTATATTGTAAATGGTTTGCTGGTTTTAAAGCACAAATACAAATGCACATTTTGTATATTCATTGTATCGCGTTTTGTTCCATGTCAAACACTTTATAAAACGTTATGTGACTGTTGCTCTGTTGAGTTCTCCATGAATTCTCTACTGTAGATATTTTTATGTCTTCTGACTTAAATGAACATGCATATTAAATTAGCAGATGCTAAAATTATGCCCACTCACTGCACAAGACTCCACTGCTGAAGGAAAAGCTTGTTGAATCTGGTTCAAGGTTTGTTCCAGAACATTTGAAGAACCCATTAGAGAACTGGGTGGGTGTTACGGTCAGGTGAGAACAGAAATGAAGTCTTTAGATGCCACTGCAGGCGCCATGTTTACCAGTGGAGAAGTTGGAAAGAGAGAAAATCATGAGAATAAACGAAGGATGACTTGAGAAACGCAAAACATTCTCAACAAAAGGATCAACAAGTCAGTCAAATGATTTCAATCCAACTGTAAATTTATGAGAAGGAATAAAGATCAGAGTTTATGTGTCCAAAATTATAGCTGAGCAACAAATGAGATCATTTGTTCCATATTTTTCCATAAAACTTATTTTACAGTGCCTGATTCCACTTTATCACCCATAAGATAATTCATGGATTCAAATGTTTTGGTTGTTTTGCTCATGTGTTTTCCCTGGACATCTGGTCCAGTTTAATATCCTCATCAAAAATATATTTTCTGGGGAAAACCATGAAGTATTTGACATTCATCTTCCCAGCTGGGGAGATTTAACTGGAGAAGTTTCACTTTGGAAAGCTGGCACTCTCATCAGAAAACATTTAACTTTAGCTAAATGAATCTGGTAACCTTAAGCAGAAGAATTGTATTTTTAATTAAAGAGGCTTAAACTTTACTGTAGTAGTTGTTCTTCATTTATTAGATTTTGGTCTTTTAGAATTAATTTCAGTTTGTGTCCAACAGATTTATGAAGAAACTTAATATTTAAGATGCTGTTTCTGCACATCTGAACATGTAATGACGTTACAGGCTGAGAACCTAAACAGTGATGAGGAACCGGGACCTCAGAGACCGTTTGTCTTCGTTTAGCCTGCAGTGATGTTTGCACGTCCTCCCATCCTCCCTCAGCTACTGCAGATTGTCTCTTATCTCTGCTATTCTTCATCATCAGCCCAGCACTGCAGCTCAGCCATTTCCATGATAACAAACTCCTAAAATGTTTAACGTCGATCTCCCGTTCACTCACCTCGGGGTATTGACCCAGACGATGCCGATGTGACAGAAAAAAATACACTCCTTGTCCTTCTGGTTCTCACAGGAGCAGCGCTTTTCTCGCCGGTGGGCTGTGTGGGCGAGCTGCGCGAGGGGGCCCTGCTGCGCCACAGGGCTCATGTCAGATGCTGGGAAACAGAGGAGAGAACGTGATTAACGACATGAGAGCTATGAGCTCAAAATGAGTAATCTTTTAGGTAAAGCATTTAGATTTAGTTTTAATTGTTGAAGGTAGAGCTGATGATGGAGTTACTGCCAGGATGAGACAAATGAAACCACATGAGGTCTGCATCACACCACTGCTGTGAAAAATCTGCTTTAAAACTCCGGGAGCAGCTGATGTGGAGGCTGCAGCGACTGATGGCCACTGAACGGCCCAGTTCAGATCATTTCACTCTGAAAATATCTGATTTGTGCCACTGCCAATATTTGGTGCCAAATTGAATAAATATCTACTACTTTTCACAATGTGGGCAATCTGAACAGCCATGTTACGTTTTATTCGACTTTTGCATCACTAAGACATAATTCAGCACCAGCAGAAGCTGCAGAAAGCAGAGCTGACACTTTGGATGAAGGCGACCAACAGAAAAACAGCAGAAAATGGAAAAACAGCAGAAACTGGCCTTGATGATACCATCAGTTCTCTGCTCAACAGCTGATCAATAAATTACTCGTTCTGTAAACAATGCGCTGCTGTGTGATGTTCTTCTTCTGCACATGCAGGTCACTTTAAGTTGCATTCACACATTTGAAAGATTGAGTGACCAAAATGTGTGGTCACTCAATGTGGACTGGATCTCCGTCTCACAGACGGGGATCCAATGAACAGCTTCTTTATTTTTTGTTGGGGATTATTTAGGACAACTGTGAAAATCTTCAAGGACCATGAATATGAATACCAGGACACCAGGATATGAACTACGTTTAGATCACTGGCAGTGTGAAAAAACACAACGTAGAATGAAAGTTTGGCTTTTCTTTCAGTTCAACAAAGTAAGAAATGATTCAACTTGATAGACGCAAGCTTGCAGAAAGTTTTCCACAAACTACTTTCTGCAGTAAAACTTTGGCTCCTGGCTAACAAACTCTTCCTTCAGTTGTTAGTTTCAAACCCTTATAACTGGCCTCACACCAGTAAACTACATAAAGGCCACAGCATGAACAAAAATAATGCAGTGCAACTCAGTGCCTTCACCTGAACACTCACTGGGACATAACAACATGCACAGAAGGGCATGTTAAAACCAGCTCTCATAAAGCAGAGAGGGAGCTCAGACCGGCTTTGATGTAGCGTACAGCACACACGGGAATGTTTGGGCGTCTATGGAGGGTTTTACACGACTTACACCGGAGCAAAATAACACCTCTCCCCTCTATAAACGGTGGTCTGGTCTTCATGCTGCTCTGTCCTGGAGAATGAAATATTTGAGGTTGTTGTTCATGTACAGTTTCCAAGGAAGCTGTTATTTTGTTCTGGGATACTTTGGCTAATTTTAGGTTTGTTTTATTCTTAGAGACATTCATGGCCTCTCACCGCCATTAAGAGCTGAAGCTTTCAGGACATCTTGGAAAACAGCATTGATTCGTCTAACTACATGCAATAAGCATAAAGTACTAATCAGATCCATAAGTTATGTGTAGCCCAATTACACTGTTTTAACATGGGTAAGGGCCCCTGAGTTCATTAAACTCATCAAGTTACAAATGATGACTATCAGTACACTCGTGTTTTAAACCTATGTTGAGTTTAGAGTAATGATATACCAGTATTTCTTTCCCTTCACACCAAATAGTAGTTTAAAACAGAAATAATACACTCTAACTATAGTTCTTAATAAATCAAACGTACACCTGTATGAGAATTAAACATGTATTAAACACCTTAACAAATGCACAAACTGTGAAATATCTCACTCTTTTAAGTTCACACAATAATTGTGGGCCCACACTTTTAAGTTCACCTAAGCCGGCAATACTTAACTAAAATATAGTCCCAACAAACAAAAAGAAACCCCGTTGCAGGCCTGATGTGAAGCGTGGAACTTGGCACTCCTCTCCGAGCGAAAACCCGAGCCCTTTCGACACCTCACCCGTCCTCAGTGCTAACCAGCCACCAAGATGTCCTCCGCTCCCCAACCAGTCTGGTAGTCCACAGGATCCAGGAACAGAGACGTCCAACGTAGCCCAGTCCTCCAACCACTCCACCACTCTTTCCACATGCGTAGCTCGCTGCTCCAGGCGCTCCTCCGTAAAGCTCCCACTACGGAAACTTTAGCTGGATTGTCCGTTAGCCGGGTTAGCTTACAGACCTCGACGGCTATTCACCGAGTTAGCAAATAGCCAATGCGACAGCGAGCATTACACATAGTGTTCAGTGAGCTCCGGTCTGGAACAATCACAGCAGCGGTAAACAGAGCGTAGGGTTGATATACTTTTTCCCGACTGTCGAGCTGAAAGCCGAATTATGTACAAACCCGTTTACTAAACTCTGCTACTTTTTTCCTCTTTTTCGCGCTTCATGCCTTCACTCTCTCTTCCCTATCCTTCCTGTCTCTCCTTTTTCTCCACCCCACTTCCTCTTACAACATGAGCCTTTCAAAATAAAACAGAAAAGATTACTTTTTTGAAGAACCTGAAATACAGTTTCTGGCTAACACTGATTAATAACATTTTTAACATATTTAAGCAAACATGCTTGATACATTCTAAACTATCACTCCTTTGAACTTAACTCATTACAAACACTTTTAGTTTGGACTGGGTTACACCCTCCCCCCTCTAAATGTCTGGTGTCCTCAACAGACTAACACCTGACTAACTGAAATGGGAAGGGCAATTTAAACTACATTTTAGCTCTGTATTTTAATGACAACACCCCTGTGAACAATAGTGAGGGGTCGATCACTAGATTTGCCAGGTTCATCATAAGTAACTCACTACTGGTTTAATTACGTTTTGGTCTGGAATGTGCATGACTCATCCATCTGTTAGAACTACTTGGACATGGCCTGTCATCTTCACTAGAGACGGGTTCAGGTTCCGACTCAGATGCTGTGTCATCACGGGTTAACCTCTCCACAATATGGTCTGCTTCTTGTGAGGGTTTCTCGTTCATTGCAACATGAACCTTAGGCTCTTTTGGGTCACGTCTATTGTTGTGTTTTTGGAGTATTCCCTCCAGATAAGTCCGGTATGGTCGATGTGGTAACTCCCACTCAAAGTCAGATGACTCAGTGGACTCTCCAGATGCCACATGTACTGAATGATCAGTGTTGTGTCCCTTAGACTTAGTTCTCCCTCGCGCTCTTGTTGGTAACTGTGGGTGAACTTCTGGGAGATTATCCACCGTAGGCAGACGCACATAATCTCCTATGGGCAGAAGGTTGTCTCTATGCATAGTTTTGAACTTCCCTTTTCCATTCTGTGGCTTCACTTTGTACACAGGCAGATTTGGCATCTTCTCCACAACAACATAGGGAACATCACACCAGCGGTTCTCAAGCTTATGTTTCCCTTTTAATCCAAGATTTTTCATCAAAACTTTGTCACCAGGTTCCAGATGATGAAACCCCAGTCTCCTGTCATATGCTTTTTTGTTACGCAGATGTAGTTTGTTGGCTGCTTCAGTTGCCATTTCATAAGCCCTTTGCAAGTTATCTTTTAACTTTGCAACATAAGCAGAACGCTGATGTTCCCCATCTTCATCTACAGGCGTCCCAAAGCACACATCCACTGGGAGTTTTGCCTCTCGCCCGAACATTAGAAAATATGGAGAAAATCCAGTTGCATCACATTTGGTGCTGTTATAAGCGTGCACTAAGTGAACAACATGCTGGCTCCATTGTCTTTTCTTTTCTTGATTCAACGTTCCCAGCATGGATAACAAAGTCCTATTAAATCTCTCTGGCTGCGGATCACCTTGTGGGTGATACGGGGTTGTCCGAGATTTTTTAATGCCCAACAGCATCAACAGTTCCTTGATGAGTCGAGACTCAAAGTCCCTTCCCTGATCGGAGTGAATACGTGTTGGAAGTCCATAATGCACAAAATACTTCTCCACTAAAATCTTAGCAACTGTGAGAGCCTTTTGATTTTTAGCAGGAAAAGCTTGAGCATATCTGGTGAAATGGTCTGTGATGACTAACACATTGCTGATGCCTTTGGAATCTGGTTCCATGGAAAGGAAGTCGATACAAACCAGATCCAATGGACCAGTACTAACCATTTGGTTTAAGGGTGCTACTTTTGAACACGGAGTTTTCCGCAGAACACACTCTCCACAGTTTTTAATGTACTGTTCCACATCAGTGGACATTTTAGGCCAGAAGAATCTGCTTCTGAGCAAATCAGTAGTTCTTTCAACTCCTAGATGACCTAAATCATCATGAAGAGATTTCAGCACAGTTGCTCTGAACTGGGCAGGCAGGACCAGTTGGTGAGCTTTGTGTGAGGACTGAGTTTTACTCACACGATGCAACAGTCCATTTTTCATGTGTAACTTTCCAATCTCTCTCTTCATGGCCATAATCTCTGGATTAGCTTTGAGGTCATCAGGCCATTTTCCACCGTTCAGCACTTGGATGATTGGTCCTATGACAGAGTCGTCACTTTGAGCTGTAATAAGTTCTTGTCTTGACATTTGTTCGAGTGAGTTTAGTTGCAATCGGGTAGGATAAGCATACACATCAGGGATGCACTCGGGAGAGATTCCAAGCTGTTCTGCATAGGTAGGAGATTCTGTAGGAGAATCATTGGTGCCAACTCTCTGACATATTGACTTTACTCCCGCTTGTGATATACTTTGCCACTCAAGATCTCTTTTCCCGGAATCCATCCGTGACAATAAATCAGCATCGATGTTGTTTTTCCCCGTCTGTAGATTATGTCAAAATTGTAGACTGATAAGTCTGACAGCCAACGATGTCCAGTAGCATTAAGCTTTGCTGAGGTGAGGACATAAGTCAGGGGATTGTTGTCCGTTCGTACAGTGAAGCGTGCGCCATAGAGATAATCATGGAATTTCTCCACAACCGCCCACTTAAGAGACAGAAACTCCAACTGATGGATTGCATAATTCCTTTCTGACGAGCTTAGTTTGCGGCTGGCAAATGCCACTGGTCGCAGT